GCCATCCGCCCCACCCGACCCCCCCGCCAGCTCCTCCACCGCCCCACCGCTGTCGGTCTCGAATCCCTCCTCCAAGACGCCGCGAAAGGTGTGCTCTCCCGCTCCGAGAAATGGGGCCTCAACCAAGCCGTACGCGACGCGATGGGGAACCTCCGTGGCGTGTCACCGGGGACGTCGCCCGCGGCGTCGCCAGGGCCGGGACGTCGGCGGGGAACGGGGTCGGTGGGGAGGTATGCGACGTTGGATGATGCGGCGGACGTGGGGGAGGGGAGGTTGGTGGACGCACCACGAAACGAAGCGCAGATGCAAGCGATGCTGAAGAGGATGCAGGAGCTGGAAGAACGGAATAAGGCGTTAGCGAGTTTGTTGGAGACGGAGGTGGCGAGGTTGTGGGATTTGCAGGCGAAGATTGCGGAGACGGCAGAAGGGTCGGAGATGGCGTTTGCGCTGGCGAGCTCGGTTGGGCGGGTTCAGGTGTTGCAGGTGTGTTTGGCAGACGGGACGATACCGTTGCCTGATTCAGCGCACGAGAACCCCGTGAAAGAAACGAAAGAGCAATTACAGCAGGCGGAACCTTCAGGACAAGCAGTCGCTGCGGATGACAAGTTGACTACGGGTATACAGGTGTTATCTGAGAGACCCAAAATCGCGGACCCTCCAAAATCACATCCGGCTCAGTTCCCGCCCCTGACGAACCCCTCCATCCCCCATCCCGCTACGCCTACAGTATCTACGCAGCCCACACCAAATCCCGCCATCTCCTCCACTGCCCGCGATACCCTCTTCGCACCCGCCTCCCTCCCCGCCCGCCCCGAATCCTTCATCGCCGCGAGCCCGTTCCTCTCTCCTCACCTCAGCACGTCCTCCCGTCGACGTAACCAGGCGTCGGCGTTCCTATTCGGCGAGGATGCGGATGGGAATGTAGGGGATGAGAATAAGGCTACTAAGGAGAAAAAAGGAGGGACGGGTGGGAAAGGTGGGGGGACGGGTGGGGGGACGGGTGGGGTGAAAGACGCGGAGGAGAAGGAGGAGGTGATTGGTATGGGGTATTTGGGGAGTGCGGAGAGGGGAGATCAGGAGGGTGGATGAGGGTGCAGAAGGGTGCTGATGGGATTCTAAGAGCTTGGGAGGATGGGATCGAGACGGGATGGGTGGTCTTCGGGTACCCCCTCGTTCAGCTCATCGCCCTACAACCCGGCCAACATTTTGGTTTCGACCGGTGTTGTGAACCACGAAATGGACATCCAGGACCAACTAGCTACTTGGAAGTATTAATTTCCGCGAATTTCCCAAACTTTACCCGGTGGTTAGGGGTTCGTCCCCTATAGTCGAGATGGTTTTTGGTACGGAACGGTCCATTAACCATCGCCAGCCCGGAATGGTTGGGAGGTTAGAACCAGTCAACGACGACGGATATTCCTTCATTTTCTTGTCGAGGGGTATCCGGGAAAGTATAAATGGCGGTGTTGGGATGGCACCTGCCTGTTTTTTTCAGAGTTCTCCAGACAATACAAGATACTATTGACAAGAGAATCTAGTTCTAGAGGCAACTCCTTATTGATTTCCCTGTCTCCCGGTGGTATAAGACTTAAACAGCCCTCTATCGTGCCTTAGGTTACCCCAACACACCATGCCTTACCAAATCACCCCCCGAGCCCTCACCGGCCTCCTCTTCCTCATCACCCCGCCTCGCGCCTTCGACATTTGCATCGCCCAGGACCCCTCCCAAGACCACCGCTGCCACAAGGCGATCCGGCGCCGTGACATCCACACTGCCCACCGCATCCTCGACACTCTCTGCTCTACCCGCGGTCTCTCTCCCTCCGAGCTAATCGAGCAACTCCAACAGCTCGCCGAGTGCACCATGTGCAGAAAATCCGGCCATCGAGACCCTGACGCGGTGCTCGCTCTGGCCCTCTCATGGGGGCGCTTACTCTGCAAGCAGTTCCCAGACCTGGTCGCGTCGCCGGGCGTGGAAGCGGCGCAGCCGCCGGCCCGAAAACGTAAACCCCGGTTAAGTCGATTGCGGAACCTATTCCGGAGCGCGTTTGCGAGGCGAAGCAGTCATAAGGTCGCGCCTCAACCGCCATCCGCTTCCCAGCATGCGGCGCTGGCGCCCTCGGGGGCTACTCGTGCTCCCATGGTCCCGCGGAACCCCCGCGTTGAGCCGCTGTGGACCCAGAGTCGACACTTTCTTCTGCGCGGATGGCCGACCATGGACGAGCCGTCATCCCCTGCGCCTCGTGCGGCGCCTGCTCCCTCGGGGTGCAGTCGCCCTTCTCCGTCCCCTCGAGGCCTCGTTTTCGTCCCTCCTCCCCTGGAACCCGGTGAATCCTCGGCGCCTAGCCACCCTCCCGCCGACACCCCGGCGTCCGCCAGCCAACCGCCCTCTATCCACGACACCGTGGACTCCGCAGCTCGCGTCCCGAGCGGTGGATATTACCAGATCACGTCGAGTTTTCGCACATTGATCTCGCACTACCAGCAGCTCCACCCGGAGGGGTTCGAGGAGCCGCCGCAGCACGGGACGTTGCAGATCAGATTCACGTTCCTGTTGCCGACTCGGTTCGATATGGTTGAGTCAGCGGAGGACAACGCGCTAGATAGGGAGGGTGCGTCGGATGGGGAGAGTGTGCCTGATGGGGAGAGTGTGTTGGTTTGGGGCAATGTATTGGATTGGGAGGATGTGTCCGATGGGGAGAGTGTTTCCGATAGGGGGGGGGTGTCCGATGGGGGGAGTGTGTTGATTTGGGGGGAAGTGTCGGATTTGGGGGGTGGGTGGGGTGGGAGCATCGGCTCATACACGAGTCTACACTCAGAGCCTACCGCCGACATCCCTATCCTCAACCTCACTGTTAACCTTCCTTCCGCCTTCCCTCCCTATCCCCACTCCCCTGTCTTAACTCCCCTCCTTGCTCCCGTTCTATCACCAAGTGACCCCCCTCCACTCAACCTCGAAGCCCCATCCCTCCACACCCTCGCAGCCCTCCTCGCAGCCCTCCTCGCAGCCCCGTCCCTCGAATCCCTCCTCTCCTCCACATCTCTCCTCTCCCTCCCTCCGTACCCCCTATGCTGTTCCAGCATCGCCCGGCGCCACTGCATCGATGCGCTGTGTCCCATCTGCAGCCTCCCGATGACCAACGACCTGCTTGTCGACATCGTCTGGTGCAAAACGCAGTGCGGGCAGAGCGTGCATGCAAAGTGCATGGACACGTGGTTGGAGTACGGCAACACGTGTGTCGTCTGTCGGACCAAGTGGGCCGAGCCGTGCCCGCATGACTTGACGGTCCGGCCGCCTTCTTCTTTCTGGGCGGAGCCGGCAGGGACGTGGGGTCTGCGACGGCTGTTCGATGGGGGGAAGTACGGGGGGATTTGGGATGATGGGCCTGAGGGAAAGTGGCAAGCGAGTTTGAGGAGGTGTTTTGGCGTTGGGTAGCATCAGGAGCAGGAAAGTGACTAGAGGGGTAGTGAGTGGTTTTCTGTTTGCCTGATCATCGTTGGAGTTTCTCTACTGGCTGGCTTGGTCAAGATGTCATGACTTTTTGGCTGGTAACCAACATGAGAGTGTACGATACTGCAAGCGCAACATATACCATCTGATATCTGTGTCTAGCAACCAGCAATATAATCATAAGCTAAATGTGTCTATCCGGACCAAGTGAGGTCACTATCCTTCTCACCAGCCTCTCATAACCATCCTCTCTTCTCGCATGAAACAACCAACCACACATTTCTCACTCCTCCACTTACATAAAATTATATATCACGGTCCCGACCACCGTCATATTTATCAAATGTGCCCGAATACGCGTCACAATGCCAGGAGCATAGCCGGTGTCAAAATTTGGACTACCAAGAGCCAGCGAGAGCTAGGAAAGGTCAGCGGAACGATATACTTGCAGATGCGGTCATACACATCGAGCACCATTTTCAAACACCGAGCGGGGTGGTTCGAATCTGAAGTGTCCATACTTTGGCAAAGCCAATTTCGCAAAGTATAACCCCCATGCACGTTGGCCTCTACGCAAATAACAGAGTTAGGTTAGCCTAGTAACCTCCCCTGCGTGATGGAAAACACCCGGTGTTGCGAGAACATCGCATACCAGACTCCATTCGTTAAACAGTTGCAGCCTTCACAGAGTCCTCTCGTCCTCAAAGATCAGTCTTTGAGTCTCTGAGACTTGGTCTCAAGCCAGAAACAGCATAGATTCTATCAATCAAGCATCGCTAGTTACTCTCTTTGCTACTCGCCTACTCGTATCACGCTATGCCCCATTCTATGTTGTGACATTCATGACAAGTCGATATTCTGATAGACTCGTTCTTCTGCCTGTCTAGCTCCTAGAATCCTTTCCAAGCCAGAGATCTTAAAAAATTCTATCGACTAACCTCCTTCCCCGATTACAATGGTTTCTTACAAAGAAGTACAAGATTCTAACGCGCTCATCAACGATGCAACGGCCCCACGCGTCGCCGTCTTCGTCGGCGGTACATCAGGCATCGGAAAGTTCACAGTTAGGGCCCTAGTCGCTACGGGTGCGAGCGTAAGAATCTACCTAGTTGGGCGCAAGATTTCTGAAGAGCCGATGAATGCTTTCATTCAAGAGTTGTACGTCATCAACCCCAAGGCGGAAGTCATTTGGACCGAAGGCGAGGTCTCGCTCCTCGCGGAAACAAAGAGAGTATGCGAGGTAATTAAAAGCAAGGAGTCACGCGTCGACTTCCTGTTCCTTACCGCAGGCTACGCACCATTCGGCACACGTAGGGAAACTGCCGAGGGCTTGGAAATCACCCAGAGCCTGGAGTACTACTCGCGAATGCTATTCATTCTACATCTTCTCCCTCTCTTAGAGGAAGCGGAAGCCCCCAAGGTCGTCAGCGTTTTGGCGGGTGGGATGGAGAGAGCAACGGTCAACTTGGACGACTTGGATCTGAAGAAGCCCGGGAATTTCGGCGGCGTGAAGGCCCAGATGCAATACACAATTATGAACACAATGACTTTGGAGAAGCTGGCCAACGAAAATCCCAATGTGACGTTCATCCACTCCTGGCCCGGGTGGGTCAACACGGGAAATATACGAAGGAGTGCGGATCCGAATTCGATTACGGCTTGGTGCTTCTGGCTTATCCTTGAACCCCTTATTTTTTTATTTGCGCTCAGCGACGAGGAGTCTGGACAGAGGCATTTGTTCCAAAGTACCAGCGCTGCTTTTGGCGGTCGTGGCGTACCATGGAAGGGCAAGTTAGGTGTAAATTCGCTGGAGAAGCAGGCGGATGGACTATTTCTCGTCAATTATAAGTGCGACTGTACTCCGAATGCGAAGGTCATGCCTATACTTCGAGAGAAGGCGCAGGGAAAGATTTGGGACCATTCGCAGGAAGTTCTTCGACCATATTTGTAGACTGAGAACTCTCTTTTATTGTCCTACAATGTTAATGAGCACTATTTAGCGGGTGGATTTACGATAGTTAATAGTAACTTAACTAACTTAAGTTAACTGAGCGGGGAAAAAGTTTAGTAAAAGAGACGACGGCAGGTGGACCGCCAGAATGGCAGGCTTGCCCTTGTGCTATGTCCTCACAATATTTACTTGTCCTATCACTCCCACACCTTCGTGGACTCTATGTACACTCAGTCCAATTCCGCACCCACGCTCGAGCCTCTTCACTCTTAAGGTGGCACGCGCCCAGTCCCGTAGAGTCGGGTACCTGCCACTCCAAGCACCTGTCGTGCGTCGGCGGCATCGATAATGTCTTTGTATGCTCCGAGGGGTGATGCGCCCTTTTCGGGATTCAGAACCGCGTTGTAGGCTTTGATGGCCTCTTCCAAATCCACATCTTTCTTATCGAGCACGGGTTGAGCACTGGCGCTGGCGCGCAGAGAAGCCAAAAGAGTGAGGATAAGGAAACACTTCATGACTGTCTGGTCCTTGGGGCAGGTACCGGGGAGTTGACTAGCAAAGCTTATAGGATAGAACTAGAGATCATCGTCAGTATCACCGTCACTTCCAAAGCATTCATCACTCACGGTTCTGCAACCATTCGACCAGCGCTGCGAGCCACGAAGTCGACCTTCCTATCGTACTGTTTCTCTTGAGGCTGTAAAAAACCTAAATGATTTATAGTCTTCTAATATAATGGACGGCTCAGGCACGTGATTCTAGTTTCAGCTTTATTAGGGACTCACTTAAACTACTGAAAGACGCTCTTAAAACAGGAACGCTCCCGAATACGGACCTGAAACTCGAGGATTTAATTGGTCCCTTTTGTCTTGTGCGCAATAGTACGTAAAGTATGGCCATCTACTCTGCGCACGAACCACTGGTGAAAGTCTTTTATAGATTGAGGAACTTCCAGAAGCTTCAAGGCTGTCTTTGGCTTCACTCTAAGGTCACACAGAGAGAAACTCACGCTGAATGATTTAACGGATGCCTTCCTACAGGCCGCTCCCCTCTACTGAAGAGGAGAGCAACCATGAAGTGGAGAGCAACCATGAAGTGGAGAAAGAGGTGGTATTATCGCCGTCTCTGCGAGGGGCGCGATGGAGCGTTCCCTGCAATACCATTCCTCTTGTCGTCTCAGCGTTTATGCTCCTTCTCTCCGTCATCAACGTCTTCGTAGCCAAACAACACCACAGAACTGGCAAAGAATGCGCCACAGAGACATCCATCTGGTGTATGCCACTGCCTTCCCTATACCTGAATGCCCTGGGCGCGCTGACAGTTTCAGCCCCTGTATTGGAAGCAGTCAAATATGAAGATTTTGATTTCCAGAATGACTTTGGACAACTGAGCATTTACCGCGGGCCGCCAACGAAGGAGCTAGAAGATGAATGGCACAACCTGACATTCAGTGAGTGTTACTGCACGCTGCTCTCCACGTCTCCAGCTTGTCCTAACGAGCCACGCGCTCAGAACACGCGGTCAAAATCCCCGACTCAAAAGTCCACCTTACGAACCGTCATCCAGTCCGCGACCAGCTCGTCCGCGTGATGCCGGATAATGGGGGTCCCGGAGCAAAAGGAGAGCTGGGGTATTCGGCGCTGATTGACGTTTTCCACCAGCTGCACTGCCTCGTCTGTCCTCCTCTGCCCTCCGGCAGGCACGCGCTTACCTGAGTCACAGAACCGGATCCGTCAGTACACCTGGCTGCTCACGGGCAACTACCGCAACACCTCTGATCCACTCGACGTGGTCCCTCATGGAAATGTCCCCGGGTCGCCGAACTCGCCGGGAGAGGACCCTCGCCCGCCTATTCCGAACGATTTTATGACCACGCCCTTGGCTAACAGGATTCACATAGATCACTGCATCGAGACGATTCGGAAGACGCTCATGTGCCATGCAGATGTGACGCCAATCATGATTATGAAGGATAAAAAGGCGCCACTAAAGGAGCGTGCGGACTTCAGTGCGAGGCATAGGTGTAGGAACTGGAACAAGATATCGGAGTGGATGGATGAGCAGTGGGCTGTAAGATGACAGTGGTGAAAATTTTAGAATGAAACAAGAGAAAACTGTGAGCTAAGAGAGCAATTTTCTTTTTCAATTTTAGATTCCTTCTACTGCCGTAGTGTGTGGTGCAGATTGGCGTGAGAAGTCGCCGCATGATTACAGCAACGTCCACTGTTACTCGTCGATGGAGGTAGTGTCTCAAGAACGTCCGCGCATCACCGTACTGTATCATCAAGTTCTGCAGCTCCTCGCTGACGTTGCCTACACCACTCGGATTAGTTCCTTTCCTAAAGATCGGTATCATCTGAGAGTAGACCATGTACTGTTTTCATTGAAAGCCTTTCCAGCGCGGTATCGGAGCGCATATAAACGTAGAGGTAGCTTAAACCTAGTAAGCTCGCCAACCTTTTTCATTGCATACCGAACGGTCGAGTACTCTACGGCTTATCCGGGGATATCTCCCATCCCTTTAATATTTTAATAGCTTTGCGAAAAACAGGAACATCGTCTAGGTCAGACTGTAGCGGTAGTAGGAGTTAGTTCACAACAGAGCGAACAGAGAGGCCGCTACTACTCACTGGTACCACTGCGCTTCGGACCGGTCGAGGAGGAGGGTAGTTCCATTACTGTAGCCCTCCTTGGTATACTCAGAGTCGTCAAAGTTCTTGAGCAGCTGTTTGTAGTACTCCAGGGGATGCTCATTGCCTTCGAGTAACCATGTTGGGCCGGTGGGGCTTGCGTCAAATCCTGCATCCGAATCACACTCTGAAGTATCCTGGGTATCGTTCAGGTCCGTTCGGTATGTCGACGAGTTGTTAAAGTCCGTGCCGGTAATATCCCCATCATCAGACCAGGAATCGTCTGCGGCAGGGCGCGACATTTAGTCGGCTCGCCGGCTCTTGCGTCGATGAAAAGGCACGGGGGATGAAGGAGTATGGAGAACAGAACGGAGAGGAGGGGAAGCAGCCGTCTTAGGTAGGACGATAGGTCAAGAACAGAAGGGAGTCAGGAGGACGTCGATTCAGAGGACGCCGAGAGAAGGAAAGCCAGGCCATTTTGAGGCATGCCACAGAAATGCGCAGGAGGGCCATTTCTGGCTCTGGTCGTTCGGACGCAATGGACGAGATTGGAGTGAGAGCCATGGAGGTGGGTCTTAAACTTGAGGGTGGGCAAAGGCCAAGTGCCTGGACAAAGATCCATATCCGCAGAGTTAAGGGGTGCTCTGATTGGCGCTGGAGGATGGCAGATTTACTGCTGAAAACGGCGTCACAGACCGCTGAAAACGGCGGTCAATCTGCCGTCGCATTCTATAAAGGAGTTACTTGTATGGCTGTTAACGTTGTTAGCAGATTCGATCTGCCCCATATGAACCGAACTAGATTCCTTATTCATCACTAACTACATGGAATTATGGAAGTTACTAAATACAATCTTGATTGAAGTTTCACTCCGCTTGCCTCATTTATTACGGAGATATACTACCTCACAATTCACTCTCCAAGCAGTCACGTTACTGCCGACCTCCTAGGCGCTAATATGCCAAGATCTGATCGCGGCCGAGGAAAGTAACGCATTATCCATATTATGGTAGCGGTCTTGAAATCGGCCTGCCAATAAACTACGTACATCGTGGTGTGGTTCATTTGAGACGCACTCTGTTCCATCCCCCTGCCGATTGCGACACGGTTCATGAACGGCCAAACGCCTGCTCCTGTCCACCAAATCAATTCTGGGGCGCTACAGATGATACTGTATCCTGTCATCCTGTGCTCCATATCCTTGTGGGACTAAGCATTCTATATTGTGTGACTAGCCTATTAGGGCATCAAAAAAGAGTTCGACTTGCCTTATCTGCCATGTGGCCCAGGCTGCTGGAAGCAACTCTGGCCATGCTAAAGAGTTATTTACATGAGGTACCTTAGGGTGAGACTTTTGATACGTTCACGACGCCTCGCGTGCGGTTCCTAGAAACTTCCTTGGTGTCTCATTAATGTATGAAGCAGGAACTGTCGAAGGTGTCTTTTAGGGCTTGATTTGATTTATTTAAGTTGCCTCCATCTTACCACAAGGCATGCGTGGGAGTTTCGATATTCTGTCCATCAATACAATCTGTGCTATTTCTCTCCCACTCTAATCAATCGAGTCGATTTTACTTTCTCCTGGACTCCACATCATGGCTGCCATCGACCTACCACGGCTCTCCAGGCTCCTCAGGCTACCAGACAAAAACCGGTGTATTGGATACCAGGACAAGAAAACAAGCGATGGCTCTTGTATCAATCCAGTCGAGAAACATGGAGCAGAGCGAATTATCCGGTACTTCCTGACCGACCCGTTACCAGAAAAACAGCTCCACCGGGTGTTGATGGATATCGCTTCTACCTCTCTCTGCGGTGACCATCGTAAAGATCAGGTCACCTATATTGCGAACAGATGGGAAACTCGTATCAGGAAGGGCTATCCCGAGCTCATAGAGCACGATCCAGATATGCGCCTAGATGCTAGTCCAGAGGGGGTTGCCAAGGATCTCCAAACAACCATACGGCGAGTGAATGGCGCCATTGCCGCCCTGGCAGAGCTCCAAGAGGATATGAAAGATGTTGACGCAACCCTTGGGGACGTTCAACGTGCGTTGAATGGTTTAAAGGGAAATGATCAGTCCATCAAGAATAATGTTGGACTTCTGGAGAAGACCGTCAGCACAATGAAGGACGAATTCCGGAGGAAGCTAGGCCAGGTACAAAAGAACATGGAGGAAAAGCTCAGAGATGAGCTAGAAGCGTTGCAGGAAAACCAGTTTGACGTATCTGATGACGATGAAGAGGAGGACGACGATGATGATTTCGAGTCAAGACCAACAACAAGTAACGATTCCGACTCCGATATTTCTCATCGGCGGCTTCCTACGGTTTCAGAGCTCTCCGTTCTTACCAAAAATTGCAGAGTTAAGACAGACGGAGATGGCAACGGCTCAAACACTGTTTTGAAAGGAGTGAATTTGACTTATATGCCACTCTTCGCACTTGCGATATTAATACTGATCGGGATGATTTTTTGAGCCAATACTGCTTTGGTCTTGTGCAAGAACAGTTCAATTGAGCCGATGGCGTTCCAATGGGGTCTTGGTCGATACAATACCTCTTTGACTGCACTTGCTGTGGACTATGATATTATTTTCCGAGGAGCACACAGAAGTTCATTTACGCTCCTCGAATAGTGGCACTTCTGCGGGCGGTCTGGTCTCATACAGACCGTGTATTGTCTCCATTTATTACGGCATGGCTCTGACAGAGATTGCTCACCGCTATTGCTATCCTAGGTTTCCAACCGAAGCCATCCAGAGGAGGATTCTGACGAGCATTGCATCCTGCGAGACCCGTAGAGGGGCTAAAGATGTAATGGCAAGGATGGGGCTTCGCGATCAGTTCAAGTTCTATCGTTCTCGACTGTTAGCAAGAGAAGGAGTGGCTATGGACTTGTGTCCTGGCGGTGATAGGACGGCTTGGGCGAGGGAACAGGGTCAGAATTTGTTTTCTTAACAATCTCTGCATTAACACTGTACTTCAATATCTAGGATGCTGGAGCCTAGGGTAACATTCCAGGATGATTATTGTGTTGAAGGCTGTCTTATATACTTATGGGATAAAGAAGAAATATTGACGAGACTATATTCACACTTCGACCATTCAGTGTTATTAACCTCTGTATTTCATTCTTAAAGCTGACTCCCATTCTTTGGTACTGTCCAAAAACTCCTTGCCCATCATTTTAAGCAACCATGGCCTCTCTATCACTTTATCACAGTCTTCCTATCTTCCTCGAGTTCGAAAATATCTCTGTATACTTTATTCGGTATTGGCTACCCCCATGGAGTCGCTGCCAGAATGAAGTCAACCATAGCAATGCACATTGGCATGGAGCCGAACTGATCCTGCGTAAAATAAATGATGGCGCTCCGCTCCCGAATGCAGATCTTATACTTCGACTTCGACAAGCTGCTCTCGTGGGGTTATGCGGTATTCACCTGAATTCGAGAAATTTGAGAGAGGTTGCAGCACAATGGAAACAGAAGATTCAAAGAGACGTGTCAGAAATAATTGCGGAAAATGCGGGATCGTCAGGGAACACCCGGACAACGAGGTGTGATGGAGTGACTGGGGATGGAGTGGTTGATCAAAGTCAACATGGTGATAACTACTCGCCAACACAACCTACCCATACAACCTCGACCACCTCGTCTCGACCCTCTAGCTCATATCAATCTTCAATCGCCGGAAGTCCTAGCTTTTCAAATCAACCGCAACCAGATAATCACCCTGCCGCGACCTCGCCCAGCAGCTCTGAGCAAATATTCGCCAGAAGTCTACCATCTACACCACCGAGCACCAATCTGGAGAGAACAATACGGTAATATCAAGAGGCAACGAATTCTCTGTTGGATTCTGTTTTCCGATCTTCGCTGCCAAGCAATCGTCTGGAGATTGCCTTAGAATATCTAGAGCAATCGAGGGCTGGGTGGAATGCTTACTTCCGGTTAACAGAGGGTGTCACTGGTCGCACTGAACCTTCTCAATCGAGTCAGTCAATTCCCAACCCAGGCCCCTAATCAGCAGCAGTAGCGGCGGCAGCAATTAACGGCAGTATCCCGCCATTCCCGAATAAGCACAGGCGCCCAAGTAATAATATTATCATCCGTCAATGTTCAGGGGCTGGACCCGGTTGCGATACAGGTAATCCGAACCCCAGCGATACGCTCAAGTGTCCGTACAACCGAATCTAGAACCAGATTAAACAGGCTTCCCACCAATACAGAGCGCTCAACCTCCCGGCCCCAACATCTCGACTACGGGGAACACCACGCAAAACGGGACCGTTCTGGGGCGTCGTCAATACACATATCCGACAAGGTCATCCTTAGTACCTTATCGAGTCCTCTTCCCACCAACCAGTTCCGCCAATACCTCAACCGGGAACTAGACCCGTAGACCCTATCATGTTTCTCGCCGGAGGGCATCATAGGGAACGAAATTCACCGTCCTAAATGGTAGTTTTAGGGGCTCTGAAACGCTTGGAGACCGCATTTTATTTGTCTTTGATTTACTAATAATCAAGAGCTTCTTTGAATCCCCTCCACTCAGTCAAATCAGTCGATCTGCCTTCCATTCGTAGCGGAGAATAAAGGAATTTTGTAATTACACGATACAGTCAATGCCCACCCTTATTAAAACTAGTGGAGGCGCACAGGTGGTCCATGAATATTAACGATATTTCAATGAGATTTAAGAGTCGATAAGGCACACCTCACCAACAATGGGTCCCTAGTCTCAATATCAATATACCTCATCATCCGCTCCGTTCTATCTTCGTCAAGTCTGACAAATCACACGGCTTTTTATGATACTGAACAAATGTTCCAGCCAATGGCATGGCATGCCTAGAGAGTCCGATCCATTCCCTGAGGCCGGTCAAGATGCATTGCAGTACATAATCGTGTGTAGTGTAATCAAACTGGTTTAAGCCGTCAGTCTCATCACCAATTCTATTCCTTATATTCTACCCGCCAGCAGATATCGTGAACCTGCGCTACTAGGCACTCAAGTCACCTCACAGCAAATCCAGCAGGATTGGGACATTATAGCATTATTCAAGTTAGAATATAAGACAAGCGACACGACAAACTCAAGGACATGTATATAAATTTCTCATTCCTTCTAAGGTATATAGCACCGTACATGTACTATTGTATGCACCGCATAACTAATAAACTCCCCTCCATCCCGATCCAAACCTCAACCCTTTCATCATAGCGACATCCCCACTCAGACAAGCCTGTACAAACCTCGAATCGCGCTTCTGATATATTCAACTCCTCCAGCGCACCCGACCCGTTCTATAACCCCACCGCCATGTCTCGAGGCACTATGCTGATCATGCTAGGTGTAGCCTGGTGTAATGTCTAACTCTAATGCTGAACGCGATGCAGCGGGGAAGAGAGAATGAGGATGCTAAAAATGGGTTTGATGGTCGTTGATAAAATAAAGGAAATTGGGAGAGGTAGGGGAAGACCGGGAGGATCGTCGAGGGGAATAATAGTGGGTGTGAGGTAGGTAAATGTGCATGTATCCGGGTCTAGGGAATGCTCTAAAGATCAGGGTCTAGGAACGCGCGTCTAGCAGTCCGGAACCGCATCAGACTAAAAGGCATATCTGTAGCGGAATATTCAGTCCATATCCAACTACCACGTCTCCTACAACACATTAGCACTCCAAAACATCAACCCAGCCAAGGTAAGTACTCACCGCAATATACCCCCCCTCCGCCCTCTTCCGCGCCCAAAACTCCCGCGCCTCATCCTCATTCACGCCCCCCTTCTCCATCACCACTCCTACCAACGCGTCCTCCACCCCCTCCCCCATCCCCTTACTGCTCCCGCACACAAACACTCGCCCGTCCACTGCGTTCGCTACGTACCATACTGTTTCCGCCTGCGCGCGCACCTCGTCTTGCACGTATTTGACTTCGGTGACGACGGGGGTGAGCGGCGCGGCGGAGGGGGGAACGGCGAGCGCGGTGTTGGCAGTGCTGTCGTTCGCGCTGTTCGTATCACCATTTGTAATGGGCGTGGCTGTGGCCTTCAACGCCGGCGACCCCGGCGCCGACCCCTCCGGACTCGACGCGACGGTACGCAACGTCGGCTTCCGGCTCTGCACGACGCGCTTAATCTGGCGCTCCAGCTCCTCGGGACCCAACTCCCCGCGATACAGCTCGTCGAGCGACGCGTCGCGGATCCCCTGGATCAGCCATATCTTGTTGGCGCAGTTGGCCGTGCGCAGCCGGTTGAGGATGAACCCGCGGAACGGCGCCATGCCGACGCCAGCGCCGATCAGAAGCATCGGGCCGTCGGAGGTGAATTCGCGAGAGAGAGGGTTGGCCATGAGGCCGCGGAACATGGGGATGTGGAGGGTCGGAGTGGGTGGGTGGAAGGTGTCGGTGGTGCTGATGAACTGTTGGGCGATGCGCTCAAGGAAGCCGGAGCCGACGCCGGTGCGGGGGGTGGATTCTTGGGCGCCGGTGGACGGGTTGATGTGGGTGACCCAGTCGGGGGTTTCGTGCACCGTCACAGCCATCTCGATCAGGCGGCGGCCGGCGAGGCCTTCGCGGGTGGAGGAGACGTGCGGGTCGTTGGAGAGTGAGTAGAAGCGCGGCATGAGCTGCGGGAGGACGGAGAGGAGCTGGTCGAGCGGCGGGCGGGCGGACGGGAAAGCAGCGAGGAGTTGCGGGACCGTGATGTGTGGCCCGGTGCGGAGGTCACAGAAGGCGCCTTGGCCTTCGGCGGAGACGAGGTAGGTAAGGATTTTCTTCTCGTTGGGCGCGGAAGTGTGTTCGGCGAGGAGGCGGAGGAGTTGTTTGGTGGGAGGTTGGGATTGGAGGTCAACGCACCAGGCGAGGAGCTCGCGGCGGGTGGTGGGGAGGGATCGTGGTTGTTCTTCGCCCCAGATGGTCGGCCATCGGCCGGTGGTGGTGTTCAGTGTGACGGGCTTGTCGCGGACAAATGATGGCACGCCGAGAGCGTTGAAGATGGAATCGACGACTTCGTCCGAGTTCGCTGGGCAGATGCCAATTGCGCCGCCAACTTTGAAATCCACGCCGCCTTCACTAGGGTAATCGGTCACATCGATGTCGAAGTGGAACGTCCGTTTCTCCGCGCCCGGTTTGGTGAGTTCGCGAGCATGGTAGAGAGGAGCAGAGTAGACATGGTAGGGCGGGTGAGGCTGGAGGTAGTCGGGCGGATGTTTGTGGACCGCAGAGACATGCTTCGGCTGGTTTTCTGTAATCAACGTGAAGGAAACCTTGGATTCCGGGAGCTCAGGGACGGCGGTCAACTCGGTCTTGAGGCTCAATGGTGTGAGTCTCAGCTGCAACCCCCGAAACGCGTCGTTATCGGGCAACTGGACCGGGTCGAGGTTCGGTGGAGCGCGAATGGGCAACTTCTTGGACAGACAACATCCTCCACCGCAGCAATACCGCTCAATCAACTTGGTGCCGGCCTGTCCATCGCCCAAAATTCGACGCAGCTGCTCGTTGTCCCCGGAGAGGAGTGTTGTCGATGCTCGTCGCTCCCGGTCCCCGGTAAAGGTGACAGCGGCGACAGGCTGGTCTTTGACTTTGTCCACGACATGGTCAAGCTGCGATTCAGGGACGGATGAAGATGGCGTCCCGGGAGCTTCGGAGTCGCTCGACCAAGCGATCGACTCGCCCGAGAAGCGTGGAGAGAGATTGTCAGATGAGGAAGCGTTGGATGATTTGCGAGGGCGGAGATTGTGGTCGGATATGCCATGTGGTTGGTGAGGAATCGGATCAGAAGAATATGACACCTTCGTGTGTGAGGTGGTCGATGATGATGTGGATGGACGGCGAGGGCGAATTGTGGTGGTGAAGTCGGTATGGAGAGGAGACATGGTTGTGGGAGTTCCTGTTGAACGCAATACACATGTCGTTAGCGACCCAGCGCATCTAGGTAATAATGAAGAGGCCTTAAAGCGTGTTGTAGGAATTGCCATTTGATTGATAATGGGTGAAGGTGGGATGAAATGTTGGTGATGACATGGGGTGGTGGTGGTGGCGGAAATTGTTACCAGATCCTGTTATCTTTTTTTTTATCAGATCGATCTTGAGACCTCGATGATTTTGATGATTCGATGTCACACAACCTGAACAATCTAGCAATGATCGTCACTTGTTGGCCTTTCTTCGCCGATCGACACTGGTCTAGATCATCAATTGTGTGAATTGGATCGGATGCTTCTGCGCGAATATTCAAAAGGGCGGATTGTACGATGATGAAGGAAAATGAATAGCCGAATGATGGAGGTTCAGAAAGGTGAATCGAGGTATCAATTAAATGAGTGGATGAGCAGAAGAGGGCCGATCGGAGAAAGGAAAAGTGGAGGGAATCGGACAGGAGAAGCCGTAGTGGATCAGCCTTTAAGGATTAACGGATAACTAGTGGCTGTCGACGGTGATAGACGGCGGATTTTCTTGTGAGATGTGGTGAACCGTGAAAGTCCTTCACCAACTCCGTGGTCATCAGCAGCGTCAGATATAATAACTAGGTGGCTCGGCTACAACCTCTCCCTCCAGCCGTATAGCCTCGCGATGCTTCTTCCCGTGGGTGGATTTGTCAATTGTCAATGGTGTAGTATTAATGCCAATCGCGTGCTCCTTGCAGATGATTGTCACCAATCCACCCAAGTCCAGTTCTATCTCCCCTCGGTACTCCCCAACGGACTCGGTGGATTCCCAGCATCCTGTGCCTTTTCCGGCCTCGATGGTAACGCCGTTCAGTGGACGGGTGGTGATGATGATGTGATGTCTCGTGATGGTTGGATCACTAGAACGGGGATGGTCGCTTATTTGCTTTGGTATTAGCAGGAGTCCAGCATCCCAGGGACATTGGTGGCGGCGGATCCGAGATTCGGCTACTGCAGGATAACACAATGAACAATCGCGATGATTCGCTAAGAATGTCCACTGCTCCGGAAATCTGATTATCGGATGGTTGGCGATTGCGGAGAAATTATCTGATGTGACGAGATAATCGATAGATGCTAATAGAGGGGGAAGATGCCACAGAATATCTGTGTTTCTTGGGTTTTCCCCAAGGCTTCATTCCGTATTCGATTCTATACGCCTATTCTTTCCCTTTTTAGGGAATAGATCACCATTGTAAACCATATAAAATAGCTGCAGGAACAGCCTGTTTTCGGAGGATCCGGCTCTTCAGGATCAAGTTCAATCTATCTACGCTCTTTTGGAATTTAACGAGGTTTTCCCACCGTGTCGCTGTATTAATCACCTGATTGAGCGAAACCGCTATTTATCTCACAGAAGATAATTGGTACTGATGCCGATATACCCGGATTCTTTCGATCTGATATAAGCACGAGAAATAATCAAATAAGTCGTGATGGATACGGCATTCATGGGAAAGAATTACTTGATGTGCCAATTGTCATGTTATCAAACATTCAAATATCCTTCATTTTGCCTTTAGTTGCGGCATCAGATCGTGGTGGAGGATCCTGTTGCGGGCACATAATTATCACATGCACCACCGAATGGTTGGTGCCTCAGGCGATAATACTAAGGGTCAGGTGATCCCCATCCTATCCCTATGACGATGCTCTCTGTACATAGCATTTTGGATAGGACAAACAATCTTTTACACTTCTTACTTTATGCATTAAGCATATAACAGGTCCATCCGAACAGGGCAGTAGGCGTGCCAACTATGTGCTACTGGTCCACCGTCCGACACCTCCACAACTACCCCACGAACGCCTCCCCCCAAATTCCAACCCACACTCATACACCCAGCTCCCCAGTGCCACGTGTGCGTCCCACACCAGCAGGATAGTACCTGCCCTTGGTTTTACTTCAAGTTCTATCCAAATCTCACGGGCCTAGTGAGGACGTCCTTGAGACCGACTCGGGATATAACCCACTCGAGAATCCTCTGCCGGGATAAGACCAACTGCCTGGATCGCTCCCTACCTGAAGAACTACCATGTCGCTGAGGTCGAGGACATGCAGCTTCAGGGTCTACTAGATGCTAGGGAGGATTTGTTCGCCGCCCTCAAGGAGAGTCATGCTGAGGTCGAGAAACTGCGCGAAGCCGCAGCGGCCGATCGACTGATTCATCGGCAGAGCCTTACCCACCAACAGGGCCAGTTAGATGAAGTCCGTCGGCAACTCAACCAGGGCGGCTTCAGGCCTACGAAGCGCGAAACGACCAGGAAATTTAGTAGGAAATGGAAGCTAGCTGTTCAGCTTATCACTCGATAGGCCGATGTCTATTCACGACGGTTTCCCTCCATCCTAAGCCCCTGACTTTCTCCAGCATCCAAATAATGAGCCTAAGCCCTCAGTCTGAATCTCTGACCACTGAGACAAAGACACACTGTCAGCCTTTCTATTGACAATACTTTCATGACATGGTTCCCCTCAGTTCACTTTTCATTTGGAGTTAGGTCAACTATATGGTAGTTCCCTTCAGCAAATGTTCAATTCTAAATGGGATTGAGATGCATAGCAGAGAGACACTCCATCAATGCAATCGACCAGAGAATAATCAACCCCCTCGGCCATACATTATATGCATATTCATCCCGAAATCTTTCACCGGACAAGAGGATGCATGGGCATCATCAGCTCTTGACAGCTATCGCCCATCCGAAAATCCTGTCTCAGGTCAGAATCGCAGGAAAACGTACCCAATACCCGTGGAATAAAGCGACAATGCTTTGTTCAAGCAGCCCTACCCGACAGTCCCCCACCCGCTCCCATCTCGTCCCCATTCAACCCCTTCCCCCCTCCCCCGCTCCACAATCCCCCTCCACCCCCTCACCACCACATCTGCCATCACCGTCCCCTCCAAACGCCCCACCGCCTCCTCAATCGGCAGCAAATAGCTCCGGTACCACGATTCCTCCTCGTTGACCCCTGTGTTCGCGTGCTTGGTCGGCTCGAACCCGGGCGGCTCGAGCGCGAGACGCGCGGGGAGGGTGAGCGTGGGGGGGTAGGGGGTTGGGGGCGTGTAGAGGGGTCTGGAGGCGGATGGTGGGTCGCCGTCGATTTCTGTTGCTGTCGACGGACCAGTACCTTCCGCAGCTATGTCGGAGGTTGAGGCGGGAAGTTCGGACGCGGATGGCGGAGGGAGCGTCTCGCAGATGTACCAGAAGAGCAGGTACAGCGAGCGCGAAGAATTGGGGAGCATCTGCGTCCAAGCGGGCTCGGTGACGCAGAGCGAGGCGAGGGGGAGGGTGCCTCGGGCTTTTTGCGTGTGGATCGCGTCGGGGTAGGGTTGGCGGTGGACCATGGGAAGGGGGAGGAGCCGGTTGGGGTAGCCGGACTGGTGTTGTGATCTAGTTAGTAAGGTGGAGTGCAGCACGCTGTCAGTCATCCCGTGCTCCTTATACATCCGATTCTTTCAGATCGAAAGCCGCGGTTCTAGCGACCGACCTGCCCCATCATGCCAGGAAAGCAAGAACAATCAGAGGGTGTAACTGTGCATCTAACTACTCACCTCCTCATACCCCTCCCGCTCCGCTGCCTGCCCACTCTCCTCCCCCGCGTCCCGCCGCCCCTTCGGCAGGAACCAATACTTATCCCGCTCATGGTAGCACACCACGACGCGACCCGAGGCAACGTGGAAGATCGCCGCGCCGCATCCGATAGTGAGGTGCTGGGAGGGGAATTGCGCGACTAGGGGTTTGGATATGGCGGGGGTGATGTGCTCGGATAGGGAGAAGGTGCGGGTGGTGGACGGGGGGCTGGGGGGAGAGAAGGTTGTGGAGGAGAGAGGGAGAAGGCTGGGGCCGGGGTTGTGGGGCATTTTGGGGAGGGGAGGCGCATGAGGATGGTTAGATGGAGGTCATAGATTTAGATGATCGGATTTTGATCAAGATAGGATTCGGGGTTTATATGCCATAGAATGATGTGATTTCGGAAGGCTGCTGCCTGGCGGTATCGCTGCTCTAAGCCTCGAAAGTTGGAGGTACGTGCATCCGAGCTCTTGTACTGAGCCTCATTATGACATTTTTCTAGAATTCTAGTAGATTGCAATTATTATCCAGTAGCCTAATTATACTTTTGTATAGTTAAGAGAATGAGGGTTGTGTTAGTGAGTTTCGTAGCATCTGAGAAGATGGAGCTTGAGGTTCAGTTACGCTGGTGGGCACGGGGATGGTGACGCTTGTTGGCCTTGTTGCCTGGGGGATATCAACTGCATGCATGTGCAATGCAAGTGCAACTGCGACTTTATCTCAGTTGGGACTCAGACGGGATCTGCAAGATGGTTGTGGCGGTGCAGGCATCTTTCAGATGCCGTCTGAGGGCCTTTTGCAAGCATTTTGGTGGGCGCATAGGTGAAAAGAGCGGATTTGGCCCCTACGGTACACTAAACTCCACCAAAATTAGCGACCGGGGCCGCCCCCAAAAGTTCAACTACGCGTGCCCTTCGAAACCGCCGATGCTAATCCTTTATTGTAGGCTTATTTCGATATATTTTTTAATATACTATAAAAGAGTGGGTTCTTTTACCCTTTACCTAGCCTCGCGTAAACTTTTGAGTACTGAAAGTTAAAATAGTTGACTGAAACGGCTGGGAACTCTGTAAACTTCAGCTACGCGTCCACACAAATCTTACAAATAGACCTCAGACGGCATCTAAAGATGCTTTGCCTGCACCGCCACATTATAGTCACGTGCAGCGTCTGAAGATACCGTCCAGGCTGGCTAATCGAGGCGAGGCGTCGCGAGGCCCTCGCCTCGCCTCGCCTCGTTCCTCGATCAACCCGTCGCGAGGCAGTCGGTATATCTTCGGATAATTAATAAGCGGGTTGGAAAGGTCTCGCTAGACCCATTTGGTCCTATTCTACCAATCTTTCATCATCTCAGTCCGTATCTTCTGGATGTGACCCAGATTCTATGGGATTTGGTGAGCTCATTAAACATTCCAGCTGGAGTCATGAATATTGAGGAGGTTTTGGTCAAATCCAAAGCCAATATATGTATAATATCAAGATTACTCTCAACGTATAGAATCGATATCAATATGTCGTCTTTACAGTCGTCTCTACCATCGTTTTCCTCCTCTTTTTCTGAGTATGCTCCTGACCCCGGCGGAATAGGAGATTTCACGCCTGATCCAGAGTTTCTCCGTGAATACGGTCTCTCCCTCGTGAAAGAGTATCATCGCTTATCTAGCCCGCGAAAGCGAAGCGTTGTATGGGACTGGGGATTCGTCGCTCGCAGAGTAGACGAGGAGGAAGATATTCCATATTGGGTCTGCTATATCTGTTGGCGAAGGGCTCGATCCAACCTCGATTTAAAGCTCTATAGGGTCGGCGCGACGTCGTCTGCACGAGACCATCTTATAAGAGATCACTCTTTCTTGAGCCGTGGATCACAGGTAATCCCTCCTGGATCTCGTGAATCGTGGGCTCTCCATCACCATTCTCTGCCTCTCCGGAATGGGCTCTTGAATGTCAATGCGGCGTATTTAAAATGGGTGATCCTCGACGGTATACCATTTCGCCAGGCCTCTTCTGTGGCACACAACGGATTGATGGAATCTTTGAGCGGTGGAGATCCACAGCTCAGAGTAAAGAACCACCAATCCGTATACAATAGGGTGGCCAAGGTATACGAAGAATGCCTTGTTCTTGTGTCCCATACACTTTCGCGTGCATCCAGCAAGATTTCGTTGTCGTATGACATCTGGACGTCTGCGACCGATATACCCTTCTTTGGTATCGAGGCCCATTTCATCTCCGGCGGTGAAACACCACGCCAACGGAATACCCTCCTCACTGTGGAAGAGGTTCAAGGAGCTCATACAGGGCGAAATCTATCACGGATCATGAAAAACACCGTACAGGCGTATAAGATCAAGGAAAGGATCGCTTACTTGATGTCTGATAACGCAGATAATAACACCACGGCGGTAGAAGAGCTTGGAAATATTACCAATATCCCGGTCTCTGGAAAACGGTTACGATGCGCCTGTCATATCGTTAATTTGATATGCAAACAGCTATCTACCGACCATTTGGCTGGCACGGACAACGACGAGTCAGATGGCCTTCAATGTACGCAGGACAGTGGCATTCCTGGCCATCCAGGACAGAATCTTCGAAGTCCTACGCTTCCAACGAATGTCGATGTGGTCTCCGTTGAACGCCTCAAGTCTATCATTACCCATATCAAAAGTAGCTCGAAACGTGAGCAAGAGTTCTTGACGATCCAAACCACTATTTTAGAGGGTATGGTCGATCAATCTCAGCGACGTCGCGATCAGCCTCTCCGTATTATCCGTGAAAACCAGACACGGTGGAATACAAGATACGACTCGATTAGTCGTGCTCTCCGTTTACGCGCTACAATTGATCAGTACTGCGCAAGACACGCCTCTCTCCAGGGGCTTACAGGGGCTGATTGGGCTGTTCTAGAAGAGCTCCAAGCGATTTACCACCCCTTCCTTATTCGCTCCAAAATCCTAGAAAGTAACGCTGAGGATGGTGCTGAAGGAGCTCTTTTCGAATCTTACCTCGTTATCCACTTGATCGTGAAAGATTTAGTCTCTTTGATCGCGGAGATACCGAGGCGACCGGTTCTCCAGGAGCTCGCATCGCCTCTACAGAGAGCCCTCTCTAAGGCGATGAAATACCAACTTAAAATGAGGGACCCGCAGACTCCTGCGTATATGCTCGCGGTATTGCTTCATCCACGATATAAGAAAAGGTTCTTCGATCTCAAGGAACCGAAAAACCCTAGCACGGCTCAAGTCATTACTAAATTACGTGAGTCTGTCGCCACGTTACGGCAAGATATATCCGTCCCAGAGAGCTCTTCGTCAACGGATCATACCGTGCGGAGCGCCTACCAGGACTTCTTAGGTTCTTGGGGGCCTGGATTTGAACCACAGGAAATCTCCTCCGTGGATGAGGTTTCTGAATATCTCAACGAGCCTCAGGAGAAGATGAAGGCCCCTATGGAATGGTGGGTTGCTAATCGTACGCGATTTCCAGCTCTCTATAGGATCGCTATGGACCTTTTTGCCACTCCAGCATCCGCCGCGGATATGGAGCGGATATGGTCCTCCTGTGGGCGACTCCTGGACACAGAGAGAGCCCGTATGAACGCGAAGACGTTGAGGAAGTTGGTGTGTCTACAGCATTGGTTTAGAAATGGTATTATTAGTGATCTTGATCTCGAGAAGATCGTCTTCTCACAGGCGAATCTAGCGGTGGATAATGACGACGACGAGGAGGAGGAGTCTAGCTAGGAGAATATAGTATGCGATCTTCACCACCACCGTCTTTACCATCCTCCTCACCGTGATATCGACCTCTGTATGGCATACAGGATTACGGAATTTCATCTTTTGGTACGCTCAACCATGGTTCCAGCAGGCGTCGCGAGGCGGTTTAGTATGCAATCGAGGCGAGGCGAGGCGAGGCGCTTAGTCATCCCTCGCGACGCCTCGCGACGCCTCGATTAGCCAGCCTGATACCGTCTGAGCTTGCTGAGATAACTGCGACTGCAACTTCGCGCCCCCTTTCATCAGCTTGAGCAGTAGAGTGTGATCAATGATTGATCAGTGTGATCAGTATCTGCCATCACCCTTGCGCAGTTTATCGCAATTAGTCAAGGACGTTTTGAGTTTTAGTTAGATGTCTACGGGAATGGTACATTCCATAATTTTACACGCGTCCCTTTATACCCTTATTCGTCCTTCTCCAACTTGGATTTGCCCCCTTCTCGTTTCACCTTCCGCTTCTCGAGTATTCCCATGGTGGGGCACTAGGGAGTGTCGCACGTAGTGCTCCAACCCCTGACTATGTCCTCTAAGGCCTTCTTCGGTAGGTCGTCCGGCTCTACTCACACTGGATACTTGAACATGCCCATGTTCTCGGAACGATCTCCCGCGGTACGCACGCGCATGTATCCGTCTTTGGTCATCAGGACCTGATCAGGTTCGCTCCGACGAAGAGTTGGCCGATCCTATCATCCCAAGGACTCTTCGTCCGGAAGGAGAGAGGATTGGTTTGGCTCTGCGGATCAAGAGAAGTGACAGGCCACATGGTTGTGCATCGCAAGTATCCAAGGTCATATCATGGTTTGGGGCCGTCTTCATTGCTGACAGTTGTCCTTGAACCCTGTGGTTCAAGTATGCAGCTCTTCCGTTGCCGGTTTACGGCCTATACTTCAACGATGTGTTTCTGGGCCCCTTGATCTGGGTCTGGCCTCATTGTGATCCAGACGGGTATGAGGGTTCATTCTGTGTTTGGTGTGTGCTAGGTGCTAAGATCTTTGAAGGTAGGTACTCTGCCTTTTGTATTCCTTAAGGCCTATGTTCGTGCTCATGGAGATGTATATAGAAGGCATGCTACTATCATATATATTATTAATACTTCGACGTTGAGATCGCGAGGCAAGTTCTCCTGCTACACATCCATCGCAGCGTTGCGGAAGCCATGATCGAATGTTTTTTGAGCTCCGTTATATACCTGTGCAGTATCGCATTGATTCGTTGTCCTCTTTCCTATACGTTCATATTGCAAGCTGATAGACTCAGAGACTGAAAGAAAACCACAGTATTTGTATGTCTTTGTATTGATTCTGATAGATGTTATTCTATTCGACTTGGAAATTCAGTGACAAACCCAAAAAGGCAACAACTATGAGCTCTGCTGGAAAAACATACTCTAGACTTGGTTTATGAAATTAAAAATTCTGAAATCTGCGGGGTCGGAGCGTCGATTTGAAAAGAGTCGGGAGATTATGATGAGGCATAATTGCTGGAGACAAACACCACTAGGAGCTTGCACATTTCTCGCCGCTAATAAGATGACACCACGAAGCTCGTGGTTCAGAAGGGGGAAATTTCTTGCCATTTCGTTGCTTATGGCAGTGATTAATCTAGCATTACATGGAAGAAGCAAATAGGGGTATCATCAGTTTCGTAGTCAGCCCGATATAGGGTGGCGGCAAGAGGTTTAGGAAAAAGAGTTCCGCTCATCTGCCGAAGTACTTCAGCTCTAATGTCCTAAGCCCAAGATAGCTGACAGCAGCAAACGCAAATGCTAGCTCAAATCCAACGTCACCCCCAATTGGTGCTTCGCCAGCATGGAGGGCAATCGGCCCAACGAACCAAACTTGGCTCATACCAACAACCATACCGACGATGCCGAAGCAGAAGGCAACCACGGCAGCGATTCCGTGAGGGAGTTTGGAGGGTTGATCGTAATATTCGGGTCGATAACCACTGAATCCGCGCTTGAAGACGAAGTGGTCGGTCAGGACAATACCCGTGTAGATTGCAAGCCAGTAGCCTGTGGTGCAGGTCAGTATTATATATAAACAGATAGATATCCTAAGTAACTCACCAATGAAGACCAAGAAATGATCCAGAGCCTCCTCGAAGTGCGAGTAGCCGGCAATAGCAATCGCAACGTAGACGCAAGTACCAATGATGGTCCAGACGAATCGAGGGATGCGTTGAGTCCAGCGCCCAAAGATTTGCATAGTAAGAGCAACAGAGTAAACGTTTGGACAGTTGTTTGCGACGATGGAGAGCGCCATGAGGATTAGGCAGAATCGACCGAATCCTCCGAGTTTGGGGAAGAGTACAGCAGCAAGGAGGCCGCCAGCTCCGGACGATTCATAGCCCTCCATGTAGATGTTATCACCACCGTTGATGCTTGTGGCAGTCATAACGGCAGCGGCGAGTATTTCGGTGAATAGGAGGGGGATAATGAGGCCGGTGAAAGTAGCGAAGAACACCTTGACGCGAGAGGTGCTGGAAGGCATGTAGACAGTGTAGTCGGCAGCATAAGTAGACCATCCAGTTGCGAAGCCAAAGATGGTTGCACCAAATCCGAAGATAGAACCCATTTCGACCTTCCCGGTACCCATGGGCATGTTTACAAAATCTCCACTGTGGGCGAAGATTCCAAGGGTAATGAGGAAGACGATGAAAGTCGGGATCCAAGACCAGAACTCGTAGACATGGACGACCTTGTATCCAAACAGGCAGATAATTAAGGTGCAGATAGAGATGATGATGATTCCCGCAAATCCAGGTACGTCGTTGTTCACCGCATAGATCAACTGGGCCCCAACAATGCAGTTGACGGCTGACCAACCGACGCATGCAAGCGTGTTGAACACACCAACCAGCTTGACACCGTGCCAGCCAAAGAAGAACCGGGAGAGGACCATTTGTCGCAAGCCGAATCGTGGGCCGAATGTCGAGTAGTAGCAGACGGGTAGAATGCCGATTAGGTTGAAGAATAGGATGACCAGGACAGCGTCAACAAATCCAAGGTTGTAGACCGATTTTCCGAGAAGTCCCAGTGCGAATGAAGATACGACCATGTTGGCTGAGAGCCACTAGATTCGTTGTGAGCAGCCATTGACCAGAACAGAATGGACTGCTATTTACCATTGTTCCGGTGTTCAACAGACTTTTGAAACCAACATCAACGCGCTCCTCTTCAGGAACACGTTCAATTCCTCGCTGTTCAACCCCATACTTGCCGGCAAGTCGTTGGAGTTTCGCATACCAGGTCTCGCCGATAGCGAATGATTCGCCAGGAACGGTTCCATCTGCATAGTTAGAGGAACCACGATGATCATAGTTGGGCTGGTATTCCTTGCCCCCAGTGACATTCTGCTTTTCAATGTCCGACATGTTGAAAGTTGCAATTGTCTTGGGGCGTTGCAGTAGTGTTCGACCCCAGGTATAAACGATATTTGGGCTCTGCGAAAGAGTTTAATCCCAAATATCTTGTTATCGAAAGCAAGAAACGATGCATTGACCAGGAAAGATAGGCGGGGGTGGACATGATAAGTATTCGTAAAATCTACGTGTGGTGGGTCTCCATCGTAACCCAGCAGGCAAGAAATTCAAGATCCAACGATAAGTCTATTCCTCTTCGGGACCGAATGGCCCGGTTCCATGGAGACGCCGCCCACATTCCAGGTCGCCGGATTCCATGATATGCGAGTCTCCATCAAAAATGTCGCGTGGGTATCCCCTCTTAGACTACATCGATTATCGAGTCTATCTAGAAGTCTAGGCTATCAGGTTAACGCTCAGTCAAACTGAGCCAGAAAAATCTGGGTTCGGGAAGCAAGATGTCGACTTTTGCTACTAGATCCAATTCCCACGTCCCAACGGCGAAGCTAGTCTGCTAGCGTGGACCGCAAGGGTCCAGACACGAGAAAGGTGGGATAACGACCCTGTGGAAACGCTGGTCGGTTCATCGAATGTTGGAGTTTGGAATGCGCTCGAATAAGGGAAGAGATGCGGCATGCCTGGAAAGCCGAAAAGACACGAACCAAATTGCACCCCGGATTGCTGATAAGCTATTGCCTGCTTGCATCACTACATTGAACAAGACTGAATACCTATCGCCAATTTAACAGCCCCCTGAAGAGCAGCCCTGACAGGGGTTAGAAAAAGGTCGCAGTATCGACGATAAAGTCGAAAATGGATAGTTATGGCAAAAGACTTTTACGTCTGAAGAACTTGAAATAAGACCCGAGTTGCCAAGCGGCATAGAAGGCTTGTTTGAAACCACATCCGTCTATTGTCATCGAACAGAAGAGCACCAGTACTCTAGCAGAGCATGCTCATGTCCTCATCGATTCAAGAGTGAGGATTGTGAATCCGGTTCGCGATGGGCATCAAGACAACCCCAGATACCATTTTCATGTCGATGTTCACCGATCATTCGGGGTTGCACATCGGCAGTTCGGCACCGCCCGAAAGAGGGTCCTTGGCAGAGCCCGCGAGTCTCATCTCATGGCGTGGATTGTTAATAAAAACCTTGACACAAACACAATCGTGTTTTGCGAACCGTATCTCGTATCCAGGAACTGCGTATCTAAGTGCCCACAGAGCAGGCTAAGCAATGATTGATGACTGTGGAAGGGTAGGATGTGGTTCAAACTAAGAACCAGCGGGAGGCAGTTGTTAGCCAGAACAATAGAATTGAGTCACATGATGATGGGTATTGCGAATCCACATGCCTATCGCCGACACAAAGCTTCAAGTTGCAATCAAGCGGAGCTTATAGCTATCTCGGAAGCCATCTCAGAAGCAACCGCTAAGATCCCGGCAATAGGCTGGAATCTCGACCAATGTTATATCCTATCCGACTGCCAGAAGGCCCTAGGCACGATCAAAAGACCGCAATGGAAAAAGAGTAAACCTCTCCAGGAGATCTTCCAAAAACTAGCAGAGGCTAAGAAAAGAGGGTTCACCTTCACCTTCCATTGGGTGCCAGCGCACAAGGGAATACAAGGTAACGAGAGAGCTCACGACCTCGCCCAATCGGCTACTACCACCGGATCCGGACCAAAAGAGCATACCATAGTACTAAGACACGCGATCACGCAAGGAAGGAGCCAGCCAGAGGTAAAGAGAAAAGCCTTTCTCGCTAAAAAGATAGGACGTCTCGCGAAGGGCCTCGACAAAGCATTACCAAGCAGGCACACAAGAAAGCTCTACGACAAGCTATCAAGAGCCCAAGCAGCCCTACTAGTACAAGCCAGATCAGGATACTGTCGCCTCAACAGCTACCTCTACAAGATCGCGCAGGCCGAGAGTAGCGACTGTGAATGCGGAGCAACAGAGAGCGTCCATCACTTTATACTAGAATGCACGAATGGGACGAACAGAGACAACAACTGAAGACAGTGGCGGGAGCCCGAGCAAGAGACCTACCTTTCCTCCTTGGAGCGTACGAATCAGAACCAAAGGACGGCCCGATCAAACGATGGTCTCCGAACATGGAAGTAGTTACGGCAACGATACAGTTTATCCAGGACACTGGAAGACTAGTCACTAGACCCAGGAACATGACATCCCTCTACGCCTTCTCTCCCACACCTTCTCTCCTAGTTATACATTCCCTTCTACTAACTATATGGTCTCAACCCTCCGACCCGACGCTGTGCCCGAGTAAGAGCAGCGTCACTCTAGATCAGAACCTAGAGGAACAGAGGCACTCAGCAAACTGACCATCTTATTCCCTTAACACAGTTATAATATTTCCCTATGTTAGCCGCAGATATAGAAGCTAGTTAGAAGACCGGAGATAGAAAATGGGGGCACAAGGCCACAAGGCACCAATGTATGTAATTAGTCAGCCCAGGTAGTTCCCCACATGGGCCTCGCCGAGAGGCCTGACGGGCGTATGAAATCTCTCTCTCTCTCTCAAGTTGCAATCTGTGATCCAGGTCCAACCCTTCGGAAGCATAATGTCGCTGCGACTTTGACTTGCTTTTGTAGTCGTCGGAACTCCCCTTCCGGTCAAAATTCGCTTGCTCTCCTGCTTCGCTGATGGAATGCCGATATTTCTCTAATGCAAGCCTGATTTAGTTCATTCGAGCAATATGCGGCTTTTGCATACTTTGAAATACACTCTCCATGAGTTCCATGGCGATGGCATTCCCGAATATGTGATCCTTTCGCACACCTGGGGACAAGGCGAAGTGACCTTCCAAGATATTCAGGATGTCGACAAGGCTTCGGCCAAGCCAGGGTTCCAGAAGATCGCAGGAACATGCCGCAAGGCGGCATCAGATGGCTTCGAATATTGCTGGATCGACACCTGTTGTATCGATAAGAGTAGCAGCGCGGAGCTATCAGAGGCGATCAACTCCATGTATTCGTGGTATAAAGGCTCGAGAATATGCTATGCGTACCTCTCGGATATCTCGAGGACGGGGACTCAGGATGCCGACTTCGGGAAGAGTAGATGGTGGAGACGAGGCTGGACTCTTCAAGAGCTCATTGCGCCGGCTGTAGTTGAGTTCTACGACGTGAACTGGGAGGAGCTTGGTTCCAAGTCGAGCATCCAGGAAGCTATTTCTTCCCTGACCGGGATAGGGGTGCAGGTGTTGCTGGGCGACAACCCTGCTGAGTGCACCGTCGCCGAACGCATGTCATGGGCATCGAAACGATCCACAACCCGGATTGAAGATCGGGCATATTCCCTCATGGGTCTGTTTAACGTACATCTGCCGATGCTGTACGGAGAAGGCCACAAGGCGTTCGCCCGCTTGCAGGAAGAAATCATGAAAACTACGGAGGATTATACCATCCTTGCATGGTCGAGGGGTCTTCCGAGATGGGCTGGCGAAACCTTTTCTGGTGTGCTTGCTCACAGTCCCTCGGATTTCGGCGAACTCGATTTGCAACTCGTCAAGCTTGATCGGTCCATCCATCATTACTTGGAACTCAAAAACATTTCAGAGGGTCTCTTCACGTATATCGCGCGGCTCTCAAGGTCCGACATTATAGAGCTTCCGCCTCCTACGATGACTAGCAGAGGTCTCCACATTGGTCTACTTCTCGCCGACGACCCACAGACTGGTTATACTTGGGCATGTGTTGCAATGCTGCCGCAGGGCGGCCTCTGCATCTGTCTTGAGTCAACCAGTAAGGATACCGGACAGTATCGTCGGAACCTCCTAGCCGGGTTTGCCGTAGCCACTGGAGGGATATTTGCAAACAGTAAGAAAGGTGACGAGATCCTCTGCCATAATAGCAGGGAGCAAAAGATTCATTTCAAATACCACTCCATCTATGCCGAGCAGACGCCTCTCCGAACCCGGAAGCAGTTACTCGATGACATGATCTCACCGATGAAGAAGGTGTACGTCACAACGGATCATCAACTCCAGGTCTCAAGAACAAGACATCTGTTAATCATAAGAGAGCGCGGCAGACTTGTTGAGGAGAACTTCCACTTGCCCGTCACCCCTGGAGGTCCATCTGACACAACGCAAGAATTTCATGACCTATGTGACCGAAACCTCGAAGATGCATCCTTGCAGTGCATAATGGATACCGAGAGACGGAGCCCACCCCCATCCCCCATCTGCCCGGTACCAGGTCGAAACAAGATGAGAGAGGATGTCTCAGCAGCCTTGGCGGTGTTCCATATCGACTCGCCGTCCATTGACTTCATCGTCTCCTTCGGACTTCAAAACGGCGCCTTATGGTGCGACATTGAGCGGCTGGAACCCCACAAATTCATGGCCCTTCCCGTCCGAGGTCTACCCTTCTCCATCAATCGCTCATCTGACCGCGCAAGGTGGCCACGAACGACGAAGAAAGGGCAACGGATTGTTTCGGTGTCATTTCGACGTGCGCCGAGATCGTTGTTTGGTCCGGGACTTAGCAGAGGTGTCGAGAGATATGTGCTTGCGCTGAAGGTCAACAACCCTTCAGGCTCGGGGGGAGCCGAAGTTAAGATCCCTAAGGCAGACTTGGTGTTGCTTGATGGTTGGAATCAGTCGGATCCAATTCGCTCGATAGCGGAGGAATCATGACGGCGTGTAAGCCAGCGATTGATTATTAATGTCCCATGGGAAGAAACCGAGATCCCAGCAGTGCTCTTGAAAGTGAAACCGTGGGAATATTATTGGTGGTGGCCGTTTCCAAGGTACAAGAATACCAGGCCATCAACCCTCATTTAATGTGGAGGCAATTCAAAAGAAGTTCTCCAGTCTTCAGGTGAGATCGATGACCTCTAGGGTTCTCTTGTACCTCCCCGCCATTTCAGGTGTTAGCCTTGAGGGAATGGGTCATGGAATATAGGAGGCGGAATGAATACTGGCCGTCTCGCAGGTGCTCTGGCAGCCGAAGCTGAGGGCGGCCCTCTCGAAACGGTCTCCTCCCTGGTCTCACCCCTTGGGGTACTGAACAAAGCTGGTTCGCTTGGAACAGTGTCGGTGGTCGGGGCAGGTGATTTCTTCGGAGGTCTCCCGCGCTTTGGCTTGTTTGCGGGTTCCTCACTTCCCTCGCCATCGACGCTCTTCCTCTTCCGTGACTGCTTTGGCTTCTCTGGTTGCTCAAAGATGTCTGCTGGTAGCCCGTGTCGAAGCACGCGATCAAGCAACTCGCACTCAAGTGGCTGGGTATGGTCCCGATTATTTTCTTCCTCGAACTTCTTCTGTGCCATCGTTGAGTCGCTCGCACGTTCCCATTTTTGCTTGAGATTGATCGATGGCATGACCGAGAGAGGAGAGTATGTAACCTTGATCTCGGCGGACTGCGGATATTCCCCGTTGACTTTTCGGCGACGTTTTATTGTGATGTTAAACACCCGGTTAGCAGCCCGTTGATCAGGCTCCGTTTGCACCAGCGATCGTGTCAGGATAATCGGGCATATATTCTCCATGAAGCCCTTTGTCCATAAATTAAAACGGCCCGCGAGGAACCTCCGGAGTGCTTCGAGATCAAATCTTTTCTTCAGCATACCATCCAGATAGGCGCCAACCCTTGCGTGATCCTCGGCTGAGCCCACCTTCGGGTTGCGGTAGTGTCCGACATGTCGTGAGTTTGGCCAGTCTAGCTCAACTCTAAGTCCAGGGAAGAAGTCGACGACTTCTTTCCGCCACATATGCAATTGCGTTAATGGGCACTGCACGAGAGAGGCTCCTAAGCCAGCGCGTGCTGCTTGTAGGGCTTTTCTGGGGCCGCAATCTGTTATCCCTTTGGTGTCGTAATCAGCCCCACTGAGGACTGCGAAGGCCGTAACTCCGGCGCGATCAAGTCCGCCCTTTTGAAGGTCTTCCTGGGTATAAATTCGGACATGAGTTCGGCTCTTCCCCTGGGACGCTTTGCCTTTTGACGCATTGTGGGCACCGGCTCCTTCTGCGTTGTCCAGTTCTTCGTCTCGTCCCTGGTTCTTCCTTCGTTTCACTTCCTTCCCCGTCTTCACGTCGACCTCCTTGCAGAAGCGAATGAGCGTTGTACATCCGAACATGAACGCATCGCCGTCATCCGTCCAAACAGCGTCTACAATGCCAGTGCTTTGAAGGGCCGCACATTCCGCTTCTGCTTCTCCCGGGGCTTCACAGATCGGCACTCTCATATATCGCAAAAGCTCTTTTAAAAGTCTCTGTTCCTCATAGTGTGGCATGCCACTCGGCCTGCCTCGTTTCCAGGGCCGGCTCGGTCCGTCAAAGACGAAGACACATTCAATATTCCATCGGAGCAACCGGAACACGATGTCCAAGATAGCCTTCTCAATTGGGTTCGCTGCAGGCACTTCTATTCCATAAAGTCAGCCAGACAATACACTGCCGCGATGATATCGATCCGGAACCGGGTTAAGATAGAATATGAACAGGGACGTACTGTCTTTTATCGTCTTGACTTGTGCTGGAGTAAGGTTACGAAAGCGAAAGGTCGGTTCGTCAATAGCAATTCTGAGAGGTTTCCCCGTCTTTTGGAAGTGATTCGCGGAGTATTCTGCAAGAGAGACAATCTGGCCGCCTCCTAGGACGTCCCAGAGCCTGGATGTGAGAGCTGTTAGCCAGACAACTATATCCCCAAGGTTAGAGGCAACTTACCCTGGGATTCCCATTGCTGCACACAAACTGTGTCGTCACTGCAGTCCAATAGTACCCTAAAATGGTAAACCCAGCCAGTCGGTAGTGCAATAATATTGCGAAGTCTAGGATACGTCTTTGACGCAGGAAGTGTGCAGGGGAGCAAATACAGGATAGGAGCCAGGAGGCGCTGGAGGAGGTAATTCGTAATTATTGAAATGACTTTGGCGACTCTGACGCGTCGGGGCCAATAACACGCGTTCGATGGAAACGCGCTAAGCACACGCTGCATGTGACTCCCCTTCCGTTGAATCCTCCACCAACAGCAAAGACTTCATTCACATCCAACAACTTCGAAAGAAAAGGTCCTGAGCAAGTTGAGGGGTGGATTGCAGTTGGATAACACGTGCATGGTAAAACATCCGCTGTCATGACAAGACTTGCACTTCTCGAGCCAGGTGAAAACAGCATGAACATACCGGCATCGATCGTGCCGTCTACAGAGTCCACATAGAAGAAGAGACCGATGCCAACTCGTGAGACAATCCAGACTATCAAGATCTGGCAGTTTTAATCTATCGGAAGCCTTGCGCTGATTGCTGCTCCCAAACTATCCGCACATTTCATGATGCCTTGTGTCAATCAAGACAACAACTGATACCCAACCCAACTATTAACGGTTTAGGAAAATGGAAGCGACTTACAGGTACCGTACATCAAGGGGAACATTGGTCCGACTGAAAGAGAAGGAGCCTACAAACTCCCTAGTTTGATGCACTCAAGTCTAGTGAGGACAGTGAGATAACCCATCTCCATTACTCTCATACTTCCCCAAAAAAGGCGATACGAGAGCTCATGACAACCACCATGAGTTGGTCCAAGCAGATTGCACCTATCGCCATCATTTCGTTCTTTTACGGGATTGTGACCCTTCCGCCCAGCCCTGAAGGTCCTGAAGGGTACTGTTCTCGAGACTGCTTTACCGTCAGTTGACCTATACAGTCACATGAGGGTGATGTTGATGTCGAGAAAACTAGCTTAGCAGACTAGACTTCTTAGCGGTACTCGAACAGCGTATCCCAATGGTGAATCTACGGCGCTGGTTGGTGATCCTCGAGATCAAGTTTGATCCATTTCCCTCACTGACCCAACGGAGAGACATACCTTCTGACCGTGACTAGAGTGTCTCGGTGAGACGGTCGCAAAATAAGCAAGTCGCCGCTAGAACCTGGCTAAGGTTCGACCCTTTCTTTGCAATTCATGCGGGCACCTGATCTGCTGCTGCATCGGAAGTCAGCCAGCCAAGGTTCTGCATGATATAGTGCCCCCCATTCCACTGGCCAGGATGAGCAAACAATGGCAAAGTCCGGAAGTAGAGGTACTCCGGACCAAGTGGAAGAGTTGGATGTCCCGGTCCCCAAGACTATATGAGATCGCATGCCAGCAGCGAAGCGACGAGTACCCTAGATGCTGCGGAAGTATATGCAGCAGTTGACAGCTTGTCATGCTCCCAACTCCACCTGCCCTCTCCCTCTCCCAACAGCGTTCTGCACGACGTGCATACGCCCGCGGCGTACACCGGTTGTCCGTACCTACATCAACCCAGCAACGCCAGCGCGTGTCGGAACCTACGCAATGAAGGATTGACAACAAAGCACATTGGGCAGCAGTCCGCTCTGATCTCGACCTATCTGGTCGCGACGTTTCCCCGCACGAGCGAAGTCACGTCCGCGGAATCAGGCGGAGGTGCAGATTAAGTGCGGGATGCATGCGGGCGTTGCATACAGGCTGCAGAGGAGGGCCGCTCACGCTTGCGGTTCGCGTCGGGTTGCAGTTCTCGGCTAATGGTTCTGCGTGTTGGTAATGCCTTTGAGCTTACGTGTCCGGGCGAGGTAGTCGTGATTTATTGAATTGAGTGATGAGAAAATGGAACTGATTATGAAAAGATGCTTAAAAGCGGATGTTAAATGGTGCATGCTAACGAAGCTCTTCGCTTTCTTGAATCCATGCCCAACCCTAGTCCGAGCTAATTACTGTTCAACCCCTTCCCCTTGAATGAGCAACACTCAACGACAGTTCGATCGATCTCACGTTGACTCCATATCCCCCGTTTCAACTGCTTCGTACAGAGTTTCTGCCGCCGGAATTTGATAGGGCGATGTTCATGTTAAGGCGTACTCCGCGCAGTGATTAGAGAGCAGGGACACTATATAGTCTGCATTGGGTACAATCTGCTGGCAGCTGAGTGATGGGAACAGAAATATTACCCTCTAGGTTAAAATAGAGAGCTTATGATAGCTATTGATATCGTACGATAGGTACCTTACACAGTACATCTGCTTCATACGAGCAAACTCTCACTGCAGCACCTCGTGCCCCATGACTTGATCACGGGAAGGATGCGATGGACAGCATAAGTCGTGACAGTGAACCACCATGGCTCTCAAGCCCCTCCATCCTAGGACGAAACCGTCCGTTCCCTTTGACCGTCATAATCGTTGAATCGGAACATCCTGATCCCCCTGCTCCTGATGAAACGCCTTATCGTCATACCGTGGCATGGGACCAAGTTCGTTACCCTAAACAAACACCCAAGAAATCCAAACACCTTCACTTTTGTTCCAACAGCAGTCGCACAGGGGTGGCTTGTACTCCGTTGGTACCACCGTCGCTCATAACAGTCCTCGATAACTCCAGTCATAACACGCGTTTTCCACATAGCAATCACCATCGCCTCAGGCCATCATTGCCCTCGCATGCTCCAACCCCTCCCGCTCAATACTACTCCTCCGCCGCCTCTGCCGCTTCAACTCCTGTTCCGCGTCCATCAGCCGCTCCTGCACCCACGCCCGCATCCGCTCGTCATGCCGCACGCTCGGCGCATTGAGCAGCTCCGTCAACGTCGCCTTGATCTGATGGTTGATGTCGAAGAGCTTGGCCTCGTCCGCGTGCAGCTGCGCGGAGTTGGGCGGCGAGGACGACGCGGAGTAGAGGGCGCTCTCGTCGGAGGAGTGGGAGTGGCCGGGGAGGGCGGGGATAGGGGCGGTGTAGTTGTAGTTGTAGAGGGAGGAGGCGGCGGTGCTGGTGCTCGTGCTGGTGCGGCGGGTGCTGGATGTCGACGGGGGGGAGTTGGAGGAGGATTCGGGGACGATCATTGGGTAGACTTGGGGGGTGTTGTTGGAGAGGCGTTGGCGGAGGAGATCGTGCTCGTTAGAGAGGAGATAGTACTTGTGTAACGTGAAGTCCATATCCTGTGTACGGAGGTTAGCGGACGGAATTTGTTTCCAGCAAGATTTCTGGGGAGCTCACCCTGTCGGGATTCCTAATCGGTGATGGTGACATGACCTAGTCGGATGGCATTCGCATCTTTTGCATGGAATTGAGGATGGGAAAGGTTCGATGTGGGTGGTAGGTTTGTGAGCAGATGGGAAATTAGGTGAGAGGGGAGGAGTTCCAGGTGGAAGGGAAAAAAGTAGGGGCAAGAAAGTCTTGGTGTAATAGAGTACGAGTCGTGAAGCAAGGATGGTATGAAGTTGGTGGGATGGCGGAAGCAGCTTTCCAGGACTCGATCGTGTTAAGACGTCCGGTCCACGTACGAGAGACCCTGCTTCGTCCAGCTCGTGTACAGTGTACTTCAGCCTTCAGGTTACAAATATGGTGTGAGCATGCCTGATGCGTGCGCACTGTGCAGCTAATGCTGGGCTCCGTAATACTTCGATCGAGGTGGAGATGGTGGTATGATGCGGTCACCGGTACGTCAAAAATCGAGTCTTGACTGAGGAGCTCGAGGTGTTGCGCAGCGCAACAAGTGTATTTGGGTATTTAAACTTTATCAAATAATCGAGCCGATGGTGATAAAAGTTATTTGTCCGCGATATGACGACAACATCTCTCCTAAGTAAGACGTGCTCTGAATCGACGATCGAGATACCACGCCTTGGACGCGATTCTTAAGGAACTCCTCCCTCTGGCTTCCTACATGCTGGTGGACAGGTCCTGTACTTCAACATTCCTTGGTTCGTCTCCATTCCCCCTCTGATCTGGTCGAATACACCAGTGAGCATTATCGCTTCGTGTCTCACATTCTCACACTCTCACCACTCGTTTGAGAGACGTGAGGGTTCGACTTTCGAGCAGCGAACTTGCGATCCGCTGTCCATGCATCCGGACCGGTCTGCCGAACCAAGTTGGGTGATGGGTACCCGTACTATGGTGGCGGGATTTTAGGTTGAATCATTCGGGGATCCTGATTGGTCTTTCGGACATATTTCCGCCGAACGGGTGGGTAGTCCGATAAGGTTAGTACGTGATAAGGGTGATCCTGTTTCCCCTTCGGATTCCTGTTCTGATATGTCTATTTACTTCGGCGTCGATTTGATAACCGTATGAGCAAGATAAGCTTCAACTTTATCGCAAACACTGCGCTAGTTATCTAGTCTCACTCGTTCCTCAGCCTATGTTCTCGTCACATCCGGAAAGGCCTAGATTCACATTGTGCTCGAAAAGGACGTCATCGGTCGCCCCGCCCCACTCCCAATCAACAGCCTGCGGTATTTCGACTGCTTCCTTGATTCAAACACATCAAAACAAGCTTCGTATTTTCCGAAATAGGATGGCGAGCCATGACTGATCAACTACCGAATTCGCTCAGCCGCTCCTTGCGTCCGAACGAGCCCGTCAGACGCCCACGTTTTCCATTATGTACGCCCGACTAACTCGCCTTCGTCAGTGCCTGCCTATCACTGCTGCTTAGAGAACTGGTTGTGCTTCTGTCAGTTTTGTATGGTCTCAACACAAGGTTAAGGTGTGGCAGACAGTGGCGGAGACATGCGCAAAGTTGGATATCATGATAGGATTTTGAGACTTCACATGGGGTTCCTAGACATAATAGAAGATCTAGATCATAGTCGTGAAACTTATAGACTTCATTCTCAGCTTAGTGTAAGCGCTTCCTGAGAATCGAAATAGAGAACATGCATCGTCGATCATAATTCAGATGACGTAGGAGGCGACGCCACACTAGAGCGTCTTCATTCCGTCCTATTTGACGGGAATGACTGCCAACCTCTAAATGAATCCACGCCGAGAAGCCATCTTACTTAGGTAGGTAAGGGTCCAAATCGCATAAAACGGGTATTCAACAACCTAAGATCGGAGAATTTCGGAAATCATCCCGATTCAACGATCTGAATTGGGACGAGTTAAGCTTACGACGCATCTGAGTCTCCTGTCTGAGAGCCGGAGAGTGTCTTTGTTCGGGCAATAGCAGTAGCTGAATGCCCTAATTCACCAGACTATTGATATGATATAATAATTAAAGTTAACTAAGAGTTTTAGAAGTCCGTCAGAGTTACATTACATATTCTCCAGTACTTCATTATTCTTCGGCCCATCAGGTATGAACCTGACGAATGCGTATTAACAGCACCTTCGACTTTAAATTGCCATATGATGCGGGATCACCATACTTCCCTGGCACAGAAAGATCAAATCAAGCGTACAGAGCCTTTTGCCACCAGTCGCATCTCTTATTAGCATTCGGATCTCTCGCTGTACTTACGCCGGCCGAACCGTAAATCCGGATGGTTGAATTCGCCCCGTACACCGGGAATCCCGGATCGCCACTCTTCGCAAAGGACACGATGGCACGCTGGTGCTCCAACGCAATGTTGACGTTGCCGGTTACCTTCGCCGGCTCGCCATCGTAGAACGTGTAGGGAAGATCGAGTCCATGCAGGCCGGGAAAGATGGTAAATTCGTAGCCAAAGGTCTTCCCGCCATATGCCGTTGCGAGGTAGCGGGTGTTGCATATGAAGATCGACTCGGATGTGGAGAAGGCGGCACGGCCGATGTGGTCTTTGTATGGGGTGCTTCCATCGAATACCGGTGGATATAACTCGGTGAAAAGATAATCCAGGGTTTCTGGTTCGATCGTGGGTAGGGAGATGGCAGTGTAGTTGCGGAAAGCCTCCTCATTCGTGACGTACGAGGGAGTGAACAACAAGCCTTCCTGCGAGTTGAACGCATGCATGACATCTAACCGCTTATCGAACTGTCCTCGAGCGAGTAACTGCCCAGGAAGGGCAGGCGTGAAGCTGCCGTCGACAACCGGGCCGAACGCAAACGTGCCGGTGATGGATTCGTTGACTTGGGCGATGTTGGCGCGGATGACCGCTTCGCTTGGGACACGCCGTGCCTCTGCGAGGGTGGAGACATTCAGCAATGACATGTATTTCTGGAACGTCGATTCCTGCTGATGACTGCTGGTCGTAGGGAGAAAGCCAGGGGATTGGGGAATTGCACGAGCGAAAGGAGCACGGCCTTTCAGCCCTCCGTATGCCTGTCCGCTATGTTAGTGACGTTGAAGCACAAACTTTGGAATACCGTACAGTAATGTGGTGAATGATTGAGCCACCGCCCGCTGACTCGCCAATCACGGTCACCTCATCAGGGTCACCTCCAAACTTGGAGATATTCTCTTGAATCCATTGCAGCGCAAGTCGCTGATCCAAAAGTCCTGCGTTTGCGGTTCCCCCGTCCGCTTGGAACGTAGGGCCTGATAGGAATCCAAACGCGCCGACGCGATAGTTCATCGAGACGAAGACAAGGTCATTTTCAGCCCGCTCCAGCAACCCGACTGGCGATCCCAAGAACGACGATTTCTCTCCTACCGTGTAGCCACCGCCATAGATCCAGACGAGGACCGGAGCCTTCTTCTGTCCGTATCTCCCATCCCAGGCTTTCTTCGGGACGAGCACGTCGAGGAATAGGCAGTCCTCCGTGGTGCGCGGGTCGATGCTTACGGAAGGAACTGACGACGAATTCCTCGGCGGTATGGGGATACCCAAGTAGTCTAAGATGAACCCTGTCTGCGTCGCGAACCACGCTGGGGAGGCTTGAGGACATATTCTGCCTAGGTCCCCTTTTTGAACTTCTTTTCTGTCGACCTTGGGAGGCTGAGGTGCGGCGAATCGGAATTCTCCAATGGGGGGTTGCGCATATCGGATATTTGAAAAATTATAATACTGTCGAGTGGACTGTACGTATTGTTAATGTCCTGTTCATCTCTTGTGCCATTCAAAGTCGTCATCCGGGTCACAGGCTATTGTAGAGTGCCACGTATGGGACTGATGCTCCCTTGGGAAATTTCAATTGAGTCCTTACATTAAATGAAATGGCTTGGTGTAGTTCATATTTCAAGTCAACAATTGGAAGATCTGAATGACGGCCTCCTCCATTAGGCGCAGCAAGACCGTTAGAAAGGCATGACAATGACGCGACCAATATCGAATTGACACGCATTTTGAAGAATAATTAATGATGGCAATACCCCAAAGCAAAGATAAATCGCACGATACGAGAGACAAAGAACCTAATATTGACCGGATCAAGGAGATATAATACTGCAACCAACGTAATTGCCTATTCTGTTCTTACCGCGGGACCAACGTCGTCGTTCCCGCTGCCCTCCGTACATCGCACCAACGGAAGGATTATTGATCTCATAACGCCGCTCGCTTCGTCCGCGCGAATCCAGATTCCGGGTCATGATGCCCCAATTAAGCCTAATGCTGACTGAAATTTCTCAAGGCGTGGCAGTTGTGAGTGAGTTTGAGTGGTGGAGTTGGTCAGTAGTAATGGCGAGGGATCGAATCGGAGGACGATCTGTGTCGAAGGAGCGGGGAATCCATGACGATATATGCATCTCGCAGCCTTCCATGATTCCATCGTGTAAGATTAGGATTCTAGCGGATCTGGGAGCCATTTGCGGTGAGGTATCAATCCTATGGAACTGTTTAAGGAATACCATCGTAGCTTAGTGCTTTAAGGTCAGTTGGGTCATTTCATCCCGTGATTTTGAGGTTGAGCCTCAATTGTCTATCTCAAACACATTGAGGTCAATGCCCAAATCTGTCGACCATAAAGCACCCCAGAGGATAGATAGACATGCAGATTTGTAGATTAGCATGCAATCACTTCCTGCATGAACTTCCGAGGCATTTTATTATCATCCTAGCAGGCCTCTGTCCTTACTATCCATGGGAGGACATGAAGGAGGACATCAAGGATCGTTGACAAATGCAGAAGGCCAGTCGGTGATCCTGGACCTATATGTCGAATTGTCTACCGATACTGGCTCGATTACCAATCGCACCGCTTGATTCCGAGTCCATGAATATCGAAAAGTATCCTTTCCCAACCTTTTTCCTGCAGGCCACGAGGCCTTCAAAGGGATCAAATCCTTCGCGGTGTATATTGCTGAATATCGGCCAATCCATAATTTCCAGCATGTATTGCTCCATCGAACGTGAATATGGCGTTTCGCCATTTGGTAAGCAGGGCGGTGACCTCCCGGAAAATTTGTATGGACCGTCTTTTGACACAGCTCAGTTGGATGAACTGCTAGCTTCCAGAGAGGAAACCACACTTAGGGAGTGTCATATGGCTTCTAGAACATGAGGCGATTGACCTCCTCTGCTCCACGATGCTGCTACGGATCGTCGTTGGAGGAAAATTCTTTCCCAGAGTCTGCCTGCATGAAGGATCTGGTCGACGAAGGTAAGGATGGTAGCACGGCAACAGCCGTTATGCCTCATCCATTTCCTTCCTTGCGCCCCAAAATCCTTTGCCATAACTTACCAAAATCTCCTCACCTCTACGGATTCCGTTCTTCCATTTCCCACTTTTGCCGGCCTCTCTTACGAAAATCGCAATGCATCTCTCTATTCTCGTCTCCTTGCCATGGGCGTATTCGGCCCATACGTCGCGAAACTCAGCATTCGGTGCTTGGACCAAGGCACCTTTTGTAGTGGATGCTTGAGAGCGTGAGATTCCATTTGCATGCGAGGAAGACTTGTGAGGGGCAGGGGAAGCAGGGACACCGCGATAGTCATTGACGAAACGAGCCTCGTTGCCCATCTGCTCGCCATCCACTCCAAGTTCTACAATGACATCTTGCCCCTGCTCTTCACCTTTGGCACCAGCGACACTCACCGCCTCCCGCACAAGGCTCAGGTCATAGTCGCTCGTGCTATGGTTTTCCTTGTCCGAGTTCCCATGTACGAAGCCAATATAGAATATAATGTGCGAACCGGGCCGCAGGTCCTCGGCGGCGAAGAGACCGTGTTGTCCTCTCGCCGGATGCCCAGGTGTGGTGATCGGAAGGATGGAGATATACGACGGAGAATGCAGAGGTATTTTCAGTGCTGGAACCAGAGAAGACGTGGATCGAGGCGGATGGAGGGTTCGAAGCTCCGTTGAAGAGAGGTTCGGCGAGTGAACTGGTATGGGAGTATACGTGATCGAAGAGGGCCAGTTCCGTGGTAAGGTCTGTTTCGCTGGTAGCGGCATTGAAATGGGCGATCGTAGTAAGAGTCGCGTAGAATTGGCACAAGTGGAATTGGATGAGATAGAAAGGAGATCACAAATAATTCATATTGAATAATAATACCGAGGTCGCTGGATCGTATGATCGCCTGAGGCAGAGTTGGGGATGAAGTGTCTGATCACTGGAAATATTTCCAGCCTCTCCGAGGTCGTGGGGCTAGGAATCCACCTCGATGGAGTAGGAGAGTGGAGTTTATCAGAACCGTCAGCCCGCAGCCCTCAGGAGTTAGGGCCTTCAATGTCCACTTTTTGATCCATCAGACTTGTAAACAGCTTGGGAAAAAAGAGGCCGTGAACCATGGACGATACGATATGGTCATTGTCGGAGAAGCCATCCTTCTCCGATTCTAAAGGTGCCCTTTTCCTTTTCAGGACTCCGGATTTGCTTGTCGTCCTCAAAGCAATGGGGTAGGATGATGGATCAGAAGCCAAACTGGATGGCTCCATGGTCCATCCCTCCCCTGAAAGATCAGGAGAACGAAGGATCGAAATTTGAGATGTCAGAACTCAGATGTGTCTCACTCACTGTTTCCGCATGGACTACTCCACAGTCCATGAGCCTATGAAGCTTCTCGATTGCATGTTAAAAAGTAAAACTGGGGATGGCTGCTCACTGCTGAGTCTAGAAGGGTGGGGATGTGGTGCATGGATATTTTGCGAGGTGCAGCCCATTATAAATTATGAAGGTGTATCTTGAGATACTATAGGACTAGTACCTTAGGTGTGATTGTTGTCGTACTGGAACATCGGATTCAAGCTGTAGATACTGTAATGTAGATACTCTATGGAGTACTCCGTACAAACATCACCATTGCAGCTCTGCCCGGATGCCGGACGGCTTCAACAATCAACGAGGATCTGCTTCCGCACATGCAAACATGGGCACAGCGCACGATCGCGGTGGGTCAACTGATGATCTCGTTCATTCATTATTGATTATTCCAACCTCATTAGGAGATAAGATGCGAACATAGTTAGTCTGTTTACTGTTATTGGTAGAAGAAGGAAATTACTGCCGAGGCTAACCAAGACCGTTTCTTAGCATTTATTGTCGTATCCATGGGATTCACAAGGTGGGAAACGTTCAGCATCATCATCACGTGAATATGTCGGAAAAGATCTTAAAAGGGCTTGGGAAGAGTCACGAGATTCCGATCTAAAGAAGCCACTGCTCCGTATGGATTCGGGAGAGTTCAAGTTCTTGCTTCTCCTCCTGACTTCACCATCCTTCGTACTCCTGCTCTGGTGCCTGGATCAGGCAGCGGATGACTGATTCCACTCGGGTACTGACAACAAACCGAATGGTCTAGAACGCTGTCCACATATCATTGGTTCGACCATTTCGCAGCGCAGGAGGATTTCTGCAGGAACCCGCCCTTGCTTGAGCATACACCAATGAGCCCTGGAGATGCATAGAATGTGCTTCATCACTTGGCTTTGGCTTATGACAGCAGATACATTTTACAAGCATTTAGGGAGGGGTTGACGGTTGGCCTGTGTCGTTGCAATTGGTGATGGGAGCCAAATCGTAGTACGGGCTTGATGCTCCGTGACAGTCGGGCCACCATACAATTGGAATACTGGAACCGACACTGTGATCGGCGCATCTCCACCAGTATCTGGTATTCGACGTTCTCACCGCGGTTACGGGTGCCGTAATGTTGAACGACATTACCATAATGATCTCAGGAATCAGGACACAATTTCTCGGGCCAACTATCAGATGGTCGCATATCTGGAAGCGAAAGCGAACATCTGCTGGTTTAAGTTGCTATGGAGTCATCCATCCGTGACTCGATATTTTGCCGCCAGATTTCGGCAAGCTACAACAGACCCATTTGTGGTGTTGTTGGCGGCCTTCCCATAGGTCTTCGCCAGCACAATATTGAATCAAATTACAATTAATGCCCAATTATTGTTACCATGGCTCACGTTCAATGAGTCGAGTCTACCAGTATGGAACTCGTGATGTCTCGAGACGCCCACACCAGGCCCCAGGGTCCAGACTTCACAGCGACAAACTTTGGTTGCCCGCTTCCACGGTCCCAACTTCCACTCCCAAGACTTGGGAGTTAACTTTCTCGCCACTTTATTCTCGTCACGCCTCGTCAATCGTCCGGAAATTGCGGCCACCACGCCATCCAAGCCAATGGTCCGGTGCGGGTATCTGCCGCATCTCTTTCATCAGTTGGTGGGTTGTTTTTATGCAACCTTCATGCCCCAGAGCATGGAAGCAGGTTCCAGAAGGACAATGCCGTCATAGTAATTTTAGCGCTGTCAAATCGACTCCCACTGATCAGTGATCACCGCCCACCGCGGTCTCCAGCTGTCAGCAACATGCAATAGACGGGAGAGGAACATGGGGATTTCAAAAGGTTGATTGTGGAGGGGGCCATGATCCTGACAATCCAACGTCTTGTTGATCCACTCACGCGACCGAAGCAAGACCCAAATCTAACTAGGAGATATTGAAGACTGATTGACAAACGGCACAGCAATCCAGGACCCCAGCGACCGTTCCACACTCGTAATCTCGGCATGCAAAGACCAGGCGTCAATGTTGAGCGCCACTGAGTTGCACCGCTACCTCGCCTTTGTCAAGGGAACAAAACATGCCGAATTCGTGAGGATGGCCGATGACGAGCATGGGTATCGAGATGGGACGGAAACTAAATGAGTCTAGCCAGCGCGAAGCCGAAAGCTCGGTCTGTGAGTGGTCAGATCAGCTGCTAATAGTCAATAGTGCAGCGGTGCCTCAGGGGACATGCAAGGTTAGCCCCTAACTTGTTCAAGATCCCGACCAGGCCCCTTTTGTGTCCACAGGAACCACTTTCCACCCTCGATGCGGTTTTCGCTTCCGTTGGTGGAAAAGTGCTTGGGTCACCCACCAGAGCGACGACCCATTCGGTTATCCGTGCAGGAAGACCAGTCGCTCACTGTCGCTGGCTTAGCGTCTCACTGGAGCACTCTAGCGGTAGCTGACTTTGTTGGTCTCCTGCTCTCATGTCATATAAAACTCCCTCCATCCATGTTTCCCTCCCGTCCTTCTTCCTCTCTCCACTCACTACAACATCTACGGACAGTCTCTCGTTTTTATCACATCCGTACTCACGTTTCTCACGCCAACTTCACGATCAACTCGACTTTTCGATCTCTTTACTTCGGTAACCCTTAATACTCCAGCAAATCAATCAGAATGCGTTTCTCAACTATCGCTGCTGCCACCCTGTTGGCCGTTGGTGTCAGTGCCGGTGGCCGGAATGGCACCGCCCCTCCAGTCGTTACTGAGGTCGTGACCGACTACGTCACGTACTGCCCGGCGCCCACCACCATTACCCACGGCGGCAACACCTACACCATCACCGAGGCTACCACCATCACCCTGCCATGTCCAACTGGCTGCACCGTCACCAAGCCCGTCTCCAGCGCCGTAAGTACTCCAACGCTTCTTCAGTGCATATCCTGAACCTGACCTTTTTCAGGTCGTGACCAAGTGCACCACCTGCGAGAAGCCCCCGCCGGCGCCGACCTCCAAGCCATACGGCAACGGCACCACCCCCGCTCCCACCAAGAGCTCCCCGTCCGTCGCTCCTCCCGCCAAGACCTCTGCCGTCCCGCCGAAGTTCACCGGTGCCGCCAGCCAGATGGCCGTCTCCGGTGGTGCTTTGGCTGCCATCTTCGGCATGGCTGCCTACCTCCTGTAAGCGGTTTCCGACCGCGAGCGGTGGTGATCAGTGGAGTTGGATTGTCCATGTGGTGAAGATAGGAGGTATGGGAAATACTCGTCAACGCATGGCAGCGGGAATCTGGAGTCTGCCAAACAGCGACGAATCGCCTGTCACGCCCCGATCGAATTTCTGGTTCTAATGCGCAGGGCACGGCACGCGTTGGACTTTTAACCTTCAACGGGTTGTCGTGTTTGCTTTTTAATACATTGGACTTTCGATGTGTGTGGTACTTTCATGTCAATACTTTCTCTGGGTCGAACGAGAGAACTTCCAAGCATCGCAAAATGTCAACATGTTCTTATCATGACACATTCAAAGTTCAGAGTTATTCCGATCTATGCACATATTGTAATACTGGGAAGCATTGCTGAGCTGGCGCGCCTGGCGTTATATACAGCAAGACACCAGGGGTTGCTGTCAATGATCCTCAGCTTTAATACCCTTTTCATCTGGGCGGGTTTTTTCTGGTCTTTCTAGACAAGATGCCATTGCGTTGTCACATTGGTTTTGGCGAGGCATATACCTTGGGAGACAATTTTTGTCTGTACGATAGATCTACGGCCAATCCATAATTCAAGTTCAACAACGCAAGCCTGGGGAAGACCAAGTTTTTGGCCCAGATTCCTTCGAACAATCCTCCGGGCCCTCGACAATGCAACCACGCGTGAGATCCTCGTCTATCTTTATTCTGAATCCGAGCCATCGCAGATCTTTCCTTTGCCGACCAGCGATCGATCGTAGCCCGTAAAAATATTCCCGACTGTATGACGTACAGCTCCACTCCTCGATGCTGAACAGGCGACTTGAAAGTCTTGACTTTGTAATAATAGCAAGGCCTAGAATCCATCCAGCCTCACAGGCAGTATTTCTTCCGGTTGCCTTCTCGAAATTCAGGTCCAGGGTGTTCCGTCAGCGTAGGATCCCCTCGCATTCTCGCATAATCTAGATTCATTACCAGGCTGGAGGGTTTTGACAACGGTGTTCATGCGTCTTTCGGGGCTAACCGGTCGTCTCTCCAGTAACAGTCAGAACTCAGAAGTGCTTCTAGAGGCAACACGCATCATCCGTCCTTTCCAAGATCTGCTGATGTTCCAACCGCCTAACCGCCCACATTCATTCATCGCCTCTAATGGCAGGATCCTCCGTTGCTTTGCCGCCGATCATCCTTGTCCTTGAGGAATAGTCCTGAGATATGTGTGTGGCGCAAGGACCAGCCGTCTCAGGACCCGATATTGGCCGCAATCTATTTTCGAGGTGCCACACATGGGAATCCATCGCAATCCTCGAATCACACAAATTCGGTGATCTGTTCCTTATCTATGCGAATAGGCTTTAGCGCGTGTCGTAAGCGACGTCATTCTCTATTGATGAAGCTTATATCGGTCGCCAATGTATTTGACAGTAGCTTGAATTGTTCCGAGGTGCGGAACTATCCAGAGGGCCGAATACCTAGTTGTTGTTGTTGTTGGGCATCCTTCGTTTCAGTTTAAACAGTGTGCGGATACGGTAACCTGGGTTACACAAGCTGGGTTGGATGCCTGCTTGGCGGTTGTGGTCGTCACTGCAGTGCGCCCGGTTGTGCCACCCGAAGGAACAATTGAGGGTTCACAACGATTGTGTGGCACACGATTTGGGGACACGGAGGCCAAGTTAGGTTGGAGGGAATATCGTCCTTACTTGAACTCTGATCTCTTGTGGACATCTGCCTCGAGCTGGCAGCGAGGAGTATCCGGTATCCCATCCTTGCTTCCTGATAAGTTCCGTCCGAGCAAACGGTCGTCCCGGTTGGACGGTCACACTTGTCGTCTGTTGCCATGGCCATCTTATTCGGACGGGGCCCACATGTGAATGTGATGTGGAAGCAATAGCAAAGTCGTCGACTGAGCCAATTTCGCCTTCGTTGCGGATTAATTGTCCTGATATATCCCTCCCTGGTTTCGGAAACTTCCAGTCACTGTTCCTTCTCAACATCCTTCAGTCCGAATTTCAAGTGCCATGGGTATCTGCCTCCGGTCAGAGAGCTCGATATATCTCTTCCACCTCTTGCACGGAGTGGAGACGCCCTGTGAGCCGGCATATCATCGGGCTTTGCTCCCATAGAAAGTCCCATGTTAAGTGTTCGGTCCGGAATTGGAAGACGCGCCTGGTCATTCTTTTACCACCCCTTCGTGTTGGATAGTTGCTGAGGGATCCTGTGGCAGACATACCACGGAAAATACATCGCATATGAACCATCCCCTGCTCGGTTAGTTCAACCTCAGCCTTGGGGAATTTCCGCAGTAGAGTGCTTCGCCAGGTTCATAAAGTGACAGTCCGTTGGGAAAACCTGCTCTGTGTCTGGAATCAGAGAGGTAGGGTCGGAGACGGCTCTAAGAAGAAAACTGACCAGGTGGGGGGTTTGCCTGTCCCAGTACTCTTTCGCAAAATCGACTCGGGCCGAACCATTAGGGAAGCGGTGGTTCATGGGTGGCCGCATTTCAGCTAAGTTGTGAGGTGGTCTCCTTCACGCCGACTCCGTTCCTAGCAAGGACGATTGATTTGGAAATGTTGAGACGCAGGACCGTCTGCCCGGATATCCACTTTAGAGACCCATTCCATCTACAAGTTCATCTCCAAATCATCTCCAAATCACGAGGGATATCCTAAATGACACTCCAGTATGCCTCTTGTCGCCCATGTCGCAGAGACCTGTTTCACAGGGAGCAACAGATATCAAATGAGAGTGGTGGAAACACGGACTCCCAGGCCTTTCGAAGTTATCGGTCGGTTTAGCTCCCGGTCTCAACACTGCACCATGAGTGTATTCCGAATCTTCGAATCGCATCGGTCGATAGTATGTCTATAACTATTCCGTTGGAACGAGTTAGCGTTGGATCGAATTATTTGAAAGAGACCCTGCTGTGGCACTCTCATCTGCTAGACAACATGACATTTCCTCAAATTGTTCAGTGCTACCAGCGCAGGTCTCCCATCGCCTCAAGCAGGCGACTTTGCAGCTCTCTTCTGGGGAAACCCATCATGAATCTGGGTCTAGTTCATGGAATGATCAAGAGAAAACACTCGCGACCTCCTCCAAGATCCGCGATCTTGGAAGGGCGTATAACCGTACCAAATAGAATTCTATGGTCCGTGGTACGCTCCTACTAAGCACTTTTCGAGTGAATGGTGACGGCATCCTCATGACCTCCGGACATCCTTTTTGCACGAAGCGACTTCGTCCGAGTACAAAATTGGATGCTCGCATATCGATCCCCCCTTAGGACATAATATAGCCGGTTGAAGGCCTATCAAATTGTCGATAATATGTTGACACAGCCATACAGCAACTCTGATATGGCAAGGTAAGAATGCTATCGTCATGAGCAGAAGCGTGTTCCATTCGCTTCCTTCTCGACTAACAAATTTAACAAGCTTGAAGTAGAAAAGAAGAAAAAGAAGAAGACTTTGAGCTTAGAGCCGATACGGCACATGCGATGCTAAATAGAGCAGTGAATGCAGGAACGATGATGTGACGCTAAAGAGTAGGGATAGCCTCCAAGTGTGAGAGAAGTGCATCTCCGCGGCGAAGCTGAAGTAGTAAGGCATACCAATAGTTACAATGATTCGATATTTGCCCTGAATGGCCTGGCAAATGCTATGATGTCGGTAGATGAAGAACGAGCTTTGAACTATGACCCATTCCCCCTCAAATATTCGCAGCGGCCTAGGAAGTTTATCAATAGTGCTTGAATTGATACAAGACTATGATCACTGAACAGAGTCAGAAATGCAAGAAGTCTCTGCTGAACGACAGAGAATATTTCCAGATTCCAGAAGTGCAGCAATGAATTGGACGGGCTGGAGGTATCTGTCAGTATCCTCTCTGCCTCTCTCGTATCAACCCCTGACTCCAGCGCACTATACAAGCCAAATACGCCAGCGCCACAGTGACGTGCTTTTCAACCTGGCTCGCGTTTTGATGCATCTTCTACTATTAAAGCCATCGATGGTTTGCATTCATGCTTGGTATCCAGCCTTTTTCAGAGTCACAGTCTCCCAGAGTGGGAGCAGTGGTCCCATCCCACGGCCAGCTGAGTTCCTTCCTTGAATCAAACGAGTGTCTCTGTGTTGCCCAGCAGCCAACTGAAGAAGAAAGGAGATGGACCACGAATGGCATCCGGTGCCCCTGTCGAGTAAGTCGTGTTCAGGAAAGATTCCGATGCCACACTGGCATACATGCATGGATCCTACTTCAACGAGTATCGTGCTTGACACAGCACAGCAGCAAACCGCCGATCCTGCTTGTTAAATCCTAGTGTCGATTTGGATCTCACGAAATCGCGGAGTCAATCTGGACCGCTCCATGTCACCCCAGTCACAGACCACTACTACTAGTTCAATTTCGTTTGAGTCTTGTCCCCTACGCACCGACAGCTTACCTTTTGCATTTGATGCTGTGTATATTTCGTTATTGTCTTTGAAGTTCAATATAAGCATTTCGAATTTTCAAGTCCCCAGGTTGCCTATTCTCTTGGTTAAGCCGCTGTTTCTGGGCGATATTGTAACATCTGTTACATCAAGCACGCAATCGTAACCATGGTATGCTTGATAGGTTTCTTGGCCTTCTCGACTACAGACCCAAGGCGCCATTCATGGGTACGCTAAGCGAACATCGACAGCCTCAGGTGCTTTCTGATAAGGCATCCTACAGCCAGTCTTTCTATCCCCTCATGATCTTTCAGAGTCAACGTCCTTTGTTGTGCGGCCAAGGCCATCTTAGTCAATTCATGACTGATTGTTGGATCGATCCGTGGGATATCCCCCCCACTGCGGCATCATGCGCGCTCTGTGGCTGGTATCACGACACGCCACAGCAATGCCCAGACGGTCTGGCCCAGCTTATGCCTCTGCGTATCGACCTTGGCGAGCAAACGACGGAAGCTATAAGGAGGGGAAAGATTCGGCTACAGTTGGTTTGTGTATCCAAGCGGAATTTTTCCTCAATTGAACTGGAGAGACACTTTCGTCAGCAACAATGGTCGGCGTAGATCTCAAATCTGCCAATCCGGACGAGTACCCTGCTCCCAGGGATGATGAGTTGCCCCTTGCAGTACATGTCGACTGGACGAAGGAGGAGGAGGGGAGGGCGAAGCGGAAGTGAGTGTGCACAATCCCAGGACTGTGGCAAGTTTTGATTAATGGCTATTTAGGCTAGATTGCATTATTATGCCTCTGCTCACTCTTGGATTCTTCTGTCTACGTAAGTTGACATCGACCTTCTACTCCCAACGAACAACTTCTCAATCATTGCCTTGCAGAGCTCGACAGAGGAAACATTGCGAACGCTATCACGGACAACTTCATGAAAGATATCGGCGTCACGCAGAACCAATTCAATGTGGGCCAACAAATGCTCTCCCTGGGCATCGTGCTTTTCGAAATCCCATCCAACATGATTCTTTATCGAGTCGGCCCCGGCAAATGGCTCACACTTCAGTTGTTCCTCTTCGGCACCGTCAGCACCTTCCAAGCATTCCAGCGTAGCTATGGCTCCTTCATTGCGACTCGGTTCATCCTTGGAATGACGGAGTCGGGATTTATCCCTGGTGGACTTTGGACGCGTAATGTTACCCGAACATCGAAGTCTCGCTCGGTTTCTAACGTTCGGCAGTCTCGACCTGGTACACCCGAAAGGAGACAGCGAAGCGAATCATGATCTTCTACTTCGGCAACCAGCTCGGCCAAGCGTCAGCGAAGCTCCTTGCATATGCCATCCTTCATATGCGAGGCGTTGGTGGACGACCTGGTTGGTTCTGGCTCTTTGTCCTGATGGGGGGATTCACGATCTTCAGTGGATTTATTCTTGGATTCCTCCTCCCTGACTCGTTCAAGAACCCGAGCAGCACTTTTATCCCTCGCTATTCCCTGTTCACCAAGAGGGAGCTACATATTCTCCGCACTCGTGTTCAACTCGATGACCCCATGAAAGGCAAAAAGAAGAAGACCATCGGACTGAGTGCGTTCAAGAAAGCTGTAAGTTTCCATCCTGTTGCCTATAATCTTACAACCCGGGGCATACTATGCTCTAAAAGCTCTGGAAGGATGCATCACATTTACAGGCCAAGGATCTAACGTCACTAGTTCACCCACTGGCGGATGTGGGTTCATCTGTTCATTACATTGTGCAACAACGGCCCTCAGCGTGCCTTTGATACCTACGCTCCATCGCTGGTCTCTGGCTTTGGCTTCCCTGCCCTCACGAGTAACGCGATGGCCTCCGTTGGTCTATTCGTCCAAGTTCCGGTATCCTTCGCCTTCAGCTATATTTCCGATCACTTGTAAGTTTGGTCCAAGCCGGACGCAACCTACCCCAATAATGTGTCGAGCGATGCTAACGTCTCTCAGCAATCGACGAGGAGAAACGGTCATGCTTGGCTTCGGCTGCCATCTACTAGGCTACGTCTTCAATCGTATCTTCACCGAATTCAACAACCGCCAGGGGGTCAAATACTTCGGCGTGGTTTGGACGCAGATCTTTGGGACATTCTCTCACCCGCTCAACATTACCTGGATGTCTCTCACCTGTACTGATTCGGAAGAGCGAGCGCTTGCTATGGCCATGTATGTCCCGACCCTTCATTCCTTGTGCCGGCCGGTACTAACGCGACATGAACTCCAGGGTGATCATGGGTGCCAATATCGCTGGTATCTACGGCGCGCAGATCTTCCGTTCCGAGGACAAACCCAAGTACCGCCGAGGCTTCAGCATCAACATCGGTGTCCTATCAGCCGGCTTGACTCTCGCCGCCATCAGATACATTGATGATCATTTCCGTCGTCGTCGGAACACTACTCAGCTGCAGCCTGAACCACTGACGACGGAGGGCGAGTATGTCGACGAGAAGAAATCGGTCAGTCCTTCTCCGGGCCAACCGCAAACTGTCTTGCTTGGCAATGGAAAGACTGCTCTAAGGTAGGTTGCTGCTTGGATATCAAGTCGATATATCAAGTTCGCTCGTGCGTACATGGGACGGAGACAATATAGGTACTCTTGGACCATCATTGTGGCGAGACACGAACAGATGGAAACAATATGTATCTCACAATCTTTTCGATAGTTCCTCTATACAACATTGTTGAGAAACGTCCCGTCTATGGCCCATCGGACAATAAAAGTAGTCAAGCTAATCAATTCCTTCCGGGGTGGAAAAGATCGATCGTGAATTTCAGGACCACCCAGCTGCCCTCCGTCTTCGCTAGAGTCACGGAAATTCCAGTGGCCTTTGTCTAAGTTTTCCTTCTCTTCGACTAGGCCTTCCCCGGAACGAGGTTGATAACGGGATTGCTATTGCGTGCATAGAGCGTTTTAACCGCATAGTCAATTGTATTCACGCTGGTGGAGCCCCGGGAAACACCAGATTGTAACAACGCTTATTTCAATGATAGTGAAAAGCTTAAGCCTTCGGTCCCGTGCTTGCAATCTGTCGAGACCCTCTGTAAGAGCTGCATGGTGCAACAGACTGGCAGCTTGTAGTTGCAAGCAGTACGTACCAATGCCGTGCTATTAAACAAAATCCACCGAGGGTCATTACCAATTTGAAAGAACAGGGGTCTTCCCAACCCAATCCGAATCTTCCTTCAGCTCCGTCAAAACCCAAGTGACGATGCTTTGCCTCGATAAGAACATGCCGTCTTCGCCCGAGCCTGTGTATGAAGCGTGCACGGGTTTCTCAGGACCATTCCCGAGGAAAGGAACTCTGAAAAGAGTCCACTTCAATTGAGACACCTCCTGCGAGCTGACGAACGCGCCGAGGCCCTGGAATTCTTGAAAAGCCGTACCGCCGATGATCTTGATCAAGACCACCGATGCTTTCCATTTCAGTGCTCCTTTGTCTTCGGGCGCCGTGAAGGAACAGGTGCCTAGCACCAATGCCCTCTTGAAGTGATTTTCGATCAGAAGAGGGAATATCAACTTCATGGCATCGGTAACCGGCTGCATTAAAGTTATCGCTGCACCCGGAAGGACTTTGAGGCCTAAGGAGACAGGGACCTACTGTGCCTTTGGAGCCGTAGGTAGGCCCTGCAAAGGATACGAAAATTTTTGCACCTGATGCCGCAGCTTTCTGTAGTCCAGTTGCATCGGATAATAATCCTTCGATCACCGTGACTTTGGAGTCGCCGGAAATCTCCGCTGGTAGTTTGCTTGGATTTCGGACATATAGAGTCAACTGATGACCCGCCTTCAAAGCAGTGGTACAAAATGCTAGCCCAGTCACACCTGGAAGAAGAAGATTAGATCTTGGACGAGGAGCGCTGGATTGGTACTTGCCTGTAGCACCGAGAACGAGAATATGTTCCGACATGATGTACCAAATTTGGATAAGGTATTAGGTATTCGGAATAGGCAGCTCTTTGTTCAGTCCCATTGAGTCCTTAAATAGTTCGGCTTTTGGATTAATTTGGTTGATATGCTTTCATTTGCTCATGGCCGTCCTATCCCTTCGTCTGCTGAAAACATGCCCCCTAGCCTAGGATGGCACGGTGACACTTGTACAGGGGTCATCTACCAATGAAATCCGTATATTTGCTGCCACTGTAAAATTCCAAGCTAGATTTCGCTCAAATGATGATGCCAACAGCCTCCTCCTGTACAGATAGGGATATTACAAACAGAGTAGCCGAAGCCTGTCTTTCCAGGACGCTTACGGTTAACTCCGTTGACGACAATCTCGTCGCCAAATTTCCGTTTCTTTGTAGCAAAAAAGACGCTTCGACAGATATAGCAACGAGCCTGTTTATCTAGAGCAATTAGACGGTGCTCTGAGATAGGCTTTTTGAGCTGTTGCGGTTGCGGAGTCGTAGACCTATGGAATAGCTCTGTCCTATGGTCTCTATAGACCTCGTCGGAGTACTTAAATAGCGCTGCGGCGAGCTCTCTCCGGAAGTCTCTCTGGCTTAGACTTGTTTCGGAGATCTGCCTCGATATAAGAAAAGCGTTGATGATAGCTGTATCAAGAATCCAGAACCAAATTGGATACCAATTCCGAAAGAACACGCGCTGCGTTGATGAGCAGGACCGGAGCTGATCTGCGATATCAACGCCGCCCATATAATGATTATAGTCATCGATTAGTATCGGGATTGGTAGGCCCTTCCGTAGAGTATATCGTCGCCAAAAACCTTCCGAACAAGTCAACAAAATAGTAACCTCCCTCCCTGTAGCTATGGCGGGCATCCCTGCGTGACGGGCAAATTCGTAGGTACTTCGAATTCAAAGCAATCCAGGCTCTGCACATACAATTATAATCCCATAACTTAAGATGAATCGTGCTTTACAGCCATTTCTTAATTTGCTAGACAATTTGAATTGAAAAAATTCATTGGGGTGGCCACGTTCTCGCCTGGTTTTCGGAAAGTATGTCATCATCCTCATAGCAGACCTCCTCGATTACCATACAGCACCACTATTATACCCTTCTTGCCTTTAAAACTCATCCAAGACCATTATCCGAGCCTTAGAGTCACATTAAGATATTTAGAAATCATCATCAGAGATGTCTGTGCCATAGCGTGCAAGATCGCGCAAGTTCGGCATACAGGCAGGTACTTCTATTCGAAACGATGAACAATCCTAGCCAGCGTGGAATGATTATGCACGTAACATATTGTCGCAGGCCAAGGCATGAGCTCTAGGAGTCCAAGGCTACAAACTGCATTAATAATCTTGCCGTGACTCTCGTATATCTGTAGGGCCGGGGGCCTCTACACTTTTTCACTCCGATAGCAGCTTCACGTACTGCTCGCTGATCCGACATCTGCTAGCGCCAAGCTTCCCCCCACTACCATGCGACTTCTACAACGTGAGAAAAGCAGAGTCAGGCTCACAAAGGACCTAGTCGGCGACGATCCGATTCCTCCCTATGCCATACTCTCGCACACATGGGGAGCGGATACCGAGGAGGTGACTTTCGAAGATGTGACAAATGGCACCGGCGAGAAAAAGCTTGGGTATGAGAAGATCCGGTTCTGTAGAGATCAAACCAGACAAGATGGATTACAATACTTTTGGATTGATACCTGCTGCATCGACAAGACAAACCACGGCGAACTCTCGCGCGCGATCAACTCGATGTTTCAGTGGTATCGCAAGGCGACTCGGTGCTACGTGTACCTGTCGGATGTTTCGACTAGGAAGAGGAAATTGTGTGAGGACTCAAGAGACAGTTGGGAACCGGATTTCCGGAAAAGCAGGTGGTTCACTCGGGGATGGACACTCCAAGAGCTCCTGGTGCCAGCGTCGATCGAATTCTTCTCCCGGGAAGGCAAGCGACTTGGTGACGGAAATTCGCTAAAGCAACAAACTTACGAGATAACGGGTATTCCTCAGTCAGCACTTCAAGGAGGCCCTTTATCTCAATTCAGCGTCGAAGAACGATTTTCATGGATACAATCCCGCCAGACGAAGCTTAAGGAAGATCGAGCCTACTCATTGCTAGGCATTTTCGGCGTATATATATCACCTCGTTATGGCGAAGGGATGAAGAGCGCGTTTAAACGGCTTCAAGAAGAGATCGATAAGCTAGAGAAATGTATCCAAGATTTACGACTCACCGACCCGCGCCATGACAAGAAGCGTATCGAAGCTACGAAGGGTGGCTTACTAGAAGACTCGTACCGCTGGATCCTCGACAACTCCGACTTTCAACAATGGCGCAACGACCAAAGCAGCCGGCTGCTCTGGATTAAGGGCGATCCCGGAAAGGGAAAAACTATGCTGCTCTGCGGTATTATCGACGAGCTAAATATATGTATAGCCAAGTCGGATCTTCTCTCCTACTTCTTCTGTCAGGCGACTGATTCTCGAATCAACAATGCCACGGCCGTGCTACGAGGTCTGATATATTTGCTTATCGACCAACAGCCATCTCTGATCTCACACGTACGGGAGAAGTACGATCATGCCGGCAAAACACTCTTCGAGGACGCAAATGCCTGGGTTGTTCTATCTGAGATCTTCACCAACATTCTTCACGACCGGAGCTTAACTACGACGTATTTGGTCGTCGACGCACTCGACGAATGCGTGGAAGGCTTACCGAAACTGTTGGACTTCATTGTACAGATGTCGTCTACATCCCCCCGCATCAAGTGGATCATTTCTAGTCGAAACTGGCCTAGTATCGAGGAGAATCTCGACGCTGCGACGCAGAAGGTGAGGCTGTGTCTTGAACTGAACGAAAAATCGGTCGCTGCTGCCATTACGACATTCATCCAGTTCAAGGTGGATATGCTAGCGGAACGAAAGAGATACAGCGATGATACACGAGACGATGTCCATCATTACCTGTCGCTCAACGCAAAGGGCACTTTTCTTTGGGTGGCTTTGGTGTGCCAAGAACTCGCCAATGCCTCTGAATGGGAAGCTGAAGAGATGGCTTTAGCGTTTCCACCAGGTCTCGATCTTCTGTACAAACGGATGTTGGATCAGATCTACAGTTCGAGATATGCAAAGCTATGCAAAAGCATATTGGCCATCGTCTTGACAGTACGCCGGCCAATTACTTTAGACGAGTTGGTATGCTTCGTCAATATGCTTAACAGAGTTGCTGGCAAATACGAAGCTCTATCGGAGATTATTGGGCTTTGTGGCTCATTTCTGAATATCCGAGAGCACACTATATACCTTGTTCACCAATCGGCGAAGGACTTCTTGGCCCACAAGCAACGCAACGAGATCCATCCATCTGGGATAGAAGACACACATCGCACCATATTCTCCCAATCACTTCAAGTCATGTCTAAAACCCTAAGACGTGACGTCTATGGTCTAGGTGCTCCGGGGCTCCCCATTGATCAAGTCAAGCAACCCGATCCAGATCCGCTATCTTCAGTGCGATACTCGAGTATCTATTGGATCGACCATCTGCTGGACTGTGCACCGACTAAGAATGCGACTAATGACCTCCAAGATGGTGGATCTATCAACATATTCCTACGTCAGAGATACCTCTACTGGCTCGAGGCTCTGAGCCTTTGTAGAAGTATGTCGGAAGGGGTGGTCTCTATGGCGAAACTCGAGGACCTCATTCAAGTAATCCTTAGCCCAGCCTTTGCATACATAATACACTAACTTGATATAGAGAAACGCGGACGAGTCTGGATTGCTCAAACTCGTCAAAGATGCGCGCCGATTTATCATGTCTCACAAGCTGGCAATAGAAACCAGTCCTCTCCAGGCGTATGCGTCTGCACTACTATTCAGTCCGGCGCGCAGTCTAATTAGAGGACTCTTCAAGCACGAAGAGCCGAACGGGATCACGATTCAGCCGGCTATAAGCGATGAATGGAGCGCCTGCCTCCAGACCCTTGAGGGGCATAGCGATCGGGTCATATCGGTGGTCTTTTCACGTGACTCGACCCGGCTCGCCTCCGCGTCGTACGACAAGACCGTCAAGATCTGGGATCCGAGCAGCGGCGCGTGCCTCCAGACCCTTAAGGGCCACAGTGGTTGGGTCGGCTCGGTGGTCTTCTCGTCCGACTCGACCCGGCTCGCTTCAGCGTCGAGGGACACCACCGTCAAGATCTGGGATGCGAACAGCGGCGCGTGTCTCCAGACCCTTAAGGGCCACAGCGATTCCGTCAGCTCAGTGGTCTTCTTACGTGACTCGAGCCGGATCGCCTCCGCGTCGTCCGATAAGACCGTCAAGATCTGGGATGCGAGTAGCGGCGCGTGTCTCCAGACCCTCGAGGGCCATAGCGATCGGGTCAGCTCAGTAACCTTCTCATGTAACTCGACCGCGCTCGCCTCTGCGTCGGAAGACAAGACCGTCAATATTTGGGATCCGAGCAGCGGCGCGTGTCTCCAGACCCTCGAGGGTCATAGCGGTAGGATCAGTGAAGTAGCCTTCTCTCGTGACTCGACCCGGCTCGCCTCCGCATCATTCGACAAGTCCGTCAAGATCTGGGATGCGAGTAGCGGCGTGTGTCTCCAGACCCTTAAGGGCCACAGCAATAGGGTCAGCTCAGTGGCCTTCTCATGTAACTCGACCGCGCTCGCCTCCGCGTCGTACGACAAGACCGTTAAGATCTGGGATCCGAGCAGCGGCGCGTGTCTCCAGACCCTTAAGGGCCATAGCGGTCCGGTCTACTCGGTGGTCTTCTCACGTGACTCGACCCGGCTCGCCTCCGCGTCGTACGACGAGACCGTCAAGATCTGGGATCCGAGCAGCGGCGCGTGTCTCCAGACCCTTGAGGGCCATAGCGATTGGGTCCGCTCGGTGGCCTTCTCACTTGACTCGACCCGGCTCGCCTCCGCGTCGGACGACGAGACCGTCAAGATCTGGGATGCGAGCAGCGGCGCGTGTCTCCAGACCCTCGAGGGCCACGGCGAGAGGGTTATGTCGGTGGTCGTTTCACGTGACTCGACCCGGCTCGCTTCAGCGTCGGATGATAAGACCGTCAAGATCTGGGATGCGAGTAGCGGCGTGTGTCTCCAGACCCTTAAGGGCCACAGCAATGGGGTCAGCTCAGTGGCCTTCTCATGTAACTCGACCGCACTCGCCTCCGCGTCGTACGACAAGACCGTTAAGATCTGGGATGCGAGCAGCGGCGCGTGTCTCCAGACCTTCGAGGGCCATAGCGAGCTAGTCCGCTCGGTGGCCTTCTCACTTGACTCGACCCGGCTCGCCTCCGCGTCGGACGACGAGACCGTTAAGATCTGGGATATAAGTAGCGGCGTGTGTCTCCAGACCCTTAAGGGCCACATCGGTTGGGTCATGTCGGTGGTCTTCTCGTCCGACTCGACCCGGCTCGCTTCAGCGTCGATGGACACCACCGTCAAGATCTGGGATGCGAACAGCGGCGCGTGTCTCCAGACGCTCGAGGTTGAAAAGAGTCTCCATAACGTACTATTCGACGCTACCAGTTCTTTACTTCAAACTGATATCGGGACTATCGCGATAGACCCGTCATCAGCTTCCTTTACGAACGCGATTGAAACACATCCTCAAGGTCTCCAATATAAAGGGGTAGGGTTAAGTTCAACTGGAGTGTGGATCACATATGATTCTGAGAACATTTTGTGGCTACCTTCAGAGTATCGGCCGTCATGTTCATCTGTGTCCGCGAAGACTGTAGGTATCGGCGTGGGATCTGGAAAGGTATGGATGTGCAGCTTCAACTCTATTTCTTAATTTTTTCTTCTTAATATCTCTTTCATCGAGGGATCTGGGGTTCAGTGTGAATATATGGTGCGGTAACTGTAAGATATGAGATTGGTACGAGGGATGAAGTGGTAATATTGTGATAGAACTATTTCTTCAGGATCCAAGTTTTGGGTCCGACCGTGGTGGCTTCTTCTCCTCGTAGGTGGAGCGCAGGCGAGCCCAGTACGTTGGTTATACCTCGTGATGGTTGCACGGCCACACTGTACAGGTGCGCTTTGTCGGACCATTCATTAAAGTTAGTACGTACCTCTAACTAGTTAGATGATGACTCTGTCCCGGTTAGCGCGCCAAGGCCAAGCGCGGCTGATGTAAGGCTTGTAATGTAATTTTAGCCTTATGCTCTAAGGCGCCAAAAGTGCAAGATGTCTGCCGTCTGGTGTGGTGGCTCAGCTCGGACCTGGGGGCCTGGCTTGGCGATTCCATTCCTAAAGGCTACCTGTGTCCTAGCGTGGAAGAACGCAATGAATTTCAACACCATCTATTTCGCCCCGTACCGTAGGTGACGACCATGCTCAAAGGAGAAAGAATATCAACTGGTTATATCCTTTGGTTTTCAGCAGGCGACAAGTTAACTAAGCGTAGATTTGGACTATTTCGGTTTTTATTTTTTAGTAAGTGAAGTATCCACATAGACATTACATAGAGCCGCTGTTCGTGTCAATTTGCGTCAGCGTTCATTTCGATCCCTGCCTCTCCTCCATTTCCCTCTCAGCGGTCGCATCTGTAATATCTGCGATTCTTTCCTTCTTAATCTCCTTAACGATGCTTTGGAGGTTAACTAACTCATAACTTAGAACAATCCGACACACGATGACGCTTCCCATCAGCCGGGCGATAACAGAAATGGCATCTTCCACTGAGATAAACAGCATACTGGAAAATAGAATCGTGCCGTAGACGATGTGGCACACTGTTAGTAAGGTGGTAAACCAGTAGATAGCTAGGAAGAGAAGGGATTCTCGGCGAATCTCAATGCAAAGTCGAGTTTGTCTTGCCTGTAGCTTGAACTGGTTAAAAACGGTGTGCCCATGGTGCTGGTCGTACTCTCCTCCAAGAGTTGTAACCTTCGTTCTACGGTAAAGAGTAAGCGCTCCAAAACCATGAATAGCCAAACCAATCCAAGCCCAGATAAAATAATGTTGTTCGTCGCCTGTAAATATAGCACTGAGGACGCGTCCTCCTAGTCGATAGCATAGCTCGCCAATGTTTCCCACCGATGCAGCAGCGAGAAGATACTCCAGGACGAGAATAACGGGATCAAGGTCATTGAAAATTGCGGGTTTTTGAAAATCGCGCTCCAGCAGATCCTCGATAGTCCTTGTGTATTCGAATGATCGGAGGGGAAAGACTGCAGGTGAGCCGGCGGCGAGAAGAGCTGATAACAATGGTCTTTTAGCGAAAACGGAGAGCATAGCGGTCTCCTGGGGGCTGGCGCCGAGAGTTGCGAGGATTGATGGAGTAAGACTATGTAAGGGTTAATTTTAGCAATCAGTTACCACTGGCTTGAGAGCGAATGTACCCGAGAATAACCTGAGGCTCGTTAACGAATCTTTCGAAAAAAAGAAAAAAAGAACCGACCTGGGCTGATGCCATTTTAACTTTGATGGCTTCTGGGGTAGATGTGAGAAGACACTGGACAACATTATTTGCCGCGGAATCTAGACCAAATGCCTTTAGAATCGGCTCGACCCTGGTATCGCCGTCTCGATCCTCTAGGTAAATGGCGTGTTGTGAGGAACAGTTGTTGCGCAAGAGCAGCTGAAATCCATTGTTATATTCTGGGAAGAGGCCCGCAAAATTATCATCCCAAGTGGCGAAAACGAGTGACAAACTGCTAAGCAGTAGCATAAGTCCGCGCATGAACGGCCATGAAGAGAGCATCATCGCACTAAATCACCTTAGAATAGAGTGTCATGAAAATGGGGTGATGAAAGACGAGTCGGATGATGATAATGAATGTCGAAACACGTAAAGTTGGGGAACGTAGGCGCGGGTGAGCGGGTCTCCCTGTCTCTGCCGTCCCGTGCCGTCTCGTGCAGGGTAAGCTGGCTTACCCTGCGCTGTGTAGTCACGTGACTTGATGAAATCTGTTTAGGCGGGGTTTCTTAATAGGGAGGCGACAATGCAGCAGTCGCTCGGGCAGGCATTGAAGCTGATGGCGAACGGGGCATTCAAGCGCTGAGCGGCTACAAGAGGCTGAGCTGAGGTAAGAAACAACGTGCGCATGTAAAAAGCTGAAGCTGATTTTTGCAAGTCTCTGTATCGCCACCGGGCATAATAAATTGTGTGTGTGTGTATCTGTTTGTGACTTTCAGGATCTCTGAGCGTTGAACGCCACAGCATAGTTTTGTGGCTTGTATCTTTTGGCAGCTGGTTGCAGCAAGCCACGATCATCTGCTTCAAGGCTGTGATTCGCTCCGTTCCAGATTACCCTCAGCGTGTGGCAGGGGATGCGAGACTTGTAGGGAAGCTCGCGAGAGCTGACTTTGAAAACTTTCACAAGATTCATCGACAATGCTGGATTTCACCGCAACCACGAGAAGCCTTCTCCTCGACTGTCACCCAGCGAAGCATCAAGAAACCGAACAAATGTGGGTAACTAAAAATAGATGGGGCCCAAAAAGAAACCCTCCTTCGGGTTCTGGCTCATTTCCACCTCAGATAGCGCCTGGGCCGTTGCGCTCGCTCTCTGGTCTCTTTCCTCGTCGTCACCACCACCCCCACCACAACCACAGTGAGCATGGACCGCGCCAGTCAAGTCCTCGTAGATGGTCCCCCTGAATCTCAACCTTGCACATACCGTGCCCTATCGGAACATGGTAAAGTCTCCAAATCTACCCTATGGCATCGGGCCCACGGACGACGCTCCAAATAAGACAAGGCGAGGAGCCAACAGTACCTAACTCCGGCGGAAGAGAAAGCTTTCGCTCAGTACTTGAAAAGGTCGGCCGATCTAGGTTACCCTATTCCAATCAAGCATGTCCGGTCGCTTGCGTTTTGCATCGCAAGTCGACGTTCTACGTCAAAAGCAGCGACAAAGCCCCCGAACAAGAATTGGCCAAAAGGCTTTGAGATACGCAACCCAGTGCTCAAGGCAAGAAAGGTCAAGGCCGTAGATTGGAATCGCCATGATAACAACATATATGATAAGGTCACACACTGGTTTGAGGTGATCGGAAAGGTGTTAGAGGATCCAGGCGTTCCCCGAGAAAATGTCTATAACATGGATGAGACTGGCGTCATGCTCTGCATGCTGGGTTCCGTCAAAGTCCTGGTAGGTAAGGACGACTCGCGAAATTACAGAGGTGCGGGTGTCAAGCGGACAATGATTACAGCTGTAGAATGTATTTCCTGCGATGGTAGGTATCTCTCCCCTCTCGTAATCTGGCCGCCAACGACCCATCGGAGCAACTGGACCACCTTCTCAACTCTTGGGTGGCACTATGCATGCTCCGAATCAGGATACACAGATTCTAAGATCAGCTTGGAGTGGTTGACGCGAGTGTTCGATCCGCAAACCAAAGAGCGGGCGGGTCAGAAACCGCGTGTCCTGATCTGCGATGGTTTCGGAACGCTCGAAACGCTCGAAATCTTACAGTTTTGCCTTGAAAATAACATTCGCCTGTGCCGTCTCCCATCTCACACTTCTCACAAGCTCAAGCCCTGTGATATTGGAGTATTTGGCCCCCTGAAGGCAGCCTACCGCGACGAAGCCGAGCGGTTCTATCGAGGAGGTGCAAACACAGTTGGCAAGGAGCACTTCACAACCCTCTACAGCGCTGCGCGGGAGAAAGCGTTCACTGCTCATAACATAAGGGCCGGCTGGGGTAGAAGCGGTTTGTACCCATTTAACCCAGATAGGGTACTCAGAGACATTTGGAAGCCACCGGCGGAGGTAACTGTTCCGAATGCCAATGACGTGAACATTGGGTCATGTTCTCAAGACGAAGTACTCCAGACTCCCGTAACAGTAGACGCTCTTCGTTCGCTACGTGGTCTAGTCGAAATGGACACTCATGCACTTGACGACGAGAGCAAGCTGTGCCTAGAGAAACTGCTTAACGCCGCCCAAATATCCTTCGCGGAACGTGCCCTGCTCGAGAATGACAATCAAAATCTAGTCAAATAGAATGATGAAGCCAAACGTCGCCGGTCGACTAAGTCTACCGTGTTAGGGAGGGCGAAGGTGATGAGCTATGAAGACTTCGAGGAGGCGCGGGCGAAGCGTGCTGCAAAAGAAGCTGAGACGAGCAAAGGAAAGCGCGGCCGGAAGCGGAAAAGCCCTTCGGAGCAGGCCTGGCAGGGCGGTTTGTTTTGCTCCTCAAATCTGAAGGAAGGGTGATTGGCCGAAAGACTGGATTGGATGACGTGCATATTGTGTGCCTGAGGCAGCTATTTTGGCCTGGCGAGACGACGACAAATTGTACATACATCTGCCGGAACTGGGAACACCGGTGTCTATACCGGATCACCTACAATTTCAAATCAAGGTGTTAGGTCGTTAAGAGATTTCATTTCTAGCCGAAGGATACCATTTATCCTTAGAGAACTCTCTTGCCTTGATATACTCGTGATTCCGAGCATTACGCTGTCAATCGTTTCAACAATGCAGCTTTGGGGTATCATTGGAAATGAGTAAGAGACAGGTCAAAGTTCAAGCAAGCAGCAGTCGTGCTGCTGCTGGAGCATTTTCTGGTGGATTTGCAAATCCCTTCGATTCGTCTTCAAAGTCAACGTTCTCGTCGTCTTCCATTTCATATCTCGCCGAGGCCCCCGACCTATCCCGAATATCGGATCCGAACGTTGTCGTCCTGTTGAAGAACTTGTCCAAGAGAGAAGATATCACAAGATCAAAGGCACTGCAAGATTTGGCCGACTATGTGTCACAGAACAACCCTGGAGAAGATGGAGCACTCTTGGACGCTTGGGTGTCTTTGTACCCCCGCCTTTCCATCGACAATGCTCGAAAGGTTCGACAGCTCGCGCACACCATCCTAGGAATTCTGGGTAAAGCGGCAGGAAAGAGACTGGCAAAGCATCTCTCTCGCCTCATAGGACCATGGATGGCAAGTTGCAACGAAGCCGACGACGCTGTCGCCAGAGCGGCGCAAGAGTCCGTCAGCGCTGTCTTTGATTCCGACGAAAAAAGACAAAACCTGAAAATCGCATTTCAGGGTCAAATAATTGATTTCTGCTATGATGCCATCGCGCGAGAATCGCCTAAGACTTTGAGCGACGAGAGATATGTCAACGAGGAAGACTCCAAGGCAAAATATGCTCGTGTCGCTTCCGCTGCTCTGAAGCAGCTGAGTGCATTGCTACGAGACCTTGACACCAAAACTCTGTCTACGCACGCAGATAAATGGGGGAAGGTCGTTGGGGATTTGAGAGTTTGGGAGCTTGGTTTATATTCCGACCCTCCAGTGCGCCAATCTACCCACACCCTACTTCAACTCTTCCTGACCAAGACACCCGACTTGGTCGATGCCTCACCGGATTCAATCTGTCGTATTTACCTCGGGAGTGGGTTGAAATCAGATCAAACACGGTCGTCGACAGCTTTCCTCGACGCTCTCTGCCTCCTGACAAGGGAATTTACTTATTTCTGGACCAAGTACTACAGAGCAAAGAAATCACCGAAATCGTCCCTTTTACACTTAATTCAACGCGGCGCTCAGCGTGGTGGCCCTCGATATTGGAAATCGCTCCATAAGCTACTCAACGAACTGCCTCCGGAAGTACTCCCTAAAGATCCAGAGACGACGATTGAACTGCTTGATGCGTTGCGATCCGCAGCCACGAGCAAGGAGGAAAGTAGAGGGCTACATCAAGATACGGATACTTTGGAGGCATACGTCTTGCTTTGTCAAGACCTCATCCAGGGTCTTCCGGAGCCCTGCGTGCCGCTCGCGATTGAGCAATATTTGTGCCCTCTAGTCTCTAATTGTGTTTTGGAAAATGGTAAGAACATGGGCTGGTCACTGGCTGAAAGAGGAGGCGCTGGTGTCATCGAGAGTGTGCTTCGGACTCCGGGGATGCATCTAGTCATTGGGAATCAATGGAGCAAAATCAGTGATGATTTTGTTGCAACAATGGAAAAGGCTACTCCAGTTGCGCAGAATGAGCCAAAACCGGACGCGGAAGCGAGGAACTCGTCAAAAATTCAAGAATCTCTGCAGGTGCAAGGCCGGCGATGGGCGTCGGTGTATCGCCTAGCTCAACGCATCGAAAATGAAGAAGTTCGAGAATCTCTGAAACGCTCTCTGGATTTGGTCGCATCCAGAGCGATCGAGTTCTTGACGTTGGGAAAAGGAGAGAACTATGGCGTCGCATCGGTATTGGACTCCATCGTTTCTGGGGAGTACAGGAGGGTTGGCCCAGAGACTGTTACCATCCGCGAACTTGTGCTCGCCTTTCTCGAGGGCGATTTACCAGGGCTACTTCTCACACCCTCAGGTCCCATCCTAGCTTCCATCCTTTACGCAGTTCGGGGAGATCCGTCGTTTACAAACTTGTGGAACGACACAGTTGCAGCTATTTTTGCGCTTGGGGCTCCGTCCAAAACTGCAGCGTTGAAGAGTTTACTATTCCCTTCAAAAGAGGTGAAACAGTCGGAACTGATTCAAGAAGACGAGTCTATCCAGTCTTTCTTCCTCGAGGTTGCAGAAAAAGAATCCACGGCAGAATCGTCGAGATGGCAGTTGCTCGTCGGCGCTGCAAAACATCCGTCAAGGCTTTCCGATACAACTATCACAAAGATCATTAGAAGCCTCGGTGGCCTAAGGGACGAAGCCATTCCACTCGCGGAGGTTTGGAAACTTGCCGATTTCCTCGAGCATGGGGGGAATGACATGTTACTGCCCTTCCTCAAGTCTTCTGAGGGCGTGCACTGGTATTCGAAAATACTGTGTTCCAAGGATCTATCAAGCTCTCTCCCCGAGAATTTCGCTGATGACTTTCATCTCATTGAGGATAAGTGCATAACAACATTCCAGAAGCTAAGCATCGAAGATCGGAGCGCGTTAGGGTCGTCCGTGATCCAACAGAACCTCATTACTGCCGATGAAGGATCGCCTAGTATTGAAGCTCTCCTCTGGTTCGCCCATCAATTCTTCAAGTACGACACCGTAGAAAGCCGAGAGCCCGCTGGTCTGTTCCCCGATCGCGCTCAGTGGACAGATGCTCTCAACACGAGGTTCCTCGGCGTCAGACCTTCTCCTTTAACTTCCATGAGTAATCCTCTGGGCGGTGCGGCGTATCTCGTGGATACTGGAGAAGAATACAAGCCGTCTTCTGCAGCTCCACAAGTAGACTCTCGAGAGTATTCCATTCCTTTGCGGATGGCAATGTACTACGGTGCTGCGATGCGTTTTCCCGGGGCACTCGACTGCCTTCCACGCGAACATCATGTCGATTTGGCCGAGCTATTTCTCCTCTCGCTGCGCCTAGCAAACGACAACTTCGATATCCCCCACTGTAATGGCTTTTGGGTTCAACACGATTACACTGAGCGTAAAGAGATTGGTTCTTTTCTTGATGGCGGCAAAAGGCTTATTGAAGACTGGATAAAGAAGGACGATGTCCTCCCCCAACTGTGGCGCGGCAAAAGTTCGGAGGGCCAGTCATTCATATACAGTGTCATGAGGCGCTTGAAGAATCACATGGCGGGGGTAACGACTCGATCATTCTACAATGCTGTCAGCTACGTAGAAATCATGGAAGAGGCTGCAAGCACCTATGGCCAACCTCAATCCGCGGTGTTCGAAGAAGAACAGTTGGAAGCTTGGGCAAATCCATTGGCAAGCCCCATATCCACAGCAGCTACGCTAAAGAGTCTCCGGGGGTTGTTAAGCAAGCATACTAAAAGTGCGGATCGTTTCAACCGACTCTGTGCAGAAGTCACTGGTTACAATGTTGACAGATTCAAGAAGGACGGGCTATCTGCGCTGGTCGTAATCAACGCGGCGCTTAGCGTTTGTCCGGAATTGGCGGACACAATTGCGAAACAACGACTTATTTTCCTTGTTCAGCGTCTGATCAAGGCACTGGAAGACCACAGTGACCAAGATGAAATACAGTCAGAGGTCCTTCAAACGCTTCGAGTGCTTTTACCCACCATGATCGAGACGTATGGTTCGTATTGGTCTGTCATTCTGGATTTGGTCGCAGATATATGGTCCACTACAACCGCTGATATGTGCACCGGACCAAGAAGCCTCCGAATCACGCTGCTACACACATCGCTAAAGCTCTACGCAACGCTCCGGAATGAAGCTAAAAAGGAGAATGCAAACGAGGATCTTGGAGAGGCGTTAGGTTCGTCTACCCAAAATGTCGCCGATTCTCTGGTCCATTTGGCGCGCGTGATGGCCGAAATTCATGATCATCCGCCCATCTTGCTGAAAGAGAACGTCAACGAGCTTCTGATGCGAACGCTGAAGCAAATCCCTCTCACGCATTTCCCGCCACCATCCGAACTTTTCGGCTTCCTGAACGCCAACTCGGCCGCAATACAGAAGGACATGTACGAAATCCTGCACGGTCTAGTCGAAGAAGCACAGAAAGAGATATCCGTCGAAGCCGCATTGGGAGATGCGACTGTGGAACTACCGTCTATACTGATCGATATGGTTAAGGAGTCTCCAGGGGAGTATGAAGTGGACCAACCACTCACCGTTAATTGGCAGAGCACCTCGCCACTACCTGTTCGAGGGTACCTTTTCGCCTGGCTGCTAGTCTTTGCTCACTTCCAAGCGCCTTCGACGTCCTTCAAGGTCAAGGCCGAGTATGCCCAGCAATTAGCCTCAACCACCGCAGTGAAGAGTTTCCTTGACTATGTAGTGGATGCCCTTGGTCATGCTGTTGGGCGCCCGAAGGATGTATCGAAGTTTGACCTCGTGAATGGAGAGGTCGACGGCTCCGAAGATGAAGTAAAGCAGAAGCGACAGCGACTTGCCCATCTCTACTTCCTCTGCCTCCGACACCTCCCGAACAAGGTTCGCGAATGGTGGTTCACCTGCCCGCGACACGTCTCCAAATCCGTCGAGGAATGGACGGAGCGGTACTTCTCGCCACTCGTCTCCGATACGGCGCTGAAGGTCGTTCGCGAATGGGTGGATACCATGAAGCAGGACGATGCGAATGAGGCACTTTCCGTCAAAACATCCCCAGCATCGAAACAAGCTGTCGCGATCTATCAGCTGGATGACGAGACGGCGGCTAGCATTGTGATCAGTCTGCCTCCTAGCTATCCACTACGTCCCGCTGACGCGCTGACCGACAAGCGTGTGGGAGTGACTGACAGGAAGTGGCAGACCTGGCTGCTAGTGACGAAGGGTGTTATGACGTTCTCGGTAAGTCCCACGTCCGCTCGACCTGCTTACTCACGCCACTAACAAACCGCCAGAACGGAAGTATCGTCGAAGGCATCATCGCATGGAGGAAGAACATCAACGGCTCGCTGAAGGGTCAAACGGAGTGTTCGATCTGCCAGTCGCTGATCAGCGAGGACAACCAGTTCCCTAGCAAGAAATGCGTGACGTGCAAGAACATGTTCCATGCGTCTTGCCTGCATAAATGGTTCCAGTCGAGCAATTCGTCGACGTGTCCCCTTTGTCGGCAGCAGTTCAATTACGGATAGATTTGGGCGGATAAGACGCATCCTTGCAGCAAATGATGGACGACACAAGGGGTTCGGTTTCAATGTATTGCATTGATCGGACCGGTACGCAACCGATGCAAATGTCGCCTTAGTGGATGAATTAACTTGATCTGTACACGCTGTGCCGTTCGTATATGTCGCGTATCTCGTCCGCTATGCAAGAACCTCACCCTTCGAACCCATCCGCCTGTCCCAAACTCTTTGCTAGCGTCCAAAAATTCTCCATCTTGAACCTCGTCAATGCATCCTTCGCATCCACATCCGTCTCACACACCTTACTTCCCCATTTCTTGAACTTCCTCTCCTTCTCCTGCCCCTCCCACACCAACGTGCACTTGTTGAAGCTGAGATCCTTCAGTTCACCGCTATCCGCGACGCTCTTCAACCACTCCTTCTCCACCTCGCGGTTCCCTTCCCGCACGCTCGCCGGCGCCGCGTTCTCGGTCCACTTGATCCGATTCAGCAAGAGTTTCTTGTAGTTCCGAATACTATGCGCGCCGCCTTCGACGATGACGATGTTGAATTTCGGGTGCAGGATGGTCATCCCGGTCAGGTCGTTTTGCTTCGCGTTGATGTCGATCTGGTAGCGGTGTTTTCCGTACGAGAGGTTCTCGATCCGGAAGACAGCGATTAACACGCCTTTCAGCGCGTCCTTCTCTTGCTGTTCCGCGAGCTTCTGGTGTCGCTCTTCCTTGGTGAGCTTGCGCGACTCGTTGTCCTCATCGTGCTGGGCTGCGCGTTCAGCGATTTCGCTGTTCACGCGCGCCTCGACGGCGGTGGGGTCTTTGACGGCTTGTTCGCCGAGCACGCGCATGAGGTTGCTCTTCTTGACCTTCGGCGGGGGTGGCGGCTCCAGGCCGAGTCGGATCTTCGCCTGTTGCTCCTTGTGGATCGCCATCCGCGTCTGCCGACGTTTTTTCGCCATTTCCTTCTGCGTCAAGAACATTGGTTTCGGTGCTGGCGCGTTCTTTTCCTGCGGCGGCTCGATCAGGACGGGATGTTGGATATATCGCGTAATGATCGAATCCTCCGTGTCGATCTTCAGATTCTTCGAATCCTCCACCCCGGTGTAATCCGTCCCGTCCACCAACGCCTCATCCCACCACTCGATCTCAGGCGGCGCCTGGATCAGGAACGACTTGTCATTATCCTCATCCAACCCAACCTTCCTCGCCTGCTCCGCAATCCTCTTCTTCATCTCCTCCAGCGCCGCCTGCCGCCGTAGCGCGTTCCCCTGCTGTATATACTTCCCCTTCTGATTAAACACCAAGTTCTTCGGCACCCGTCCCCGCGGCATGAGGCTCAAGTTCGGGTCCATGTATGGGTTGCTCTTGAGCTCCTCGACGTTCGGCCCGGCTAGATCCAGCTGCTGCCGCCTCAGCGGCGACTCCGTCCGCCGGTTTCCAGATGTCGTAGCGAACTTCGGGTGCATCGACCGGCTCTTCGACCGATCGGCTCCGACGTCGCCCATCAGCGCCGGATGTAGCCCGATCCCCAGCCCTCCACGCGCCCGCGACGGCCCCTCGTCGAAGTCGTTCGGGGGAGGAAATCTGGACGAGCCCGCCCGTGGCGGCGGTTCTGCGGTGGCTGCTTTCTTCGCGGTCGCCGCTGCAATACGTGCTCGGATGTCTTCGAGTGTTTTCGCTCGATCAAACGGTGCGGCTACACTAGGAGGTGCGGGAGAAGGAGAGGCGGGCCCGGCATTTTTGGCAGAAAGTCGAGCTTTGATTTCGGCGGCTTTGGCACGAGCGGCGGCGATTTGGGCGTTGAGATCAGGTTTCTTCTTGGAGACACCATTACTCGGTGGTGCGGGAGATGCGTTGTTGGAGCGTGGCCGTTTGTGCCCGTTGGCGACGTCGGTGCCATCTTCGGGGTGTGGACGCTTCTCCGGCATCTTGATTGTCGTGGGCGTCAAAAACGACGCGAAAAGGTAAAGAAGGGACGTTGATAATCACTTGACATTGAAGGGAATCTCAGTTGTGAAGATGAAGCAAGTTTTGGTGACGATGCCCTGCCATGTCACGTGCCCACGTGCCTAGATCGTTGATATCTGTAGAAAGTCTCGACCACATCACATTCGATACAATCATTTGGCAAAGCTCACGCTGCTAATTGAGCCGCACCAGTCAATTCACCATGGCTCGAGCCGCGCTCCAGAAAGATGTGATCGTCAAACTCATCGTCGGCGCCGGGCAAGCGTCCCCTTCTCCCCCCGTCGGCCCAGCACTAGGTAGCAAAGGTGTGAAGAGCATGGATTTCTGCAAAGTATGCGCCATCGACTCCTCCTCCTCCTTCCATCCGAATCTAACCCACCGTCCTTAGGAATTCAACGCCCGCACCTCGATGTTCATCACCGGCACCCCCATCCCCGCCCGCGTCATCGTCCGCCCGGACCGGTCCTTCACCTTCGACGTCCGCACGCCACCCACCTCGACCATGCTGTTCGCCGCCGCGGGCGTGAAGCCCGATCGAGGGAAGGTCCGGGGAGCGGGCAACGTGCCGGGGCCGAAAGAGAATCAGGAAGGGAAGAAGGGGAGTCGGAAATTCAACTTGGCGGCGCCGGGGATGTCGGATACGGGGACGGTGGGCACGGTCAGCCTGAAGCATGTGTATGAGATCGCGAAGGTGAAGCAGGGGGAGCAGAGGTTGAAGGGGATGAGTTTGGAGGGGTTGTGTAAGAGTGTGGTGGCGCAGGCGGCGAGCTGTGGGGTGGTGGTGGTGCCGTGAGCGAGGGCAGAGCGATGATTGTCGGTCAGATACAAATGACGGATTGGGCGCAAGGGGAGAAACGTGCATTGGGATGGAGTTCTTGTGGGTTCCGGCTGGATCATAGACGGAGAGCGCCTTTACACTGTACATTCACTGTATATCCAGCATATGAAGCCAATCTTGGCGGAATCTTTGCTCTAATGAGCCTGACGTGCAGAACCTCTTGATATAAACCGGATTTCCGCATTTGAACGCCATGCTGTGACCGTCTTATGAATGTCCATCTATTGAGAGCCGCAAATCCCCGCTATCTGCACTCTAAACGATCGTTTCCAAAACTCGTGCATAGCCCAGGGTATTCTCGATCACCTTGTCACTGGTCGCCAAGATATCCTTCTCCGAGCCTCCTTCTTGATCCGGGTGCGGGAAGAAAATCCGTCCATCCTTGACCACCCACCCCCGCTCTTGCGCAAACTGCACAACGCTGCCCTCGCTATCGAGAAAGAAGAGATTCTTCGCATTGGAGACCGGCATCGACGGGTAGGCTTTCTCGGAACATGATGCGATCTCAGAGCGGATGGTATTAATCAGGACCTTCAATCACGTTAGCATCCACCCACAAGGGCCATTGGAACGACGGAACTCACCCCAGAGAACAACGCAAACTCCTCACTCGGCACGTTCTCCCCCTTCGTCGCGCCCCACACCCGATCATAGCTCCCCTCCATCAACGCCCTCTCCAACCTTATCGGATACTGCACAAATGGATCGTTCTCCAATCCCTTCTCCCCCTCCTTCTCCTGTTCGACCTCTAGCCCCTCCAGCAGCGTATGAAACCCAGCATAGTCATGCTGGCTCAACAGCAACAGCAAATACAGCCCCGTGATCTTGCTCCGCTGCGAGCCCTCCCGCGGCAGCCGCGCCTCCGGCACCGCGTAGAACGGCTGCAGCTGGGCGAAGTATCGGGTGAATGAGTCGGCGTCTTGGAGGCGGATGGAGATGAGTGCGCCGAGCTCGAGGACTTCGCGGGCGGCTTGGAGGTGTTGCGGGGAGGAGGAGGGTGAGGGGAGGAGGGCGTTGAGGGTGAGGAGGGCGCGTTTGGCGGTGGAGAGGAGTTGGGCGGCGGTGGTTGGGTTGAGGGAGGTGTGTTGTTGGTGGAGTTGGCGGATGATGTTTTGGAGCTCGGTGTCAGCCATGGTGAGCGGTGTGGATGGTTCGGATGGAGGGGTGGTAGTTTTCTGGGGGGTTGAGTCGGTGGACGGAGAGGTATTTGAGGTCGTGACTACGGGTATGAGGCTGGGAATTGGCGTTGGTGTTGGTAAAGCTGGAGGCGATCTGGATGATTCTGGAATCTCTTCTGGAATCGCCGTCGTTGCAAGATGTAGTGATGTCGAGCGTTCAGCCTTGGAGCCTGAGGCAGCAGTTGGTAGTTGGGCTTGGCGTCTCCGTCTGAAGAAGAGCCGCATCCCAAACCTCACAGCTCCCATCACCCATGATGTGAGAATAAAGCGAGCCATTGTTAATACTCTCTACGTTAATATTTGAAAGGGATATCGATACGTAGAGCATTTGGCCAAGCTGGGGTGACTCTTTATATGTGCGTATATCTTGTTCCTGCGCCTCAGCAAGTGGCAGATGACTCGATCGCTGCCTTGTCTCAGCGATGGTTAAGGTGATCATGAGGCATGCCATTTCGTAACCCGCATCGCCTGACACGGATATCAAATTGCCTTGTTGTTGTTGGAATCTCATATATTCATGCACATTTATATTCGTTGAAGCCCCAAAACTCTAGTCTGGGTATCCCATCTCATACCAATACATCGGTACCTAACTTAACGATACCTTCCACGCCCCTTTGCTTTGGAATTCTGATTCTTGATCTTCAGTTTTCTAAAGTTGGTGTGAGCAAGTGGATTCACCGTCCTCTTCTTAGACTTTAGCTTTGGCTTTGATGTGTCCTTCGCGTGTTCAGCATCCGATCCGATCTCCTCATCTCCGTAGGCCGAGCCATTTTCAGAGCCGGCACCGTCCTCTAGGTCGTCTGAGTCACTGGCATTCGCGTAGACAGGTTCGTTTGCGACATCCTTGGTTTTCGGCGCATTGCGGACAGGGCGCACTGGGATATCGTTAGTGACATAGAACAAATGGGAGAATCCAGATGGTTAGACTTACTGATAACGCGTTTCGTCTGCCGCTTCTGCCCCTTCTTCTTCCGCACAAAACCTTGCGATGTGTCCTCCGGCCTGGGATCTTCTGCTGCCTCGAGATCTTCATCGAATCGATCTTCTTCGCCTGATTTCGTCGCGAAAATATCTTGTGTCTCTGGGACCATGTCCACGTAGTCTTCCTCAGGCTGGGGTTCTTCGTCAGAGGCTTCTTCGGGACCCTCGTCGGGACCCTCGTCGGGAACTTCGTCGGGAACTTCGTCGGGGGCTTCGTCGAGAGCTTCGTGGGGAGCCTCAGTCTGCTTCCCAACCGCAGTCGTCGGCTGCTCCACCCCTTCCTGGGTCCTCCTCGATTTCTCTTCCTCCTCTTCCCACCCCGCCTCCACCTCCCTAAGAATGCTATCCTCCCTCCTCGCTCTCTCCTCCTCATCTACCTTCCTCTCCTGTTCCACCCTCCTCAGCCTCTCCACCACACTACTCACCGTTCTCCGCAACCCCCTCTTCCACGGTCTCACCACCACCTCCGGACTCTTGACCTCCGCCCCGTCATCCTCCTCCGTCACCGCATCCAGCCCCTCAAACTGCCCCTGATCCCTCCGCAAAAACCGCGGCGTCTCTCCCCCCATCTCCTTCCTCGGCGTCTCCCCCACCGCCCCCATCTCCGCATCGAACAACTTCCGCCGCTTTCCCGGCGTCACGAACAAATCCATCCAGAACCGTCCGCCGTTGCCGCTGCCGGGCGTGCGTGCCCATTTACGTTTCCGTCCCGTCATGATCTCCTCGGGGTCTTCCTCCGCACCGTTCTCCGCACCCGCCTTGACAGGAGTGCCATCGTGCGCCGGCTTTGCGTTGCCCGCATCGGTATATCGCGTCGCGCTCGGCGTCACCAGGACGTTCATGCGACCCGATGCTTCGGTCAGCGCGGCTCGCGTGGGAGAGAAGAGGTCGGCTCCTCGGCGGCGGTGGCTTGGGGGTGTGGGTTCGCCGGAGGAGAGTAGGTCGAAGAGACCGAGGACGCGGCCGTTCTTTTGGGGAGTGGGACCAACGGAGGTGAAGAAGACGCGGGGGTGGGAAGGGGTGGTGGCGGCCTCAGCTGCCGGATCCTTAGAAGGGGATAGGATGGGTTTGGGGCCTTGTGGAGAAGGCGATGATGGTGGGAGGGGCGGTGCGTTTTGCTTCTGGAAAAGCTTGCGAGAGACACGAGGGGTGCCGAGCAGCTGCTTGGGGGTGTCTTTCGGTTTCGAGGGTTGGCGTGATTGAGATGGAGATTGTGGAGGCTTGCTGGAATTGGCGGATCGTAAACGGTTGTATTCCTTGTATTTCCCGGCTGGAGAATGTATTGTTAGCGTCATGAATTGAGCCTCTACTCAAAAGCAATACTAACCTATAATCTCGTCTTGTTTGATGTCATCGCGGCCGGCTTTGCGGCCAGCATTGCGGGCGGAGAAATCGCGTTCCCATGCTTTCAATTCAAGGCGGAGTTGTGAAACATACTCTTCGGAAGCAGAAGAGCTCTCCATTTTGGAATAGCATCTGTATTTGGCGGGTTTGAAGTCACGGAAAGCCTAGATTGTCATGAAAGTAAATGGCGTGTGGTTGACGCGGGATGGTGGGGACACACAAGACGCGTTCGCGTTGGCCATTTCGGTAATTATGACTGCTTCTGGTTAGTCTCATTACTAGTAGAGCTTTCCAACGTTGCTAATTGGCCGGTACATGTATGATAAGTCAAGGGTCACGTGGGAGGGTAATATTCGGGAATTTCAACCTATCAAAACTTCCAGTTCCTATTCTTCAACGCCTCCTTTCGCTCACAGTCGAAATCCTGAGCCCTATTCGCCTTGACGCATCCTGCAGGCTGCAGTGGCATCATGTATCAGGATTCCGCCATGTCCTATCAAGCCTCAGCCTCGTTACAGGTAGGTACGGTATCGAATTCGCGCATTGCCCGGGGATAAATGACAATCCGCTTTCTTGACTATTTCGGTGGCATCGCCATGTGCTCTCCCCCTCTGTTGGCCTTTACCGCATATCGTGTCTCGCGCGCTGTCTGAGACTTTTTTCTGCTATATCTATATTCTCTTCGTCATGGAGTCTCCGCGCCGGCTTGAAGAAGCCAATAATTCAGAAAACAGGACACTCAGCGCTGCCTCTCGCCAATCTCGTGCCGCGACCGAGGGCGCCGTGTCCAGCCTTACCGCTACACGTTCGGTGGCGAGCCCAAACAAGAAGGGTCCCACGGTTGTCGAGGTGGGAATCCACCCTCATGTTGGTGATCCATACTTTACTGGAACGATCTATCATGAAGAACCATGGCTAGCTAAAGATAAAGCTCAATGGTACACCACCTCAAGGCCAAGGTACTGTGGAGAATTAACGGGCTCTGACGAGATGTAGTGCCGAGCCGTATTTTAATCATGTCAAATCCGTGTCGGATCAATTCCCCCGACTGAGATACCTTGCAGAGTTTATGGAGGCGTCGACAGTCCCCAAAAAGAGTGCCTCGCTTCCGCCGTTGGAAATTATGGAAAGGCAATCCCGGGTGAAGGTCGCCCATATTGATTTTACCGCGCCAAATCGCATGGTCCAGCATGCACTGGAGAGTCGTGAACAGCTTGCTAGTCTTCTACAAACGTCAATTCAGCCGACGACATCCAAGCGCAACTGCCTCTTCATCGTCGAGGATCTCTCTCAGGCCGTCATCGAGCTTTTCGGAACAGCCTTTGACATTGACCCAACCTTCTTCCGAGGTCATCTGGAAGACCATACCTGGTTCAATATCAAGGATGATTGGGTCGAGATGCCGGAGTTGGAGTCGCAGGCGAGACAACGGTCGTTCGTCAATCTGCGATATATGCAACCGCGGTTTTTCGACAATCCGGATGAATCGCAGCGGGCCAAGGAGCAAGCTGGGGAGTGGAACATTTTGAGACGAATCGATTTGGAAGCCCAGGTAAGGTCGGGTGCTAAAGCATGGTGGGAACCATCTCCTCATCAGGTTGGACTGCTGCGGCGGAAAATCTCCATATGGAGTAGGGAAGATAAATCCGGTTGGACCGGTAAGTCGAATCTATTATTATGATGCGCATTACACTGATTGCTGGTCAAAGGCATCATCCTCGTCGACCCTTCACTTACGGAGGGTTACCCTCTCTGGAAAGGCTACGGTAGATTCGACAGCCCTCCCCGAATGAATGAGAAGTCGAACGGTATAATTCTACCAAACAATCCCTTGTTCGATAATCTCATGAGCAGCGTCACTTCACTCACCCCCGAAGACGCCACGCGGCTCTCTTCGGATCCGGAGTACATCACTAGCAAGATCTATCCGTTCATCTTCGCTGAAATCCTCGTCACGCTCCAGTACACGTTCACCGGCCTCTTCCAGATCGAGTGGGTGCTCGACTCGGAGCGTCGCCACAGCCCAGAGGATCTTGACCGTGCCCTGGACAATCTCCACAAATGGCAACGCCGACTCCCGTTTTACTCGAGCTGGATTAAAGATAGCATCTCGAACCTCAGAGGGCGCTACGCTGTTCAGAGCGACACTTCCATTGAAACTTCCGTGCCACAACCCTCATCCGCACCGCCGTTAAACTGGCAGTCCGACATTATACGCGACTACCACTCGCTCCTCGACCACCTCAACACCCTCCAGCACCGCACTGAGAAGATCATGTCCATGGCCACCGCGATCATCAGCGTAGAAGAGAGCAAGAAAGCGATGGTCGAGTCGCGCAACATGAGCCGCATCACCTACCTCGCCTTCGTGTTCGTGCCCTGGTCTTTCGTCACGGGCTTTCTGAGCATGAGCGATGAGATCAACCACCGCAGTGCGATGGTGTACGGCGTTTTCTTCGTCACCGCGGTACCGCTGAGCATTCTCGCGGTCGTCTTAGCGGCGTATTGGGAACAGATTATGCGGTGGTGGGAGACGAGGAAGTTGAATCAAAAGGGGAAGAAGTCCAAGGGGTGATGTGAGAGCGGTGGGCTTGGCTTAGGATGGCCAAGTCGTCCTCCCACTCGCGATGGTATAGCCGCCTCACTCCCTGCATTCGTTGCTCAAGCTGGCGGGTGCTCCGTGTTTGCAGAACCTAGGAGCATTGGTTTAAGTGGAGAAACTGGAGGAGCTGCCGGGTGACCCTCATGCTTCCATCCATTTCTATTAGCATTTATGAAGGCCAGACATCTGATGTTGTGATCCCGCAGCCTTTTGCTAGAGCGCCACGCTTCTGACGTCAATGTCGCTGTGGTATGTGGCGGAGATCACGTGGCCGCGTCCGCTCTTACATCAGGGTCCTCAACTCCTTATGAGACTTCCACTTTGGCTCTACTGGCGTGTCTGGTTAGCATCTTCACTTACGTGCAATCAACATTATACTGTGGCAATAGCCGCCATAATGGTACAAGGAAAGACATCATTCCTAAGGGTTTACTCCCCACATGAGGTCGAGTCAGGGCCAGCACTATACATATAAAGCTATAAACCGTCCAGGACAGAACGAAGAATGGACAACTTACGACTTACACTCAAACCTTTTAACGTACTATTCTTGAACTCCATCCAAATAAAGACATCCATCCATCATCCATCATGACATTCGGACGCCGCGACCGCGTTTACAACAACTGCCAAAAGGTCTGGGGCCCAGGTAAGTACAATGTCAACTGCCAGGTTCCCAACCGAGGGCGATGCTGCTGCGTGGTCCACAAGGACACCGGGAACGGCTATGGCCCGCCGTTGGCGCATACCGGGTGGTGTAACTCGGAGGATCAGGCTTGGGGCCAGTTGGATCAGAACATCCGCGACCAGATCCCCGGCGGGAATCAGAGCGGAGGATATAGGAATAATCAGGGAGGGAATTGGGGTCAGGGAGGAGGGGGTGGAGGATATGGAGGTAATCAAGGAGGGAATTGGAATCAGGGAGGATGGGGTGGAGGATATGGAGGTAATCAAGGAGGGAATTGGGGTCAGGGAGGAGGTGGAGGATATGGGGGTTATCAGGGAGGGAATTGTAATCAATGGGGAGGATACGGGAACCAAGGAGGTGGTTACAACCAGGGAGTCGGGAATCGAGTACCTGGAAGAGGACCTGGAAGAGGACCTCAATGCAGACCCAGACCATGCTAAGGGCATGAGATACCAGAATATAGCTTGTCAGCCTGCGAGTCTGTGATCAGACATGTAAATAGAGTAACAAATCGACGCTCGTTACAATAAACCGCCGCAATTCGTCCAGTAGACCACTTTGATATATTGAGACGAGTTGATGCATTCATGAACGGGAGTGTACCACGTGTTGATGCGTCTATAGTTCAAGAATCCAAATCTGTCCCTCGGTTCTCGCCTGGGTATGTACTTATCCACTCAACTGGTATGTTGAACTTGGAATGCGTGGGACCATCGAGCGTAGGCAGTAAATTCTGGTGAAATGGAGCTTGTCGATGTTCAACATCAATGTCGTGTTGCCGGCGTCGCGTCAAAGCAATTGTGGGGCAACATGAGGGCAGGGGGCCAGGGGCATCCATATCGTCCACGTGATCTATCATGTACCTCCCTCCTCCCTATCAACTTCACATGAATTCACCTCCCTCCTCCCTTCTTTTGTGTTAACAGATATTCGAAAAGCACTATATTATTTAAACCGATCAATTTAACTCTCAGTGGAAATGGTCAAGTTGGTTTCGCGACTGATGCAGATTGAGTACAGCTGAAAAAATGATACCAGTCCCATGGAACAGACACCTAGGGCCTACGAGATGGTTGACTTTCTATCCCACCCTCGAAGGTGAGTTATAGTTTTGCTTCTCGACGGTCCGTTCCTTTTTGCTGGGTATAGAGGGGAGGGAGAGAGAGAAGAGGGGGAGAAAGGTGGGGGAAGGTCATGGGGAGGTGGATGCAGGTTCGAGTCTGGTCAGGGGCGATCTTTTATGCGGTCGTTTGCTTTTGTTTGGGGCTTGCGTATCTAGGCTGCTGTCGACATTTCGTGGCACAGCCTACTCCCATTAATACCGGCTTCCCATTGGTTACTACCTCGTGTACTGGTGCTTGTGTATGTGGTAGAGCTACAGGAGTATGGACAGGTGAGTGGAGGTGGTAAAGGAGGTAAGCTGAGATACGGTCCGTTGGCCATCATGGGCCACCCGACAGTATACGGTGATATCCTAAAGCTGCTTTAAGCCAAAAAAATTCATTAACTTGCTATGGCGCAATCATGACAATTTCAGTGGGATCGTGTCTAACCCTTACCAACGAACCTCAGAGCGTCTCGGCCACATTTTCATTCACCACTACTCTACCATCCCTCTTTCCTTCATCCCTTTCATTCACCAAATGCACCCCTTATCCTCCATCGTACAATATGGCATATGAACCGGCTCACTCCCCACCCCCCTCGTCACCAACCGCTCCCTCATCTCCGCCAACCGCGGACTCGCCTCCACCTGACTCCGATTCCTCCCCTCCGCATCCTTAGCCCCACTCCACAGCACCTCCGCCACCGCCGCCGCCCGCGGCCACACCATCCGATCCACGTTCACTGCATCCGTCTGCTCCCCCCAGATATGCGCCTCCCCGCCGATCACCAGATGCGTCTGGTTCGCCGGGATGCCGTCCAGAGGGTCGAGCGAGTAGATTAGCCGCCAGTTCTTCCGCGGGGAGCAGTAGTCCGCGTACGGCCAGAACCCCTCCGAAGAATCCGGGGGGAAGTCGATCCACTGCCCCTGTCCGCAGTCGAGGTACCAGAAGTTGTAGTTGCCGACGAGGGCTTTGTGGCCTTTAGCGACGACTTGCTGGACGGCGGCGGAGGATTGCCAGGTTTGCACAACGACGTCGCGGCCGAGGGTGAGGTTCCATTCGAGGAGCATCTCTTCCCAGACGATGGGGACCATGCCGGCATGGCGGACGGCGTCGTGGTTGAAGTTGACGAAGCTCTGCATGTAGGGTTGCAGGACTGCGGGGTCGGAGGAGTTGACGGTTTCGTCGAAGCGGTAGGCGTTTTTGTTTACCTCGTCGCCGCCGGTGTGATAGTATGCGGAGAGGGGCTTCAGGCGGGGGAGCAGGTCATTCCACAGTTTTTCGAGGAAGACAAAGACTTCCTGGGAGTTGAGTTTGAGGGTGCCTGATGGGGGCTGCGCGGCGTAGGTGGCCCAGTCGTCTTCTTCGAAGGCGGTGATGAGATTTGGATAGCCATATCCGATGCTGGTGGTGTGGCCAGGCATGTCGGTTTCGATGACCACGGAGATGCCATGCAGGGCAGCGTAATATTGGATATCGCTGATGTCGGTAGGGGTGTAGATCATATCATACTGATAAGCTCCCTTCCAAGTAAGCCATGGCAAATCAGGAATAACGAGCGGCCACGATTGCGAATCCGTGATATGGAGATGCAGGCGGTTGAACTTGGTGTACCCCAGAGCGTCGATCTGGCGCTTGATATCTTTGACCGGGTAATAGCTCCGTGATACATCCATGTTCAGTCCACGATGCGGGAACTTTGGCGCGTCGAAGATCTTCACTGGAGCAAGCTTCGTGTATACCTGGCCATCCGAATGCTTGAAGAAAAGCTGCGTCATCGTTGTCAGACCCCGCACCAGCCCGATCGTGGAGTTTGCGGCTATTGTCGCCGTCCCATCAGTGTTCAAGGCTAGCTCATACGATTCGTCGACCGAGCCTGCCAGTGGGCGCAGGAGGGTTTCCGGGTCTGGTTTTTTCAGTACCAGTGTGAGTTTCGTGATCTCCTTCCGCGGGCCGCGGTACGTGCCGTCCCTCCCGGGCTCGAACACTGCGCGCTTTGGATAGAACTTCCATGGGATGAAGTTCCGCTCGAACAGCGTGTCGAACATCCTCGCAACGGCGGCTTGCAAGATGGTATTGGAGCCGATCGGGCAACTGGCCGGGTCCGGATCCACCGCGAAACAACTGGAATTCTTCCCGGTCTGTGTGAACAATTCATAATTCCCGGTCGGCCGCTGCAGAAATGCGAATTGCTCGGTTAGTTGTTGTGGTAAATAAGAGGCAAGGAATCTATCAAGGACGCTCGCGAATGAATCAAATGAAGCAAACGAAGAAAACTGCGAAAGAATTCCTACATCTTTTCCAGCCAAGGAGACTTGCAAGTTTTGTCGGACCCAGAGTACTGAGTTGCCAGTACTATACTCGGAAGGAATAGGCCATATTGCCGAAACGAGTAGCGGAAGAGAGGAAGAGACGAGGGTGGTGAACACCCAGGAAAAACGCATCGTGAGTCGCGCAGAGACTTCTCAGACTACGAAAGATGAAGCTGAAGAGTTGTGGTGTGGAGTGAAGAACCTCACATATCACAACACCGAACACGATGTCGTGAGATGCGAGCGCTGATCCGTCCCCGCGTAATCACACCCGAACTCCAGTAGCACCACCGATCTGAGCGACGTTGCCCGACCTCCGAATCCGCCTCCTGGGTTCTGTGCGATGGGACAGGGAGATTGTACTCGGAACGCAATGGCAGTGGAATGGAATGCTCGCGTATGTAAGGTAATTAAGCACGCATGTACAGGGGTGAAGAAGAGCGATGTGAACAGCAAGGACATATAAAAGGAAGAAAATACGTGCAGGGAGCAAAATCAAGTGCGGGAAGTCAATATGTACTATGTACACTGCGGATGGGTGATGTGACTCTCGCAAGAATTCATACAACACATTAACGTCTTCAGTCAGTCACCGCGTTTTTATCCACGCGATCGCACCAAACAGCAAGCGCAACCAAACCGGATTGCAATACCGACTGATGCCGCTCAACCGTCCGTGAGATGAGATGGCGTGGTGAGGAGTGAGTGAGTGCCCGGATGCAAACGTCGCGTTGCAGCTACCCGTACGGCAGTTGACAATTAAATTCTCTCTCGCTTCCAACCAGATGAGTCGAATGCGACGGGAGGGAAGATCATCGATCAAACGGGCTCAATCGGCGATTCTTGCGGACAGTGAATGCGCATTGATCTATCGTGATATGATTCCAAGGCGATGGGTCATGTCAACGGCGTCGTCGGTTATTAAGAAGAGCAGGGATCGACATTGGAGTTAATGAGTCGGATATGCGATGGTCATTCCCGTTTCTCATTCACGTTGAGAGGATGCCGGTTTAAGGAGTGGGGAGAAGAGGCGTTGGGATCTTGGTCGCTTCGTTTACCAGACGGCGGTAGCCCCGCAAGGTGAGGTTGCCTTCCGTTGGGGACAATCCCTCTCGTCCTCAGGGAGTTCAACGGCACAGGTAGTTGACAATTCAATATCAACCCCCCCACAACAGTCTGGACAATCAATTCAAAGGACCACAGAGCCGTCCACAAACTTCCCTGGCTGGTCCGGGGCTGATATATAGCTCCGAGGTGTCCATTCGTCGCCCGATCCAGTCGCACGGCAGATGCTAGGACGGATGGTGGTATGATGGCGGCGAGATGATAGAGGGTCCGGTTGGGAGGTGGACTTGGGAGTTGGAGAAATGATGCAGTACGACTGTGGTGGGATGTCAGTCAGCAGTGGGAAACTGGGCAAGGTGGAGTTGGAGTTAGGGTGGCGTGCGCTAGCTTGGATGAGGATTGAGGGGGTACATGATGACTGGGGAGGTTGTCGGGTGTAACTGGAATTATTTTCACTACCGTAGACATCGAGAGGAGAATCGGCTAAGGAATAGAAAGGTTATATCATTTAATACCATCCTACTGCGCGGTCCTGCATGATCACAGTTTTGTAAAGAGACCATATCACATCTGCACCAATTCAAATGGCCCAAGTCCCATTATCCATTCGTCTAACGTCCGATAGACTCGTCGACCGCAGGTAACAATAGCATTCAGTCCTGGTCGCAATACTCATCCCTTATTCATCCCATCTCATCTATCTACATGCCATGTCAGCTCCTCATTCCATTTCTATCTTATAATCCATCCGAAACAACCCAAACGCCACGCTTATGCAACACAATCGACGCCACGCTTTCTAGTTTTCTTCTAAAGCCTTCCAATCAACATCATCGCGCCCACCGCGATTCCCATGCCCCAGGCTGCATAGCCTACTTCCTTCTCTCCTGCCCTCCGCCCGGCTCCTGCTCCATACACCTCCGAAGGATCCTGCGCCCTCACCGCTAGAGGTTTGGCTGTCGTGTCCGCGCTTGCCGGTGTCGGTGCCGCGGTGATTTCGAAGCCCTGCTCGTCGAAGCTCTTAGACCGGGAGGCCCAGCGGGCGGGAACGACTTGTACAGTGGCGAAGCCACGGTTGTCCCAGCCGGAGATGGACTCATATGTCGAATCGAAGGCGGAGCCAGCATCCGGTGGAGGCGAGGAGGAAGGCGAGGGAGAGGTGGTGGATTGAGGGGGTGACTATGATATCGACATTAGCGAGAATTCCAAGAGGGTGACGACGACAGTGGAAGGGGAGAATGGAGGAGAGAAGGGCGGAGAGAAGTTCAGGTGTCAACTGGGTGAAGGAGTGGGTAAGGATCACCTAGTTGGACCGCCGGAGACGCGTCGGTTTGTTGTGGAGCTAAGGAGCCTCCTTGCGGCGTCGTCGAGGGGCCTTGCGCACCGGCTGTTGGATTGGGGGGAGGGGTCGGAGAAGAAAAGGAATGATCGTCCATACTCACAGGGGCCGAGCTGGCCGGGATTACCTTGCCGGAGCCGGATACGGTCCATCCAGACGGAAGACCCGGATACGACGACGTCACGAATGTGGATGAAGGGTTGGACGGTTCTGCGACCCAGGGGTAGCCGGTTCGAGTGGTGATAGACTCCGATTGGCGATGGGTGCCTTCGAAGGGGAGAGGTTGGCCGGTGGACTTGGATGTCACCGCGGGGGCAGCGGATTCGACGGGAGAACCGCCGCCTACGGCATTGACGGAGCCGCCGACTGCTTCGATGGATTTCCAGGTGCCGGAGGTATCCTTGTAGCGGTATTGCGTGCCTTTGGAGTAGTCGGTAACCTTGATGGACCGGACATACATGGAGAAGGGACCTTGGGAGTAATCGGTTGGTCCACGAGCCCATTCGATGGTCCCCGGGGAGTTGGCTGGATCACCTCCGGACCAGGAGCCCATTTTGATCTGCATCGGAGTTTGGGGGTATTGGCCAGCCGCGTCCGCCTGATTGAGAGCTCGAATGGTCTGCCCATTGATCTGCCAAACGATCTGCTCTGGGGTCCAATCGATTGTGTAGGTGTGGTATTCCGATTGCGATCCTGGGTTGGGGTGGAATGCGCCACGGTCGTAGGTATCGGTATTTCCCTTCCCGAAGAAGTTGGTCTGAACTTGCGCGGGATCCGCACCGAGCCACTCCCAGTCGATCTCGTCGAGCGTATCCGATTGCAGGACCACACTGCTGACGAGGCCGGCGCCGGGAGACGCTTTCATGACCACTTCCACCCGACCGAACATGATGTACCATATGGAGGAAATGGTGGGGGAATCGCCGGATTTTGCGACGGTGAAAACGGCACCGCTTGCGCCATAGTTCACCGATCCGCCGGTGACGGTGAAGCTATCTGATTCTGAGGCGAGGTCGATGCTGACTTCCCGGCCGAGGGCGGGATTGGGAGGGCAGCTTCCAGATGTGAGGGGGTTGCATGAACTCCACGTTTGAGCGGCGGCAGGAGAAAGTAGCAATGCTAGAGGAGCGATTGCTCGGAGGGAGGGAGTCGACCACATGAATACGACTGTGAAGAATTGACGAGATGGAAGGCTTGGGATGGTAGATAAGATGTATTTCTGTGGGAGACGGGTGGTGAGAGGTAATACTGCGAGGTTGGAGAGTGGGAAGAGAGTGAGAGGTTGGAGAGCGGGAAGAGAGGAGGTGGTGAGTGTTGGTGACCGAGTAAGGGTAGGAGCAATTGGATGATTCCCTGCAAACAAAAAGATATCAGATGTAAAAGGAGCGGGAAGACGGGTTCCTGCTTCCGAGATAGATCAAGTGTCAACGATGAAGATCAGATGTGAACGAAAATAATGGAAGGTTAGCAGGATGTTACACGACTCTTATTCCTCTTGAAAGTGGGAAGGCTATGCTCCAGCCATTTATTTCTCTAACTCCATTTTCCTTTTCTCATGGTGGTTCTGGGCCCCATCCAAGGAGAGTCAGCACCTGCTCGTGCCGCTTAATATAGAGATGCCCCAGTTTTACCAAGGTGTGGTGGGAATATTGATGCCCAGACTGGCAATAGGGCAAATCAGAATCAATATTGAGAGTCATGGTGGCTAGATCTCTCCTGAGAGAGTGCGATTCATGGCCTATGGGGCCGATGGGGGGCCAGATGTTTCAGTGATGGATACGATCGTGGATGGTGGAGGAAAAAGAGGGCTGGTGAAGTGTTGAGGGCGGCGGCAGGCACGGATGAAAGATGCAGGGGGGATGTTGCCGAGTGTGGCTGGGGACTTGGCGGGTGCAGGGGGTGTGACATGGGTTCCATGCATATATGTGATCCATCAGATGTCAGGGTCCGAGTTCCGATCGAGGGGGTGGCTACCTAATCAAATTGAATGGCTCTATGACTGCCTGACTGCCTGAGGCATTATGAGGGGAAAACCGGCAGCTGCGCCCGAGCTCTTCTCGTGCACCTGCAGTTCTCGTTCCTGCCCCACACGTCATCTGCCCGACCGGCAGGGAAATATCAAATCATCCCGAGAATATTAATACATCTCATCTATCATCCGTGACACAACTGGAATGAAAAAAGGGTAATTTTGACGTCGAAATCTCCAACCAATTTGATAAAAGTGCTTTCTTTCAATTTCATAGCATTCTACGATACGAGATCCCTCGCAGAGTCTATTAAATCTCTCAATTCCGACTGCTATTGTCCAAGTTGTATTGTGCTTGTCCAGCATCAGACCTCATCTCAGAGCTCCTATTGTTCGCCTTGAGTCAATTTCTCCATCCTCACTGTCTCCTCACTCAATTCCTCAGTGCCGGACATCCCACCATGTCCCTCTCCGACACCACTCCCCTCAACGCCGCCATCGCGGCCCGCCAATCCTCCCGGCAGCTGGCCATCCTTCCCACATCCGCTCGGAACGATGCCCTGACGGCGATGCACTATGCCCTGTCGGTAGCAAAGGACGAGATCCTGGCGGCGAATGCGGAGGATATGCAGTTGGCCGAGGCGGCGGTGCTGGCAGGGTCGATTAGCCCGAGTTTGATGAAGAGGTTGGATTTGGGGAAGAAGGGAAAGTATGCGGATATGTTGAACGGGATCCTGAGTGTGCGGGACTTGGAAGATCCGGGTAAGTTGGGATTTTGATAGTCTTGCTGTTGAACGTCGGTTATGATGCCTCCAGAGTTCAAGGCTGCTGGTGTCAATCGAAGAAGCCCCAATATCAACATGGACTAACGCATCATACCAGTTGGCAAAATCGATAGACGGACACTCCTCGACGAAGGGCTGACCCTCGAGCGGATATCATGCCCCATCGGTGTCCTCCTCATTATCTTTGAAGCTCGTCCAGAGGTTATCGCGAACATTGCCTCGCTCGCCATCAAGTCCGGCAACGCCGCCATCCTCAAAGGTATACTCCTCCCTCCCTTTCTCTCTACCGAGCTAACCCTCCCTAGGCGGCAAAGAGTCTACCAAGTCTTTCATCGCTATCTCCCGCGTCCTCTCGGCCGCCCTCGAAACCACCCTTGTCCCCTCCGCGTCCCTCCAACTTCTCACCACCCGCGACGCCATCATCCCCCTTCTCGGCCTCGACACCCACATCGACCTCGTCGTCCCCCGCGGCTCCAACGACCTCGTCCGCCACATCAAATCCCACACCCAGATCCCCGTTCTCGGCCACGCCGATGGCCTCTGCTCCGCCTACCTCCGCCCCGATTACCCCGCCGCCCTCGCCACCAGGATCATCCTCGACGCCAAAACCTCCTACCCCGCCGCCTGCAACTCCCTCGAGACCCTCCTCGTCGACGAGGCCTGCCTCCTGCGCGACACCGGGAACTTCCTCCCCGTCGCGTCCGCGCTGCTAGAGCGCGGCGTCGAGTTGCGCTGCGATGCGCACGTCCGCGAGTTCCTGACCGCCGCGCTACCGTCAGCAACCGGGGTCAAGGCTGCTGACGAGAACCGGGACTTCGACACGGAGTTCCTGGACCTCACGCTCGCGGTGAAGACGATCCCGTCAGGCGCGTCGGCGGGCGCGGCGTTGGCGACGGCGATGGAGCACATCAACAAACATGGGTCGCACCACACGGACGTGATCCTGACTTTGGACGAGGGGATCGCGAACGGGTTCCTGGCGGGGGTGGACAGCGCGGGGGTGTTTTGGAACACGAGCTCGCGGCTGGCGGACGGGCAGCGGTACGGGTTCGGGACGGAAGTGGGGATCAGCACGAATAAGATCCATGCGCGGGGGCCAGTGGGGTTGGAGGGGTTGACGATTTATAAGTGGGTGGTGAAGGGAAACGGGCAGGTGAGTGAGGATTATGGGGAGGGGGAGGGGAAGAAGCCGTGGTTGCATCGGACGTTGCCGGTGGGTGAGGGCTCCTCGTAGGTGAATGGAGGGAGCGGAAGTGGTGGGTGGTGGATGGGGGGGGAAGTATCGATAATTCGATAGAGAGTGTATAGACACGTGTAGGCACTGACGAGACTACCCAAAAGTACTGTATCTTGAACATCTAGACATTGCAATGACAGCCAGTGATATGAGCATGGTCAGTCTCCCTCCAACACCCATTGTATCCTGTGAATTGAGGGCATGTCAATGTTTCATATCAATCTAACAATAGCTCTACGGCCCGACAATATAGATAGGTATCAACACAATACCCAACACAATCTGCTAAACACCCATCAATTCGACCAAAAGCGACCTTTAGCAAAGTATCTGTTCCGCCCAATCCAGATATGACCGACTGGCAGATCACCTTCCTCTGCACAATTGATGACCCAATCCCCGTTCCAGACTCCCAACGTCTCCAATCTTCTCCACCGATCCATCAATCTAGAATTCTCGTAGTAGATCCTGCCCATCCATCCGTCCCCTCCTAATTACCACCAAGCATGAATCATGTTCCTCACGCGGACTCGGACCCAATGGAACTTCAGTTGGACCATTCCCCCTTCTCCATTCTATTCCTATACCTGCACCCAACCTAAACCCCCCAGGCCCCCCGCCAACGCCCTTACCCCCTACACATAGAGTGCAGCCTGTATGATTTATTCCCCAACCAGACATCATGCATGCACCCCCTCCTATCACTCCCACCTTCCCCGGTATCCATCGCACCTTCCAATTCCCCTGCCCGCTGGCCCACAGCTGACCCTCCCCAACCAATCCCAGGCTTCACAGTCACGATGCAGGTCGGAGCAGCGGCGATTGGGCCGGGGGCTACGTAATGGTGTGCAGAGATTTTTTGCGGTTGGGTGCAGTGCAGCCCGTGCTAGACGGATACGTGGCGGATCGGTGAGACCGTGAGAGGGCGAGAGGCGTCGAGACGCATGCGGTAGGCGCGGAGGGATGGCGGGGGAGGGGCGAGAGGGGGGTTCAGGGCTTCAGGCACCGGCTGCTGGTGGGTGCTAACTGCTAAGCGCTAACTGAAGGAGGGATTTGGGGCTGAGCTGGGCTGGATCGGAATTCAGAAATCTTTGAATCTCGCAGATGGCTATCGTGGACTTGGTACCTTCAGCGAAATCACCGTCCCTGAATTGACATCGGCATCGCAGCATGATTCGTGTTTATTACGCATTTCAGAGACTAAGAATGCAGTTAGAAGTGAGATGGGGAGCGACGAAGGCAGGCAGGCCGCTGCAGTGGTTGGATAGCAATGCGGCAGGATGAGACTACAATTTCGTCATGCCGACACCAAGCGCAACGCACGAGAAAATGTCACGATGTCACGAAAAACCAGTCCCGTGGACGGCAAAACGGAATCGGGGGAAAAACTATTTCAACGGTCGCCATGCCCCGGTTTTTGTGAAAGGGGGAAAATCACTCAATGGCGGTGATTGGAAATCCTGATCTAGACTGCTCTATACTGAAGGGTGCATTTTCAGTTCGTCATTGAATTGAGGATAAATAGGATCTGGCTGGGGAACTCCAATTCCACTCAATCCACAATCCACAATACGCAATACAGACAGCGTCATCATTCTTTGGGTTTCGTGCCGATCGGAACCAACGACATTTAGTTCTGGAAACATCGATTGAGCTTCACTTGATCACTTCACTTCACTTTCATTTCTAGATGACTACAATATCAGATCTCATCGGTGAGTCAATGGTTTCTTCTTCATCCAGCGAATACACAACCATATCTCGGTCGCAATGGTTTTCAAGTCTGGCAAATAACCATAGATCTGCATTTCTTGGCCCCTCTATCCCACAGCAGCATTCATCATGGATCCCTGGAGGCGCCATGCAACAGCGCTATCTTGTTCCTGCTTCCGTAGCCCCGCCGATGATATCACCCATGTTCATCATGATAATTGATATGGCATCTGGAGACCGTGATGGCTTCAGACATTCGGGTTGGACGGCTTTCCTCGAATAGGGAATATCTCACGTGCAAGACAGTATTCAGTCAGCTTGTCAGCAGAGATACGGGCAATTCAGTCATTGGACGGAGTTTGGCAGTGGCCAGAATGTCGGACAACATTCAATGGACGAGCTGCATGTGCTCCTTGTTCTTGGGAGCACAGCATACCGCTCTTTTTGACGCACGCCATTCCACCAACCGACTCCCCTAAATCGTTATCAATTGCGCTCAATTCAGATATTCTAGCGTATAGACACGTTTAGAATTGTATACTAACACGATTTCGCGAAAGTCTAGAATAGATCACATCATTCCAGCATCAAACACCACAAACCACAGCCACCATGGCTTCACCAACTCCCCTTTCGAATCACATCCACAACAAGCTCCTCGAGCAAGTCATCCGCACGCCAGGCCGACAGCCCTCCCCCCTCCCAACACATCTAAGCATTCCCGGCACTCCCGGTACTCCTGGCGGCCCGACGAGGATCCTTCATGAGAAAGGCTCCGGATATGTGGCGCCAACGTTCGAGGGAAAGGAGAAGCAGAAGGAGGCGGTAATGGATTTAGTGGAGGAGAAGGGGTTCCTGCCGCCGGAATTCGTGGAGCAGGAGACGGATTGGTTCTATAATGCTTTGGGCATCGACGATATGTATTTCTCGACCGAATCGGTGGACGTGTGAGTGCAGCAATGATTTCAAGCAGTGACATGGGGATTATAACTAACGACGTGCAGGATTGCGAGCCATGTTCTTTCCCTCTACGCCGCTAAAGTTGCCGCATACGCTCGAGACGACAAGCGGTTGGAGATTCGACTGGACAAGGAAGCAACAGACCATGCGGTGTACATTGACACCTCTCGACCAGGTATCTCAGTCATCGATGGCCCACGATACGAACAACGGATCGATGAGAAATATCTGAACGTCTCGAGCAATAAGGACAATTATAGAGTCGAGACCTTCCGATCCGCTGGGCTTCTGCCGGGCGCTCATGAGCAACAACTCCGATGCTACTTCGTGTACCAATGCGATTTCGAGCATCCGAACCCCCCGGAGAACGAGACGAATCTCGACATCGTCGGAGAAAGGAAGTTCTTGCAGAAGTCGACGAAGAACACCAAGGAGATCTACCAGCAGGTCATCGAGAAGGCTGTGGCAAGGACGGGCCCGGTCATTGAATACTACGAGATGGAAGATAGCCCGGAGGTGCGGCTGGTTGTCGCATACAAGCAGCGAACTGCGTTGGGCCTCTTCAGCGCGTTGAGTGATCTCTACCACTACTACGGCCTCACATCGTCGCGGAAGTACGTCGAGCAGTTCTCCAATGGATACACCGTCATGTCGATTTATCTCCATCCGGCGAAACTTGATGGTACCAAGAGGTTTCCTCCTATTGAAGCCTCCATTCATCAAATCATCAAGGAGATCTCGCTCCTTTATTGCGTTCCGCAGAACAAGCTTCAGGCACACTTTGCGTCAGGTCGGCTGAGTTTGCAGGAGACGATCTACGCACATTGCGTCTGGGTGTTTGTGGGACATTTCCTCAACCGACTGGGTTCAGAATACACGACATTAGCCTCGATCCTCGATCAGAACAACAGCGTGCATGCGGAGTTGCTCGCGAGGCTGAAGAAGCGACTCAGAACCGAAACCTTCACGGCGGAGTACATCCTGGAGATCATCAATCGCTACCCGGAGCTCATCCATTCACTCTATTTGAGCTTTGCCAACACACATTACGTTCACATGCGGGGCGAACAAGACGATTTCATCCCGACCCTGTCGTATCTCCGAACGAAGGTCGACAAAGTGCTGAACCATGGAGAGCTCGTCAAGCTCATCGGGAACACTGTGGTGAATGAGTACCATGAGATGGTGATGCAAGCATTCTGCGTCTTCAACGTCTCCGTGCTCAAGACGAACTTCTACACCCCGACGAAGGTTGCCCTGTCGTTCCGTCTGAACCCCGCTTTCCTCCCCGCGGAGGAATATCCACAGCCGTTGTATGGCATGTTCCTAGTGATCAGCTCCGAGTTCCGCGGATTCCATCTGCGGTTCCGGGATATTTCCCGCGGAGGCATCCGTATTGTCAAATCACGGAGCCAGGAAGCGTACGCGATCAACGCAAGGAGCATGTTCGATGAGAACTACAACCTCGCCAATACACAGCAACGCAAGAACAAGGATATCCCCGAAGGTGGCTCCAAGGGAGTCATCCTCCTTGACTTCAATCACCAGGACAAAGCCGCTGGTGCGTTCGAGAAGTACATTGACAGCATCATGGACTTGCTCCTGCCACCCACTAGTCCCGGCATCAAAGACCCCATCGTAGACTTACACGGCAAGCCCGAGATCCTCTTCATGGGTCCCGACGAGAACACCGCCGAGCTCGTCGACTGGGCCACCGAGCACGCCCGCATCCGCGGGGCGCCTTGGTGGAAGTCCTTCTTCACCGGCAAGTCCCCGCGTCTGGGTGGCATCCCGCACGACAAATACGGCATGACGACCCTCTCGGTCCGCGAATACGTCACAGGAATCTATCGCAAACTCGGGCTCGACGAGACCACCGTCCGCAAGATGCAAACGGGTGGACCGGACGGCGACCTCGGCTCCAACGAGATCCTCCTCAGCCGCGAAAAATACTGCGCCATTGTCGACGGCTCCGGCGTCCTCGTCGACCCCGAAGGTCTAAACCGAGACGAGCTCATCCGCCTCGCCAAGGAGCGCAAGATGATCGTGCACTTCGACATCTCCAAGCTCTCCGCGTCCGGATACCGTGTGCTCGTTGACGAAGCCGACGTCCGCCTCCCCACCGGCGAGCTCGTCCACAACGGCACCACCTTCCGCAACACCTTCCACCTACGCGGCGGGAGCGCCCGCGGAGAGCTCTACGATGTGTTCGTCCCGTGCGGCGGACGCCCGGAGAGCATCGACCTAAGCAACGTCGGGCAGCTAATCGTCGACGGCAAGGCGACGATACCGTACATCGTCGAGGGCGCGAACCTCTTCATCACCCAGGATGCAAAGCTCCGCCTCGAGAAGGCCGGCTGCATCCTCTACAAAGACGCCTCCTCCAACAAAGGCGGCGTGACGTCCTCCTCCCTCGAAGTGCTCGCCTCCCTCTCCTTCAGCGACGCCGAGTTCATCGCGCACATGTGCGTTGGCGCAGACGGCGCGGCGCCCGCGTTCTACCAGACGTACGTGCGGCAGGTGCAGGCGATCATTCGGCGCAACGCGCGGCTGGAGTTTGAGGCGGTGTGGAAGGAGCACGCGGCGACGGGGACGCCGCGCAGCATGGTAAGCGATCGGCTGAGCGCGGCGATCACGGCGCTGGACGAGGAGTTGCAGGAGACGGAGCTGTGGGAGAATAGGGGGTTGAGGGAGGGGGTGTTGAGGGAGGCGTTGCCGGAGTTGTTGATGGAGCAGGTGGGATTTGAGAAGTTGGTGGAGAGGGTGAGTTTTTGGCGAATCTTGCATTTTTGTATTGAGTCTGAGGCTAACTATAACCTTACAGGTTCCAGACAGCTATCTTCGGTCTATCTTCGGTAGCTACCTTGCGAGTCGCTTCGTCTATGAATATGGCATTTCCGCGAGCCAGTTTGCGTTCTTTGATTTGTACGTCCCTCTCCCTCCTTTCATCCCCTTCACGGTCACTAACCTTCTCCCAGCATGAGCAAGAAGATGAAGACGATTGGGAAATAGACCCGACCTTCTCATCTTCTGATAGGATGGGAGGTACTTATGGGAGGCTCGGGTAACCCCAGGACTGGAGCTTCAAGAAAGAAGGCTATGTCGGCTCTCCTTACATCTCACAATTTCAAAAGTATCCCAGCGCAGCAGACCCCCCAGATGTCTATACCATAATGGCGCTCAACAAATATGACCACAATACACGTCTTCCATTTTCAACATCGATGAACGCAGGGCCGGAGGTCCGGGTCTGGAATCTTCGGCGCAATGCAGGCGTCACAAAAAACTATCCGACCGTAGACAACCGTGCTGGAAACAGATCGGGTGGGATGAGATCGATATCGCTATTGTTGCATTTCATCGACGGCGTCCGATATATCGGTCGGGGCTAGGTCAACTGGTCCAAAAAATACAATAGCAAGGGGTTGCATTCGGGAATCAGTTATCGTATCAACCGATTAATGATTGTCAATTTGTCGGTTCATTGTGAATTCTTTCAAACATGAATAAGTCGATAAGCGTTGATGCGTCCGGCACTCTGTGTTCCTTTGTTTCGCCGATTTAGGATACCTGTCGGCGAGTTGTGGAATGTAGATTTCCAGATAGCCGCAACCCATTGTTTCTTCGGCCACTGAACCAGAACACTCGGATCCGTACTTGAAGTCCCTTCGACCACCGGCTCTCTGTACCTCCTTTTTGGTCTCTTTTCCCCTTCATTATTAGTCGGTTTTGTCGATCTAGATTACTTACTTTATTTCGCTCGATTGAGTCGTCTGGTGTCGTGATCTTCGCTATTGTAAGTCCCCTGTATACCTGTGCGCGAGATCCGTGGAACTTAGTCGTCGGTCCTGGTATACTGGTTCTGTCGATCGAGTTTTGCGCCGTGTGGATGGATGACGGCCGTACTGACATCACCCTACAGAATCGCTGCACTCTCGCCACCCAGCACTTCCATCTCTCCTGATTTCCCCTGGCCATTAAGCCTCATCCTCGCGTACAGCGCTCTTCGTCAAGATGGTCGTCAAACTCCGTAACCGAGCCGAGCTCCAACCGCGCCGGTACTTCCACAACGAGGAGTTCGCGACGACCGGGAGTGGCAGTAAGTCTCCCCATCTCTAGATCTCCCATCTCTCCCCTCGATCGCTGAAGGTGCGGCGCTAGGCGGCAAGAAGACGATGACGAAGCCGCTGAATAAAGATGCTAAAAAGGTAATTCGAATGAACGTCGCGCGTGTGAAGAAGTCCAAGAAGGTCAAGAAGGTCAAGGTGACCAAGAAGCCCAAGACGTCCAAGACGTCCACGAAGCCAGGAAATCGGTCGCGCCACGGTGGAGAGTCGAACTACGCCGGAGCTCGAGCCGTACCGATCTCTCTGGGGAAGTATGGCAGCGACTCGCATCCACGGTGGGACACGAGTCGCATAGTACACGTGTATACAAGCGACGAGGAGCCAGCGTCGCCAGCGCTTCCTAAACCGGGGAAACCAGGCACCCAGCTCCCCGCGCATCCCACAAAGGGCATGTACTACGGCATCATCTCCGGGTCGTTATGCGAGAGCACGAAGAAACCGTGCGAAAATGGGCGCTGTTGGTGTGGCGGCGGCGGGGTGCACTGGCGGGACATCTCCCAAAGTTTTCTCCAGACTAATGATTATGTGGTCGGAAAGGGGCATGACAGTCCTGGCGTGGTGTCGTTCATCTGGTAGACGGGAAGGGCGGGGGAGAAGCGGGGGGGGGTTCTTAGTGGTGGGTCATGCCTTCTTCTCCCCTTTCTTGGGGGTTGCTTTTCTTGGCTGCGGGTGTGACGGGTGATTAAACAAGTCGCTTGTGATGGCCTGACATTCTGACGTTCACTTGGGTTCGCTTTGGTTTCTTCGCGCACTGTTTGATGAGTGTTGGCTAATAGTTGCTTTTGGAATATAGCTAGTAGCGATAACGAAGAGAGCTGTGACGAAGAAGATGAAAGAAGACGCGGAGAGGGAAAGAGTGGCGATGGAGAACGCCGCGGCAGCGAAGGCGGTGGTGAAGACCGGAGAGAGGGCCGCGAGGGGGGCCGCCAGGGAGCCCGCAAAGACCCCAGCGGAACAGAAGGCGGCGGCGGATAGGAAAGCCGCGAAGAAGACCGTGGCGGATAAGAAAGCCGTGGCGGGGAAAGCGGCGATGGCAAAGGCAGCGGAGCAGGTTCTCGAACCCGGCGACGAAATCGAACAGCAGAGGAAGGAGAAAGTGAAGCAGAAGGAGATCGAACGGCAGACGAAGATGAAGGAGAAGCAGAAAGAGAAAGAAATCGAACAGATCACGGATATCGTGGATGCGGATGATGATGGAGGGCTTCGTTGGCGGGTGTTCACACTAATCGGGTCGCAGGAAAATATGCATGTCGAGTGGGCGCGGCCAGATCCGACTGGGCCGTATCGTATAACCCGGGTAATTCAGGCAGCGTAGAAGAGGGCGGAAGGGGGGTCCTGGAATATACGATTGCAATGATGCCTTTCTTTGATTCTGTTCCGTTCTTACCGCATTTCTCCGATATCAAGTCCATGCAGGTTTGGAGTTCTGAGAGATAGGGGTGACAGTTTCGCGGCAAGGAGATGGTCGATTTGTAACTTATAATGACATGTTCAGAAGATAGACGCGATGCGTGCGAAGACTGTAGGCCGTGACATGGACTCGTACAATGGGATGACGCCGATAAATACGCAGACTAACAAAGCGGACCTGGAAGCCCGGGCAGGCTGACGCTGCACGACACTCGAACCTGAACTCCGTTGCTGAAAACATGCTGCTGAAAACCTGGAGAGGAGCCAAACCTTGGCGAAAACCATAGCTATGCCGAAGATGTTTCCAAATCAAAGCGCTGCAGAAGATTCGCACACGAAAATCAATCCACATCAGCCCCTGAGACAGTCGCTTCACCTTCACGATCTTCCCAACTAGATTGCGTTCTCACGTTCCGCCTCACCACGCCCTCATAAATTTTCCCGTCCTCCGTCCTCCCTACCAACACTCCATCCTCGACCACCTCCGCCCACTTCTCCTCGTCCTCGTCCTCCTCCCCCGACTGCCATCCCCCAACCTGCCCATCCACCTCACTGAAGATATCCCGCGTATCCACAACGCCCCATTCCGCGGTCCCTTCCATGATTCGCCTCGCCACGCGCACCATCAACGTGACCAGCCCAGCGGGCGGGCCGATGATCAGCCGCAGCAGCCCGCGGGTCAACTTGCCGGCGATCCCGGCGCCGATGAGCGTACCCAGCGTGCTAGGCGTATGGGTCGGGACCGCGAGGTTTGAAGGGTGCGGGAGCGGGGAGTGGGCGCGTCGGAGGGATGGATAGATGGCGGTGGAGGTGGATGTAGGTGCGGTTGAGGTGGTGCGGAAGGCGGGAGGCAGATCAGGTCCTGGTGAGAATGGCGGAGATGGGATGGCGTTGTCTTCGGAGAAGCGGGTCGGAGAGAATATGTCGGAATTCTCGGAGGAGATGACGGTGGTTTCGAAGTCGTCTCGGCGGTGGGAGGCTTGGCGGGGAGTGTCGGGGTCGGCAAGATCTTCGAGGGCAGGGGGCTCGAGGAAGGAGAGGGTTGCATCGTTTTCGGAGGTAGAGTAGAATGAATCGACACTCGAGAGGCTGGCGGTTTCAGGGTCGCACGATGGTTCGGCGGGAGTGGGTATTGGCTGCGATGGAACAGGGGTAGGCTCTGATGCCTGTACATCCGAACGAGTAAATCGCGTCTGTTGAAGCTGGAGCATTGGCGGCACCGTGATAGATCGGTCTGATAGGGATCGGATGGGATGCCGGAATGGTCTTGAGGATTCCGTGGTTTCTGGTGATCGCATTTCGGTGATCTGCCGCGAAGAAGGACTGTCACCGAGGACAGAATCGACACGGTTTGCGGCTCCCTCGCTTTTGCTTTCATCTTCTTCCTCGTCTTCAACCGATGGGGTGGTCTCACTGCTGTGTCCAGAGGAGTCGTCTGTACGGTCCAAGGCAGAGCCATCTTCTGGTTTCCAGACCCTGTCCAGCGTCCAACGTTTGGCCTTCTTGTCCGGATTGCCTATTCTCTTCTTCCGGGCCGGTGTTTGCGGTTGGTCTGGCAGCTCAACATGGAATCTTCGTTTAAATGGACATGGAGTCTTCTCGTAGAGCAGGACAGTGCCAATCTTCGTCTTAAACTCCTCCACCCCAGCCTTATCCTCTTCGCTCTTTACTGAGAGTTCAATTCGGTAGTATTCATCTCGCATTGGCATCACGAAGATCGACTCTCCGTCCACACACCAGAATTGCGATCTCGGGAAGATGGAGAGGAGGAATTTGCCAGAATTAAGGAAACAGACGCCGGAACTCTTGACGCGATAAATACTAAGCGGGCCTACGATTGTTAGATGATAGTGTCTTGCCATATCCGCGTCTGCTCGAGCATACCAGCCGCTTGAGTCCGCTCCGTCGCCGAAGTCCAGGGCAAGGTTCCAGCTGGATCCGGGTTCCCTCTACTCGAGCCTAGGCGTGCTATGTTTCCAAACTTGACAATCTTCGCATCGCCATAAGTGGTAATGACCTCAACGTCGCCTTGGGACGTGTTCGACTCGGCGTGGGGACTCCCCGTCGTACACGGCCTTAGCGATCCGTTCGTAGGGGCAGTAAATGAACGCCGAACGCCGGGGCCAGGTATACCCGGATATGAGAACCTTGGTGGTGTACTACTAGGCGTTGAAGGTTCCATTATGCGCATAATCGTAAAAACAAGGGATAAGCCGCTTTCTGAAACATTGCTAAACGGGATCACGAATACATCATGGAAGAATTGGCGAATTCAATGTAGAACAAAGTGAAGGGGCTGGGAATCACCAGACACCATCGGTTTGGACTTCGGAGAGGCGGAGGCGATGGGTGCACGTGACATGTCGTGTTCATGGGGTGAAGCTCCTTTCACACCCCGCTGTGCTCCATTCACACCCGCCACCCGGCTCCATTCACACCCTACCTGGTCACATGACATACCAATCCATTCGAATCTCTGACGCAGATTGGGATGGTCCAGTATATGATGCTTTATACGAGTCAAGCCGACCATTCTGCGTTCAAACTCTGTAATTCAATGTATCTAATCGTACGGAGGATCACGGATGATCAAAAACGCTAACTTAGGTCCTCGTTTCACTCAAAAGAAGCTGGCGTAAGGCCGCTGATGCGCTCTTGGATGAGATCGCTGAATGACGTCTCCCCTGGTCGATAGTTCGCAAGTAACCTTCGTGCTTCTTCCGTAATTTCCTGCCCGTTCATCTGCGGCGGAGGGGCTGGCTGGGGCTGTGCTCCTCCTCCCGATCTTTGGTGTTGTAATGGTGTTGCACGTACCTGTTCGAAGGCAGACGGGAGTCGACGCGAAGAAGGGTCGTTTGGCCGGTCTCTTAGTCTAGGAGGAAGTCGTGCCATAGCTGGATCGCGTACTGTCGCGAAGGATCCGGGTAGTGGGAGTGTAGGTAACTTGTAAAACCAATAGGAGTCGATCATAGGAAGCTGGATTTGCGTATTTTGTGATAGACAACGTCGAATAGTATGGAAGTAAGGAAGTCCAAGAGAAGTCTGATATATGTGTATGCATGGAGACTGGTTCGAGTAATCTCCTGAGTGCTCTTCATCTCTTTGTTGACGCTCTTCATTTCTCTGTTGACGCTCTTCATTTCTCTGTTGACGCTCTTCATTTCTCTGTCGCCGCTCTTCATCTCGCCGTCGACGTTCTTCAAGCCTGATTCGAATGATACTTCGATACATCTTCTTAAGCGCTTGCGGAGAAACATGTTGGATCACTTCCGGAGAGAAAACGGCGCGATACTTCGGATTGACACGGATTGCAGAGTCCTCCATTGCGACAGTAGCCTCATGGTTTGTACGACGGATTGAATGCGTTAATTGATCGATGGTATTCATTATATCGCCTCGTCGAAGCGTGATCCGTCGCTTAATAGTTGCATGAGAACTCTCGGCCCTCGATGT